CGGGGGACCCTCTCCCCTTATTTTTAGACCAAACTGAGGTCCGAAGGGCCGAAAAAAAATTTTTGGAGACCGTTCCCCCGTTATTCAAGGGTGTGGATGACCTTCCCCCCCTCCCCCCGTTATCTCAAGGTCTGGATCCGGAACTGTACTCTTCGACAAAAACAGGAGAAACAGAAAATGTTCTAACAGTCTTAGGAAGATCGAAGTTTAAGTTTAAGTCAAATTTACGTTAAAAGTCAGGGAAAGTCAGTCTATTACAATATGCATTTATAACATTTATTGGAATGTCGGAATGTTGCGGTGTGCGTATAGCGGCCGAGTAAGGCCGCGCCAGAAACAGTTTCGGATCAATTGAGCTTTCTGGATAAGTGACCACCTACCCCTCCTCCGAGTCACAATTTTGCCCTAATTGAGTCTACGTGGTCACTTGCCCAAGAAGACTCCACTGATCCACAATTTCAATACTAGGTCAAAATTTTTGAGTGTCTTTAAAAAGATGTTGAAGACCGTTTGTGAAATGCCCACTGGTGTTTAATCCAGCAAATTTAATACTGCCCTGCATCGCCCTCAGTCAATTGCAAGGTACTGATCCACGCAGCTCTGTAACCTGGTAACTAGAGGGCTCAAGTGTTTTGTTCACACGTGCGTTACTAAAAATAATGTGTTTATGTATTTTAAGGGACGCGCAGGAACGAGCTATGCAGTCAAAGGTGATGGAATGTGAAAGAGAGCGATTGGTAGTAAAAGAACAACTAGCATTGTTGGAAAGAACACAGAAAATAGAGAACGACGTTCGAAGAATGCTATGGGAACAAGTGGAGATCTTTCAGGGACAAATGTGAGTATATATTAACCTGAGGTCAGGCCCAATTTTAGCAGCTTCCGTACCTTCTCTCTTAATAATACGTGGTCGTCTTTCCCGCCAGAATTTTATTTAAAAAGCGAAACGAAAATAGCCGTCTGATCTCAGGTTACCATATATGTACACCTGCTTTATACGAGTTGGAGATACACATTTCAATTGATAGATTCTCTTTATTGGTTGGGTAAAACCGCTGATTACGGTAACAAACCAAGAGAACAAAGTTTGTCAGGATGAGACGGAGGGTAGTCTTTCTGAGTTTTAATCGGCTATGAAAGAACAATAGGAGGGACGCAAAGTGGAACAAAATGTGCTAAATAGGCCATTTAGCATAACCCTTTAAGTCCCAATAGTGTCTAACGTCAATTTTCTCCTCACGATATCCATGCAATGTCAAGAGATTAGGTTATGAGAATTAATAAAATGATCACCTAAGGGAAAATGCCTTGATCTTTTATCAAATTCTCTCAACTTATTCTTGAAGGAAATGTATAGAGATCAGTTTGGAGAATTTGTATGTGGATATTGGGGCTTAAAGGGATAATGACGTCTTTTGCTGCTAACAAACTGCTTCGGAGTTTTGCTCTCTTGGGCAAATAAGGAGATTTTTGTTACCGCTATTTCGAGAAAGGTTGTCGGAAAAAGTGCACGCGACATTGTCCATCCCGAAAGGTATTGTGGGTGGCTTTGAGTTGAATCAGTTATCCAGAGAAATTTGAAAGAACGGCAAGAGAGGCCATAGACGTGTGTTTGCAATTGCTAAAGGAAAGCAACAAGATAAGATTCGACAGCTGCAGTGTCAGGAACAGCGTATTGGTCGATCATATCCCATATTGCCTTTCAGGATTGTCGCGTGCACATTTTTTCTGACAACCTTTCTCGAAATAGCTGTATTCAAACCTCACTGCAGAGATTGCTTGATAGGCCATTTGAATGATGGCGTCATAAGCGTTTACTTAAGAAAAGAGTTCAACTGCGACAGGACTTTTTTAAGACACCAAAATGGCCGCCGTTTCATTGTTTGGAACACCAATCGACACCAACATGGCGGACATAAGGTCTTGTGAAACGGGTTTAATTTAGCCCTCATAGGACAGTTGCACGCTGATGTCACTTTACAAGTACACCAGAATACTTAAGTTTGTTGTCTTGTGCAAATTAAGACCATTGTTTTTTGAACCTCAGCGCCGGAATTGACAAATTTAAATTAGAAAAGCAAAAACGAAATAAACTTTGGTAGTTGTAGTCGTCAACGTGAAAATGGCCCATTTGCAGAAGAAAACAACAAACTGAAAGATTCTGGTAGTTTCAGTAAAAATGTCGTTCAAATTGTCCTATAATCCAGTCAGATTTTGAATCTTTTAACCCATGTTTTCTTTATAAAAAGAGTTGATAAAAGCATTTTTTGTACAAAGTAAAAAACATACACTAGTTTCAATTGTAGGCTTACTTCATTTTTCTCGTTTAACTTAGAAGTATCTTTTTAATGTATTTTCTCCAACAGCCGTACTAGGGCTGAAATACTGCAGCTCAATAAGAGGGAAATAGCCATTCACAGAAAATGCATACGGATGTTCGCGAAGTACAGCTCCTCTGTTTCTCAGCGCGAAGTGAGCCAAAAATGGCGGGAAAGTCTGCGGAAGACGCGCTCACAAAGCGACATAATCAAGACAGCTAAACAAAACTCATGAGAAACACGAGGCTTGTCGAAGCCTTGGTAATCCAACCCGCTTAAGCCAGTGATGTGAATAAAAGTTGTATAAGTCAATAAAAAAAATGTCTGATTAGAGTTAATGTCTGTTACGAATTAAAAAGCGGACAACTTTGAATTAACGAGGATAAGTGTTGACTTAAACCATTGCCCTGGCTGAGACATACTTTGCGATTTACAATCCATTTCGTATCTCACGCTGGTACAGGGGAGGGGAGGGGTAGGTTAGCTGGTTGCAATCCGCCTCCTGAGTTTGCTGGGCTCTGATTATTGGAATTAAACAAACTTATGTGCTGAACAAATAGCAACTTCAACAACACCCCCCCGACATCTCCCTAAGCATTTGAAATTTCTAAGACAGACTTGTTTAAAAAGTGATCTTTCCCCTAGGCTAATACAGTCCTGGTTAAATGCGCTACCAAAAGTACGTACTTTGACGTAGCAGTCAAATGCCGTCATTTTTTATTTAAAATTCTCTTTTATATTATAATTCTCATTACTGCTCGATAATGAGAAAGTGGTGGCCTTTCAAACATCTCAGATTAGAAGAACTACCATACAGTTAGTTAACAGCTGGAGGTAAATTGCTTCTCCCAAAAACGTCTGTGTCGAATTCTTGATCGTCAACTTTAGTTGATAAAGATATTAAGGGTTATGGAGCTGTTGGAGAGTTGTAAAATCATTAGCCTGCAAAAACAGGCGTTTCTTATCGTTCCCCGCCGCTTGGAACGTCTCTCATGCGAAACGCCCCAAGCGGCCAGGAACGAGGCTATGTAATCATTTGAAATGGCCCTAAACCTCGTCCCCAGGGCGTTTCCCTTGGAAACAAGGAGAGGTAAGAAAAGGCCCGTGAACGAGGTGGATGGCCTCAGTCTTAGCCTACTACGCAGAAGTTCTAAGGGCTTCGCCACTCGTTCCTTTCTTGCTAGGGAATATAGCAAAATAGAGAAGCCACAAAATGTATGTTTTCGAAACCAGACCTGTCTGACTAATACGCGTTATTTCGTAGAGGAGCTGTGCGTGACGTATTACAATAAAAGAAAAAGTGGGAAATAGGGTAAGTGCAGAGCAACCATGACAGTATAGGTGGGCTTAAATAAGTATTAAATCGACGGACTCGACGTCCTCGGTTTGAAGAAAACATCTTCAAAGTCATTTGAAACTCTTCTATTGTTCTCCGGTGTAACAAGGGTAACAAAGGGTAACAAGGGTAACAAGGGGTAACAAAGGGTAGCAAGGGTGACAAGGGGTAACAAAGGGAACAAGGGGTAACAAGACAAGACAAGACAAGACAAGACAATGCTTTATTTGGAGTCTTATACAATCCTATGTACATCGACTTTCAAATAATTTAAAATCATAACACAAATTGCACACTAGTGGAACTATAATCAATGTTAACCTAAAGAACTAATGATCTTCTTTTCTCATAGCAGTCGAATACGTATTTTGCAATTAACTTTTGCACTGGTTTGTTCTTGCTCGGAGGGTTTATTAACAACAGAAAAACATCATCTGGTGCCATTCTGTTTACTGATATTCTGTATTCTTTGTTTAAGTGTTCAAATAAAGTACTTCGTTTTTCTTGATACGCAGGGCACAGAATTAAAGAGTGTATTTCATCTTCTACCTCTTTTTACAGTTAGGACAGATCCTCTCTTCCGGTTTCCTATAAGGTCTTACACACCGACCTGTTTCTATTGCCAATTTGTGATTACTTAGACGGAGTTTAGTTAGAGTTATCCGCGTCGAACCTTGAGGAGGGTTGGGGAACGGGGGGGTAGGGGGGGTTCTCATCACGAGTTCGTGATCAACAATTATTTTGCGTTTCACGAGTCACGAAACAAGTATTTACGTTTTCACGCTTCTCAAAAATAGAGGTCGTACAAAATGTCAAAAACGTTACGTTAGTCCCACGTTCTAAAACAGAGTGCTTCGATCATATTTTAGCAAGCTAACTAGCCGGTTTTACGAACCTTATGAAAAACACTTTGCAGCTATAAATTCCCGAGGGAAGCTAGCTGTAGGTGTGTCTGAGCTCACTGTGTGTGTGAAACTACACCAAAAGACTCGAAAGTGAAGTTAAATCAAGCCACCAGACGCTAGTTAAGGTCGTTTGGCCAAATCAACGATTTATTTTCTTCGATTGATCTTCAATGTACGTGTAAACAGTCGAGGATTTTGACAGTTAAGGCTTCACGGAATGCACTTCAATCACGATGCACAGAAAAGTTTTTCAGTGCGTCACGATTCACACGAAAATAATCGAGTAAGATCGAATAATCTTGCCCCCTCCCCTCTCATGTCTGCTGTTCACAGGCTACACCGAGGGACCATTAGGGGAGGACCCTGGGAAGGAGAGGAAGCCGCGCGTTTCTAGGAATTTTGAGATTCGCAGAATCTCGAATTTGAGTATTTTGAAATGCGATGTGGTCGGATGATGACGACTTTTTTGCGTATTCACCGTATTATTTCGGTTCCGATATGGAAGACAGTGATGTCGACGTGTACAACTTTGATGAAGATGACTTTGAAATGTTGAGGAAGTACGTAGATTTAGCCGCTCTTCTCCGTCGAGGTCGAGAAGAAAGTAAGGTTACCAAACCATCAGCGTCATCAACCACAGAAAACACTCCAGCCACTGCCACCACTACTTACCAGCTACTCTCTCTTCAAGACTTGTGTTGTCGTGTCATTGCGTTGAGGTTCCCGTTCGCTTACATTGAGCATCGTTCCCCTCCAATTCCAGATGAACTGCAATTGAAGATAATCGGGTTTTCGTTTCCAGAGGATGAGCAGATGATGATGAAGTATGCACAGTTTAGCCGTGGTGGTGTCGACGTAAGCTTAAACACGGCGAGATCAGTGGTTGGAAACGTGAAAAATCTGAATCAGATTGGTAGGTATGACTTGACAATGGTGCTTTTATAGCGAAAAAAAAAAAAAAAAATAAGTAAGGTTGTATCAATGTGAGTTTTGCTCAAATTCCAGGGATTTTTAAAAAATTTTCACGTATCCTATTCAAGCTTAAGATTTAACATATAAATTGTACAAGTAACTAAGGACTCAATTCTTCACTTTCTTATTTTCATACTGTGATATTTTAGGCTGGAAACTAACGGCTTAATGACACAGTGTATGTTAACCTAAAGCAATCAGTGTTAGTCCATGTTAATAATATCAAATAAGCCGTTATGTAAATATCCAATTTGCCCCATTGTTCATACCTTTAACCAGTTTGCCCCTTTTGTTGCATTGTTCAGTGTGTTGCTTTTGAGGTACATGTGCAACTCACCCAGGTTACATGTATAAAGCCTGATTCTCATATGCTGCCGATGTATCTGCGACATAGCCACCGGTACAGCCTGGGACACGTCTTGGACGAATGAGAACATGCGCCCCCGGCAACTGGAGCCATCGCAGAGCTCTACTGCCGGCATGCCTGCGAAGTTGAACTTGAGTCAACTTTGCAGGCATGCCGGGGGTAAAGACTGGGATGAGCAATGTTGCCGGCCACTTCTGTTCTCATATCTGAACAGTATCCCAGGGAGTACCACCGGCCATGTAGCAGGTGCATCGGCAGCATATGAGAACCAGGCTTTATAACTCTATTGAAAATGTGACCCCATTGTAGTCAATCCAGTCATCCCCATTAGCCTCTTATAAGGAAGTACCCCCCTTCCCCGTCCCACGGGGTAACTCACAGCCCTTTTGCTGACTCAATCGCCGTTAGGCTTGTTTTCACTTGTGACAAAGTCAGTGAGAGTCATAAGCACAGTTGTTAGGGTTATCTCTCAGTAAAAATATAAAATCAAAGTAAGAAGCAGAGCCATAGGTATGACAGAATCAGAACATTCCATAAAATTCTTAATCTGCTTAGGGTTTTAACTCTGTTGCTTACCTGTCCAATGTACTGAACACTACATTCCGGAAAATTCCTCCATGAATAAGCCCCTCCAAATATAGGCCATCCAAACTCGTAATGCAAACAGACTCCTCTGTTAAATCCCCCCTCCGAATATAAGCACCTGAGGGCTTATACTTAGAAATTGCCTTGAACAAGACAAAAACTGGTACAGTAACACATAAATATTTTTACTTGCCAACAAACTATTACTTGTGCCAAATGATTGCAGTAAAAATGTTTCACAGTTTATTCCTGTTTGTGTTGTTCACTGTTCACTCTTGTCTTGGATTTCTTCGTCCATAGACAAACTACTTGCAAGGAAGTTCTATTCTTCCATCCTCCACCCAAACTCCTTCTGGTGTATTGCATTTTCAGTGAAGCAATTTGTGGTTTTGTTTTCAGTCGTGTGGCTGAGTTTTAAAAAGAGTCTACCTCCTCAAGACGTTTTTCAGTAACAATTTCTGACATAAAGTTTCTTCCAACTGTAGGCTAGCCCAGTCAATTCTGAGACAAATTTTTCTCCAAGTATATAAGCCTAGCCAATTTTGTAATGCACCATTCCTCTCTGTATATAAGCCCCTCAGAAAGGGCCTTTGTAAAGTATATTCCCTGGGGCTTATTTTCAGGATTTTATGGTATGGGAAGTGAAACCGGAAACAGACTGATAACCAATCACAATGTTTTTCCATGCTTTGTGAATGATTTAATTTTTTTCTGCCTCTGTTTGGGAGTAACATATACAAAATTATTATTACGTGAACATTTTTGTGAGCCCAAATTTTATGTATCCTGAATGGAGCCGGTGTCCCTTAATAGAAATGTCCCAAAGGAGAGGTTGCACTGTAGATTGTAAGTCAGAGAGGCATTGGAGGAAATTATCAGAATTCTGTTTTCACCATATCATACAGTACAATTGTAATAATGCTCTAGATGCTAGTGATTATGACTTGAATTCTGATTCTGTTGCTTGCAAAAGCCAGTTGCACATGGTGGTTCCTTGCACATAATGAGGGCACTGAAGTGTCTAACCCAAACCCAGTGATTTTTTCAGTATTTTTTTGTAATCAAATAAGCTGATGGTGTGACAGACTCTTCATGCAAAATTGATTTTGAACCTTCTTTTGTAATTGGCAGTTTTATCCATTGTTTTTGGGTAATGGCAATATAAAAGAATGATAATGAGTTTAAAACAGAAGGAAGGATAGAAGCAAGGAGACAACTGAACCACACTGAAGGACTGGATTGTTTAACAATTAATGCAACATCCAATTTGCATTCTGACTTAACTTTTGGTGAATGTGAAAAATGTAAAATTGTGCATGGAGCTTAATGCACAGGTCAATAAAAATTAATGCTTATGGAGGATAAAAAGGGGCATAGATTCACTTTTACTGCAGTGTAATTTTCTTTGGTGGTGGTAGATTTGACCAATTTTACAGTGGCTACCAGTTGCATTTGCCATCAAATGAGTTTTCACTTGAAAACCTTAAGTTTTCATGGACATCAATCAACTCTTTCCGTGGTTTTTTCACTTGCTTCTCTCATTGTTCCTGTTTGAAGGGGAAAGACATGCAAGAATATTTTTTGAATTAACAAGCCTTTCAAATTTTGCAGAGATGATACAACCGAGAGGGAAAATCTTTGGACGGCATGTGTTATTAGTACCACCACTGCAACAGCCTACAGTGTATAAAAGTCCCTAACTTTGACTGGTGCCTTTATTAAATCTTGCAGGCTTCCGTTTGAGTGCCACGGTTGATCAAAACAGGTGCAATGACAGTGGCAATGGTTTTCATGTAACTGTTTACTTTGATCGTGGCAAGATAACCTCAGCTCACTGTTCATGTGACCAGCCAACAAACTGGTGCGTGCATGTTATAGCAACATGTTTGGCAAGAATAAAGGACAAGAATACTGTGACAATTCGAATGCCAGTCTCTGATTCGCTTAATTTTCTGGATCGGGATCAGTTGATAAAATTTGCCCAGTACCTTCTATATGAACACCAGAATGAAAGTATTATTGAAACTGCACAACAGCTGATTGATAAGCTGTTGTCAAAAGAACAGAAAGGGCAAGAAGAAGACATAAATGCAATTGCAGGTGCACCTGATCCCACTGCTGGTCCTGGTAAGGCAGTCTATCATCATCATCATCATCATTTTATTACCATCATCATCATGCTTGTTATTTTATTTATAAAATTATTAATACTGTTAAAAGGCTAAAAAATGTTTTAAAGGAAATACATTGTAATTAATAGCTCCGGAAAAGCAGCACAATTGAATCTAATTTCTTTTCCAGTTAGTTTTCCCCAATGTATGTAGTAGACTCTGCGGTTAGAATGAAAATGAGTTTTTTGAACAAGAATGTAAATTATTAAGAGGAAAACCAACTGAAAGGAGTTTAGTTTACTTTATTCCAAACTGGTCCCGTTTCTGTTGGCGAGCGAAGCTTAAATATGCAAAAATAGCTCATTTGTACATGATTATGTGTTTTGTTGTGTTTGACATTATTAGGTCTTGATGAAGAGGCTCACTGGTTTGTCTGTAGGAGTGGATTCCAATCCAGGTGTAAAAACTTGATGTTTGGATCCAATAAAGATCTGGGCTTTCTCAAGTATGTTGATGAGGATAATGATGTTGAGGGTTCTGTTAAAGAAGTGTGGGAAAGAAACTGCCTTCAACAGCCACTTGTTAGAGGTACAACTGTTTATATATGTTGTACATGTAATATAAAAATGTAGTTTTTGCCTTGCTTTTTGTGGGTCACTGGAAATTTTCAAGGAAAAAGGGGGTCTAAAGGCTGGAACATTTAAAACAAAGTACATGATTGTATTAAGCTAATTAAACTGGAATTCCCAAAGGGGAAGGGGAGCTCAAACCAAATGCCTAGATGAGTTAGGGGAGTATGCAGTGCTTGAATTAACAGCATGTCAACAGACAATGTTCAGTCAAAGTTATAGGCTTTGTTCAGACTCAAATCTTCCAGGACCAGACTCTGTCTCCAGTCATTTATTATTGGTGCTTCACCAGCTTCTTAGCTGTAGAACTGTTGATAATTGTGAGGGTTGTACGTAGAACTGGGAGAACTTTTTCTTCTTGATCAATTCAAGTTTCTTTTACCAAATGTTTGCATACATTGTATGTGTTATTATTATTTATAATATTTTGTTGATTTTAAAAAAATAACATTTTACTTCTTTGAAAGAAATTTTATCATTATTAAAAATTATAGTACCTGTTAAAGGCACTATGTAAATGATGCCCCTTTCCTCCTTAAAAGTGAGCCCTCCATGCTGTTTCCCCCTTCACTTCCCCCACAACCTTTCCAGCACCTTAGTTATAGTTAAGTGAATGGCAGTGATTTTATTTCTTCATGTTTTTAGATGAAATGGATGTACAGCTGGATGATAGTCGCTATGGTTACTCAAAGACATCCTCTCGGCAGCAAAGCATTCGTCAAGTCCTGGAAACCATAGCTGATATGCTTCAGGATGATTTCATGAGTGCCGTGTCAGCTCTGACAGTGTACACTGAGCAACTGATTCAAGGATTAACTGTGTTGTGCAAAGTGAACTCTCCTAGAAGTAGATACCATATACCAAAGCCAAGAAACCAGAAACCTAAATCAAATTTAAGGCTTTGTGGATCCCTAGCAGGAGGCTTTACTCCAAGACTTTCAGAGTAAGTGCAGGGAACCAAAATCATTCATCTTTTCAAGGCATTTTGCTAAAAAATCTTCATAACAAAGATTTCTTGGATTAATTACGATGTAAAAACAATTATTATATAAACATCAATGACAATTATTAATATATCATTCCTCTTATTTAAGCTGTACAACAGTCAGTGACGAAATTTCTCGGCTTTGGAGATTAGCTGTCCTTAGTCCAGGAATTTCAGTAAAAGGGTATGAAGAAGTTGTTGATCAGCTGAGGACTTTGAATGAAAGAGGTACTATTAATAAGTCTGAACTCAACAAGGTAACAAGTCAACTAGCCTATGACTTACAGAATGTTAACTGAGGTATTAGGATTCTTTAATAGAAAATTTCACATTTTATTACTCATTATTTTGAAATTTTGAATTTTGAATGTGGTATCTTCAAATTATGGATAATCCATAATTTGAAGTTTAGAACTTGAAATCTGTAATTTACAGATTTCAAGTTCTAAACTTCAAAATTGTGCTGACGACCCCTCTTTGTTTGAATAATGGTAAGGTTTTTGTTATCTGCAGTTTACAGAGGGCACTAATGACAACATTTTTTTCAACTAAAGGTATCTCGGGTAGAAAAACCCCTACTTCTCTGCTACTGTAGTATAACCATTGTCTCATGTCACAGAAATCTGGGTCGACAGCATTGCAAGACTTAACCAGCATAAAGCCCTTGCAGTGTTAAAAATGATAATTAAATTTTTTTTGGTTGCCCTCAGTTTCATAATAAAATATTAAAAATATGATATTCATTTGTACCGTGCAAATTCCATAAGGTTTTAAAATGCACCTTACAATGAAATATTAAAATTAAATATATAGAAAGAAAATTACAGTGCAACGACTACTATAACCGAGGCCACTTAGACAAGGTCGGCCGATCGGATTACAGGAAAATAACAATTCGTTCCAAGACATTTAGTTGTCAATCATAATTACCACAAAAAAAATAAACAACACGGATTAAAATCAACCAATCAGAACTTACAGAGGTGATCTTTTGAACTTGCTGAAGAAAGCATGTGTTTCTCAAGAGGTCCATTAGAGTGACTTGCAGACTTGACTTGACTTTATTATATACATACTGAGAAATACTCACCAAAAAGCTATGTCGTAAATTTTCGTACGCAAATTAGTTCTAGCCAATCAGAGGAGCGAACGATGGTTTTCACACGTGAAAAAAACGATACGTCCAATCAGAATCGCGAACGATGTTTTTTCACGTGTGAGAAAAATGATACGTCCAATCAGAAGCCACAGAGGTGTGCGAGTTTCGCGCCAAAATTGCCGCCTTTTATTGCAGCTTGCAGCGCCGCTTCGCACACATTCAACGAGAAAAGTTTTACTCAAGGAGTTTTTCTCGCTAAAAAAGTGAAAAACATTTCGGAAATGGAGTGGAATAGTTTCGTTTGTTTCACTGTCGATAAAAAAATACGGTAGAGAGCCGGCGAAACAACAGCAGAAAGGGATAAACAGAATGAGACGTAAGCTTTTGTTGTGCTTTTTGTCGGAGCTACTTTGCCTTTCATTTAAGCTTAAGCTTATATTGAAACCGGCCATTTTACTTAAATTCACTCATTTTCAATTGTGCATTGAGAACAAACAGTTAAGATTACTTATAGTTCTTGGATTACCTCATATCCTCACCGTCATTTATGTTTTTAACAAACGTTTTTACTAAAAAGCTGATACTTCGTTTTCGTTGTCATTTTGCGGTAAGTGTGTAGCGGCAAATTTTAGCATTTTTGAAAGATTTAAAATAAAAAGGCCCGCAAAATGAGGAATGACTCAGTATGTATATAATAAACACAATACCACATGGAAAGTGCTTTGTACGGTATTTACGCACTCGTTGTTTTTGTATCAGAAATCTTACTCGTTCGCTGCGCTCACTCGTTCGATTTCTGATACGTCAACAACTCGTGCGTAAATACCGTACGCCAGCACTTTCCATGAAGTATTCTCTATTTACTTGCTGACTTGCAGTTGCATGTTATTGCAAAGCGCGGCAATAAGGGCAAAGAAATTGCTGGTAGAAATAGGTCTCCTGGGTATTGTATGAAAAGTTGCGAGTAGAAAAACATTGTCTGTTGAAACATTTTGCTTTCCTGGAAAACGTTTGCTGTAAATATTAAATCTAGGGCTTTGAGTAATGTATTGATTTTTATGAGCTGCTGATTGGCCAACAATGAGAACCATTTTTCTTGGAATATATTTTTAACCAGATTGGTCAACTTTGTCCATATAAGTGGCCCTGGTTACAGTTGCCACACTGTAATACTAGTGAATACAGTGTTAAAGTACAATTAACTATGTAATAGGATAAAAACCAGCATTTAAACTAATCATGTAATACAAATAAAAAATAAAATATAAAATAACTATAAATATGAAACATTTATAAGCTTAGTTAAAAAGTACTGTTTTCAATCAAGTTTTGTTGATGAAGTAAAATCACTGGTAATTCTAATGTCATAGGGTAAATAATTCCATAGCTTCAAAGCAGCAACCACAAAGGCTCTGTTGCCAATTAAGTCTTGTCTTCAGACGATGGTGACAAGATAAACTTGTTGTTTGTCTTTATTTCTTTGTATTATCATATCTGAGAGGTATTTTGACGCCATATTATGGATCACATAGCCTTCAAAGTAATTATAGTCTTCCTCTGCCAATAAGACAGGAAACATCAATCGACTCTTTTAAACGCTCTGTTAAAACATATTTATTTAAAAAGGCTTTTAGTTAGATTATCTATTTATTTATTTATTTATTGTAATTTTACCGGGTAATTTTACTGGTTTTTAATTTAGTTATTAATAATACTTGTAATGCGCTTTTGAGTATTTTCATAGAAAAAGCGCAATATAAGTATTAAATATTATTATTATTATTATAGTAAGGATCTTGAATATAAGCTCACGTACCCTTGTTGACTTATTAGGAGGAAACAAGTGATCTCAAATAGTAGGAACTTCCAGTGATACACAGACTACCTAACATGTATATTTACAAATCCTGTGTGTGGCTTTGTTTTTAGTTTCTGTAGCTTTTGTGACTGGTCTGCTGCACCCATGGCATGGCCTGGAAGTGGCCATGAAATTATCCTCAATCGACTGGAATTTACCTGACTTTCAGCAAGTACTTAAAGGACAGTGGACTAACCTCCCTGTTGTAAGCAGCTGTATGGCTATCCAGTTGACATGCCAATCAAAGAGTACTTATGTGTCTAAGTTGATGGCGCGAAAGCGGTGCAGCAATGATGTCGGTGCTGTGAAAAGTACAAAGGATGGCTCAAACATCACACTTTCATTTTACAGCCCTCACTGCATTGCATTCAGCTCTCGTTGCAGCATTGATATTCACTCAGTATGTTCCATGATCGAAGCTGTAAATGCTTCTGGCCATCACCGGCGTGCCATGTGCCTCACTGTCGCAATATCATATGCTCTTGTTTCATTCTACAAGAAGGTTCTCTTTGGACTGTGTGATGCCCCGTCAATGCCCGTGTCTGCCAGATGCTCACTAGGGACTGCAAAGTACCAAAGTGGGACAAAGGCAGATAGCAACAAAGAATCTGATTGTCCTGCAGAAATAGGTGTTTCCAGCGACAAGCCATGCACTAGTTCCATTTGGCCAGAGGATACACTTTTGGCGATTAGTACATTTGCATTCCTTTTTGAGTTGTTGTCACAAAAGCCTGGCTTAGTTGATGCATCCATTGCAAAAATGAGAACTAAGCTAAACCTTGATAGTTGTTCTTCACACAACAGTGCACTTGACTGTCCAAAGTCAGCAATGTCTCTGAAGTTTCAGCTTGGAGTAGTGGGGTTGTTTCTGCAGAGGTTGCCTGCATCATCTCTTCACCATGAGGTATAAGTGTAATGGAGTGTGATAGTCAGTTTCGTTTAGTTAGCATACCACAAGTAAAATAAGAGATGCTCCAAGTCAGAAATATTTAACAATTATCGAATGAGGCTGAGTACGATGTGAAGAATTATGCAGACTAAGAATGTTATGGGCAAAGGTGGGTAACAGCTTCCAAGATCTGCATAATTCTTAACATCGTGCAAAATCCAAATTCAATACTTATTTTATTCTGCATTCAAACATTTCTAAGCCCTTAACAAGCTTACCTCCTCATAGATGTCCTTTTTCTTATCCTATGTCTCTGCGCGGTTTCAGGATATAAACTGATGTGTTTTTCTTGCAGATACTCCTCAAAAAGTAGGTGAAATCCATCGAGCAATATGTTTTGCATGTTCTTGCATTTCTTCCGTTCAGTTTTAGCCAGACATATCGTCTTCACATAGCCGTGAACGCCATTGTTTTTGGTTCACTGTTACCCATTAGCAGTTTACCTATTGTGTAGACTACAATTTAACCAGCAACGTAGAAATTAAAGTACTTTGCATTTAGTCTAGTGTTTATGAGGTAGACGCTATGGAAAAACTGTTCTGCATGAGTCTGGGGAAATTACCTCAGTTGAAGTTGAAATTTGTATCTGGCATGTTTAACTTGTACCTTTATCAATTACTTGAATTATTGACCGTTTGTTCAGCCTTGGAATACCTTTTTTCTGCATTCTGATTCGTTTACTGGCCATTGCGTTTGTCGGGTGGGATGAAATTAGATATCCAAAGAACTTTGAGTAAAGCAATTAAAACGTAACATTGGACTATAAGCGGCTTATTTCTAGTGGGTGTTTTGTGTTTGTTTTATTTTCAATGTAGGTGGAAGAGTACCATTACGAGTGCTGGCTAACCTACCATCTGATCTGCTGTAGTCCAGCAGATGCTGACCTGTCATTCCTCACACGTCTTGGACAACACGTCTCTCAGGGAGTTGCCACGCCCAGTCCAGCACCTCAGTCATCGCTATCACGGGTGATATTCCACCATCTTTTTAAAAGTGCCCCTGCAGTGCTTAGCAAGACTCTATCAGAACAACAACATGTAGGTCTCAAAGCAGCGCTTAATATCTTGTCTCACGTCAACAAGTTCACAGTTAAAGATAGCTCTCCCACATGGATGCTTTTTGAGTATGCAAATTGCAGACTTTGGGCGAAGTTAGCAGAGGTTGTTCTTCGCTCTCTCGCTGACTCTTCAGAGCTTTTGGATGAAGCAATGCGTTACGTTCTTCAACCCAACGGAATGCTTGGTGCCCAGTCGATGGACAATGTGTCAGTTGAAACAACGTCGAGTAAAGTACTGTCACGCTTCCAGGACGTTGAGTTGTTATCTGGAAAATGCCGTGTGGCACATTGCCTGGGACGGGTGCTTAGCGACAAACAGGGTAACTCTATAAGAGTTACGCAGTATAAGGCACAGCATGTTCGAGGCACCATGACAAAAGGAGAGAGTTCCGAGCTGGAAATTCCAAGGAAGATACATGTAATGAACTCTGAAGTGGAGAAGGCTTTGAAGCTTTGTGCTGTTCAGATTGTTGCGCACAGTCTGTGGTTGCAGGGGTTCAGTGATAAAGATCACATGTGTCAGGCTGATTCTGTCAGGTACCTGTTTTGATTAATTCTATACACTGTAGCTACACTGAAATTCCAAAGTACAATTTAAGTGAACTTGGTGCCATTTTCGGATGGGACAATCCCCGCCTCCCTCCTGGTTACAGATGACGAAAATGGAAAGGTCCTTAGTGGGAATCTCGTCGATCAATTACTTTATAAAAGAATTTTCTTATACTTTAACATTAAAAGTTGTTGGTTATGTTATCGTTTGCTGATTTCCCTTGCATTTAGTCCTAGGTGGCTAACAGATCTTGTGGTCAATACTGGAGTTGAAAGTCTTGAATGCCTTGTTCAATGCAAGGGAGATGTAACTACCATCCTCAAACAAGGCGACCTACTGGATCTTTGCGAGAAAGTTCTCAGGGTGAGCCAATGGGATTGTGAAAGAAACAAAAGGATTGGGTTTTAAGGGATGAGTGAGATGGCGTTTTCCTCTGAAGTTTTGAAGAACGTAAAGTGACTTTTCAAGTGACATTGTAGCCGTCATTGCTGTCGTGGAATTTTTGCTTTTTGTTTCAGTTCTGCAGCTTGGTGGATGAAGTGGATGTGCTCAAGTCGAGCAGAGTCAAATAAAATTTCTTTTGTTACCCTTTAAAGCTGCCTATGCCTCCAACCCCATTTTCCTTCCATTGTATCCAAGTCATGTCGTACTTAAATGTTAAATAATTTTTTACATTTATCATTTACAGAGGCTTGAGCCAGAGACGCAAGTAAAAGCCATTGTGCAAAACATTCTCATGTCGTTGTTACAAAAGGCCAGCCATGGTAAAGCAGAAGAAGATATGAAGAGCATCATATCTTTTTGCAGGTACATGTATGCACGGCAAATTACCATTATTCATAGTTCTCTCTAAGTGTCCCCAACTAAATGTAATTGGAGACGATTTCCGGGTCGAATTGGCGTTTACAAGTCAGCGCAAGGTTACTAGAAGGAATTCTAAGTGAATACTGGAGTTTTGCCTTGCCCATGACACAAAGTGGTAGCTCATTTGTCCTCAAAAGACTATGATTTACGATTGGATCTCGTCTCTTCTTTGCAGTCTGCAAAAACTTGTAATAACCAAACGTTATTAAGTGCGGACAAGATAAATGCAAGGTGTTTTCGGCTGATTGAAGGTCAAAAGGATCGTGCTCAGATTATGAATGTTAAAAGATCTAAGCGCGTGATCATGGTTTTATGCATTCCATTCATTCTTAGTCGAAGTCCAATCAAATGCTGTCGTATGCATGAAAGCAACCTGAACGTAAGGATTGCGTCTTCTCTAGATCTGGTTACCCACAGAAATAGTTTTGTATCGTAGTTTTTTGGTGTTGCGGACAGTTGCAACCACCAAATTACGTAATACAAAAGACTGAGAATGACACAAATACCCACACCCTAAAACAAAAGCAAACCAACAATAGTTTCTGTAACACCATATTCAGTAATTGCTGGGAATTGTTTATGGCTTGAGAATGTGTGTAATCCCAAACACTATAACCAAGTTCTCACGTGATGCTAGCTTGATATGTAAATCATTAATTTGCTCAAGACAGCAGGCTGCCAAAAGGTTGGTTAAAAGCTTTTTTCAGGTTTAAATGATTAAAGTCATTTAGCACCGCATGTTTGCTAGACGGTGTAGTGCTTATTCGGTCGCGGCGCTCATTCTATTATTGCGCCCTTTTAAAAAATATGGTGATTCTTGAACTGCGTTCAGCACTTTAAGGATCATTTCTTTACGCAAACACATTTTGACATGCATTTCTAATACATGTGTAGAGGAAGGCGATGTGACCTGCAACTGGATTTACTGCCATGGATTTGCACAAGACTTCTAACCCTCAACGAAAGTAAGTCGTCTGTGCCGTTTGAAGTGCTCATGGATGCCAGCCATGGTATGCTGGAACATTACAAGGAAAGACTGGCGAGAACAGAGATTGAAAAAAGGAAGAAGAAGTCAGAAGAAAAACTTAGTAAAACTAATTTGTTCCTTAGACGGCTTCCAGCAGGGACAACTGATGTTTATTTACACAATTTATGTAGTGGGTCAGTGAACATTTTCATTCTCATTCATCCCTCGTCATCCCAGTCACCCCTTGTCATCCCGCTCATCCCTAGTCATCCCTGTCATCCCAGTCATCCGTCATCATCCCAGACATCCCTAGTTATCGCAGTGGGCCCAGTCATTCTTAGTCATCCAAGTCATTCCTAGTCATCCCCAGTCATCCTTAGTCATCCTTGACATCACTATCATGCCAGTCATACCTAGTCATCCCAGTCATCACTATCATGCCACCCATCCCAGTCATCCCTAGGCGTTCCAGCCATCCATGTCTTGCCAGTCATCCCAGTCATTCCTAGTTATCCAGTCATACCAGTCATCCCTAGTCATCCTTGGTCATCCCAATCATCGCCAGTCGATTCCAGTGATCCAAGTCATTCTTAGTCGTCCTAGTCATCATTAATGTTGGTAATAATCTTTCTGAAAAGCTCCCGCCGAGCGATATAAATCCCACTAAGTTTCGTGGAATCTACGCAGATGAAGTTCAAGACACGATCATGGAACTAAATCTGATCAAATCTTCCATAGGGGTCCCCCCCAGATGTATTAAACTAGCTTGTCCTTTTAAAAGTGAGGCACTTTTAACAATTTATAATCAGTCCTTACAACAAGGAACCGTCCCAGGTATACTTAAAATATCTAAAAAAAAGTTCTATTGACAAGGGGGCGACGCAACCGACCCGGCGAATTATCGTCCGAGTGCAACTCTATCAGTTCTTTCTCAAGTATTTGAAAAATTGATGTTTAAGCAACTTAGTAACTACATTGAAAAGCACTATATTCTGTTTCGATACCAATTAGGATTTCGTAAAGGTCACTCAAGATCTCAGGCCATTACCGAACTCACTGACACTCTAAGGAAGGCCATTGATAGCAACCTATACACCTGTGGTGTTTTTCTAGATTTCTCGAAGGCATTCGATGCTGTAAATCACGAAATATTACTTAGTATTACTTATTAGAGGTCTTCCTTTAAAATGGTTCAGTAGCTACTTAACAAACAGGCAATAGTACAATGCACTAGGAGACAGAATCTCCTATGCAAACTATGAGCTGTGGAATCCCCCAGGGTAGCACACTTGGGCCATTACTGTTTCTTATTTATATAAATGACTTACCCAACTACTCCGATGAGTCAAGTTTCAAACTTTTTGCCAGTGATACTCGGCGAATAACCTTAAACCTTAGTCATCCCTGTCATCCCAGTCATCCGTCATCATCCCAGACATCCCTAGTTATCGCAGTGGGCCCAGTCATTCTTAGTCATCCAAGTCATTCCTAGTCATCCCCAGTCATCCTTAGTCATCCTTGACATCACTATCATCTCAGGCCATTACCGAACTCACTGACACTCTAAGGAAGGCCATTGATAGCAACCTATACACCTGTGGTGTTTTTCTAGATTTCTCGAAGGCATTCGATGCTGTAAATCACGAAATATTACTTAGTATTACTTATTAGAGGTCTTCCTTTAAAATGGTTCAGTAGCTACTTAACAAACAGGCAATAGTACAATGCACTAGGAGACAGAATCTCCTATGCAAACTATGAGCTGTGGAATCCCCCAGGGTAGCACACTTGGGCCATTACTGTTTCTTATTTATATAAATGACTTACCCAACTACTCCGATGAGTCAAGTTTCAAACTTTTTGCCAGTGATACTCGGCGAATAACCTTAAACCTTAGTCATCCCTGTCATCCCAGTCATCCGTTTTGCCAGTGATACTCGGTACCTCGATACCTTCTCAAGTTCTTGTGAACTCTGAACTTGAGAAGGTGAAAGAATGGTGTGATGTAAATAAACGGTCAATAAATACAGCAAAAACTAACTTTATGATAATTACGTCCACTAAATAAAAGGATATGTCAGTGAATATTCAGATTAGAACAATGATGGAACGTACTACTCTCTGGTTCACAAGGACCACATTAAATATTTACGGGTAATGGCTGATGATAGTATCTCATGGAAATACCATCTCATATATTTGACACGAATATATAAAAATTAAGGCACTTTTTATCTGTTAAGCAACTTAAGCAAATTTACTAATTTTAAAATTTATCCTTACATCTCATACGCAATTTTGGCGTGGAGTAGCACCTATAGCTCGCACCTAAAGAAAGTGCAGATTAAGCAAAATCTTGTGGGTAGATTAATATTCTTTGTAAACACACATGGTAAAGATACCGAAAGTGCTTTCCCATTGCTGAATTTCCTAGACTTACTCACAGTATACAGCGTTTATTCTCTGCATGCTTTAAAATTGCCCATCTCTGGCATAAAAGTTCGCGACACCTTTCTTTATGCTGGGGATGTCCATAACTAAAACACGAGATATGCAATTAATCAAAACTTCTATAAACCACGTGTAAGAACAAATACTGGCAAGCAGATGATTTCAATCGATCTTTGGAAAAGCAATAATAAACAGTACCACAATACCTTACAGAATTGAACGAGTATGCTTTTTCAAACAAAAATCAAACATCATCTACTGACCGAACAATACTTGTCGAAACCTAGCACCACCTAATTCTGCCTAAACTCACTTTCAAACTTGTGAGTATTTTTTTTTTAAATAATAATTTTTTTAGATTTTGTTTAATTGTTATCAATTGTTTCTTTTCTTTTCTATCATTGTGTTCTTATTTATTTATTTATTTGTTTAATTTTGCTCTTTCTGGTTCATCGCCTGTATTTATTTTAAACATAATTGGTATTATGGTGGCCGACTGGAAAACCTAACGGTTCACTTGGCCATCGTACTCAAACCTTCATATTAATTCTACAGCAACATTTTCCTGTAACCTGTAAAGTCTGTAACCTAGCATTAGTGAAAATATTGAGGGAAATTAACTGAACCTGAACCTGAACCTTGCCATGACTATTATGCCACCCATCCGAGTGATCCATGTCATGCTAGTCATCTCAGTCGTTTCAGTCATACCAGTCATCCCTGGTCATCCCAGGCATTCCTAGTCGATCCCAGTCATCCCTAGTCAATCCCGTTAATTACAGTCATCCCTAGTCATCCCAAGTCATCCCAGTCATCCTCAGCCATCCTGGTCATCCCTAGGCATAAAAGTCATCCAAGGCATCCCTGGTAATCCATAATCACCCCTGGTCATTGCTAGTTATCCCTAGTCATCCCCGTCATCTCTAGTTATCCCAGTCATCCCTAGTCCTTCTTTTATCCCTAGTCATCCCAGGTCATCCCTGGCCATCCTTAGTGATCCGTAGTTATCCAAAGTCATCTCAGTCATCCCCAGTGGATTCCAGTCATCCCTAGTCGATCCCAGTCATCCCGCTCATTCCCAGTGATCTCCGTCATCCTTGGTTTTCCCCAAACATCCTTAGTCATCCCGGTAATCCCTAGTCATCTCAGGTCGATCTTAGTCATTCAAAGTCATCTTAGTGATCCCTCGTCGATCTTAGTCATGTCTAGTCATCCGTCGTCATCCCGGTAATGCCTAGTCATCCCGGGTCGATCTTAGTCATTCAAAGTCATGTTAGTGATCCCTTGTCGATCTTAGTCATGTTTGGTCATTCCTAGTCATCTGGTAATGCCTAGTCATCTCTAGTGGCACTAGTCATCCCAATCATCCCTAGTCATCTCTTGTCATCCCAGTCATTCCTGGTCATCCCTAGACATCCCAGCCATTCCTGTTTTTCCCGAGTCTTCCAAGTCATCCCTAGTCATTCCCAGTCATCCCAGTCATCCTAGTCATCCCAGGTCGATCTTAGTCATCCAAAGTCATCTTACTGATCCCTAGTCGATCTTAGTCATTTCTGGTCATTCCTAGTCATCCTGGTAAGCCCTAGTTATCCCAGGCATTCCTGGTCTTTCCTAGTTATCCCGGTGATCCCTAGTCATCGCCAGTCATCCAAGTCATTCCTAGTTATCACGGTTATCCCTCATCATCCCAGTCATCCCAGGTCATACTTAGTCATCTCAGTCATTCCGGTCATCCCTAGTCATCCCTAGTCATCCCGGTCATTCTCAGTCATCCCTGGTCATCCCTAGCCATCCCAGTCATCTCTAACATTTCTATTCATCCCGGTCAGCCCTAGTCATTCCTGGTCATCCCTTGTCATCCTTTAAGTCTTCCAAGGTCATCCCCGGTAGTCCCTCGTCATCGTTTGTCATTCCAGTCATCTCTACTCATTTTGATCATCATTGGTCATCCCTAGTTATCCCAGTCATCCTTTGTCATCCTTAGTCATCCCACTTCATCCAACTCCTTTCTATCATCATTGGTCATCCCTAGGCATCCTAGTCATGCCTAATCATCCCTTGTCATCCCTAGTTATACTAGTCATCCCAATCATCCCTATTCATCTCTAGTCATCCCAGTCATTCCTGGTCATCCGAGTCTTCCCAGTCATGCCTAGTCATCCAACAATGTGACCATAGTCATCCCTACTCATCCCAGGTATCTCTTGTCATATCAGTCATCCCTTTTCATGCTAGTCGTCTCTAGTCATCCCATTTATCCTGAGTCATTTCATTCATGCCGTGTCGTCCTAGTCAGGATGACTGTGATGACTAGGATGCCAAGAGTGACTGGAATGACCCAATCCTATGTCATTCTAGGTTTCCTTGTCATCCTTGTCATTCCATTCAACTTTGGCATCCGAGTCATCCTAGTTATTAGATTATTTTAGTATTGTGACGTCACAAACATTTAAATTTCACAAAAATGTGATTGACGGAGATGTTTAGAAAGAACGAGATTTAAACTTTCCATTTCTAAAAATTTGGCTGGTTAGAGCAAATTGGTGGTGGGATTTAAGCAACATTTCGCTCTGATGACTGTCTGTAAATCTTCTAAAATTGACCTGGATCGGAAAAGGCACGTTTTAAGCTAATTTTTGAAGGACCCTGGTGCATTTTTCATTTTACTTCTGATTATCCCAGCAAATTCAGTAGTGATTTAAATTTAGTTTTAGTTACGTCATCATTACTCTACTCTTATCCTAATCATAAGAGGTATTTCAATTATCCCAGTCTTCCTACTCATCTCAATTATCTTATCATTCCTGTCATCTTAGTCAGCCTTGTTATCCTAGTCATCCTAGTCATTTAAATCTTCGTAGTCATCCCAGTTAAAACTAGTCTTCTCAATTATCATCATCATCCCATCCATCCCTGTCATCCTTGTCATTCCAGTTATTCCAGTCATTTTTGTCATCCAAGTTGTCTTAGTTATCCTGTTGATCCCAGTAATTCCGTCATCCAAGTCATCCTAGTCATCCCATTCCTCACAAAGGGGAGGTTTGGCTAATGTGGAATAGAGGAGCAACAAAATAATCCTTTTTTTGGACACTCTTTCCTCCACAGATATGGAAGTATTGTTTCCACAAAGGCTGTTGTGGATAAAGAAACAAATGAATTTAAAGGTAATTCAATGCTTTTCCTTTTTTAACGTCTTGGGCACTTACATGTAGGTTTACAATGCGATAAACGCTGCCCCCGTTTAGTCCATTTTGGCTTTACAAATGGGAGGCTGACCTCCATTAACAAGGCTCACATCTAATGCCAGTCCAATTAATTAGAGTTGTAAGTATTTGACTATGATCATCCACACTTTCACACGTCAGCTCGCTCGTAAGGATCCACTGCGTTTCCACCACTTGTGACGTCAGTACAAATTGTCACTGACTACTTTTATAGCCTTTTTATGAGGGAGGACAAGGTCGGTTTTCTTATAACCAAATGCGTGGTATTCAACCAAATACTTATAGAGTGGAAAACTACCCAAACACCGTATTAAGTCGACCAATAAACGGGGATGAAAGAAAAAGAGAGAGAAACAGAAAAGATTAATATCTGACTTTGTGAAAACCATGAAATCTTTGAACCCAGTGGTAATGTTTCACATTGTTAAGATAGATATCAGTCGTTGTATCCAAGGTTAATAATGGTTTCTTATTTCTAACAGGCTATGGGTTTGTGAATTTTGAGACTGCAGCTGAGGCCCAAAGGGCAGTGAAGGCCTTGAAAAGTAAAGGAATTCAAGCCCAGATGGCAAAGGTGTTAGGCCTCTGTATATAAGCAATGTGTCATCCTCCTTGAACATTTAAAATCTTTTCACTTGCTTGTGAATTTTTCCCATGGCCCAAACTTAATAGGGAGCATAATACACTATATTTGCCCTAGCCCCCCCTCCGTCAACAAAAGTTGTTGTTTTCATATGTTCTTGGGGTTTTGCAGTTCTCCCAGGCATTATTTGAAAATAACAGCTAATGCAAGATTTTCGGGGGGAGGGGGCGAACAGTGTGTATTCAAGGGGATTTGAAAATAGAAATGGCGAAAGGCGAATTACAAAGATCACCATCATTTTTGATGGTATTCATTGCTTTTATTGTTTACCGTTCGCCTTTTCATGTAAACGCAATGCGTAATCTTTCTAATGGATTCTCTTCATCATACTGACTCTTTTGTGCTCTTTCATCATTGAATTCAGAACTTACAGTTGTATTATCTTTTCTGTCTTTGAAAGCCCAAGCATGTCTGTAACCCTTAAATACCGATTATTTTGCTGCCTGCGGTAAAGGGTGTGTAGACTCCTGATTAGCACGCACATGTAAATGTAATAGCAGCTATCGCTCGAACAAGAATAATTTAGTACAATACGTTGTTATCATTTTTCTATACATTTTATATCGCTGTTACCTTACAGCATACATTTGTTTTCTCCTTAGCAACCAGAGAAAGACCCCACAAATTTATATTTTTGTCGCCTTCCAAAGCATTTCTATGAAGCAGTAAGTCTGAATCTTACTTTATTCTATGTGTAGTTGTAATCTTTAATGGACAAGGTCTCTGTGGATTACGCAACAAACATTATTTTTTCCCTCTCCAATGATGATGTTTATTTACTGATCGTTTTATGAACCTTAAAGTTCGTGTGACCTGAACCCTGTTCTTCTCCAAAGATTGTCAAAATTCAGCATGACAAGCCGTCATTTTGGATGTAGATTACAGCCTCGTCCTCCTGTGCGTGACATCCTTCTGTCTAATTTTGCGGAACTTAGTAAAAAGAAAAAGAAAATGAAGATTCATTAGTTGGGACCTAACTACAAACGAAATTATCCCTTATCTACACCATGGAAAATTTGGAAAGTTCATTGATAGCTTTCTAGATTCATCGGGAACTCTTCAGTTAAGTGAACCTTCAAACGAAAAAAGTGATTGGGGATCTTGTCTAAGTTGATGACTTCTTCTTGATATTGGTGGATTACTTGTGTCTCTCTGTTTATGAGGGTGGTGGGGAGGGAAGCAACCACACTGACATCGCAAAACATTTATTATGAATGTAGCAGTTTATCGGATCTGCAGCACCTTAGTGTAAGGTTTCCAAAAAGGCCAATCCTTTCTATCAGAAAGTGTTAACCATTCTAGAAAAAATAATGAATTGTTACTGTTTTTGTTCTTATAAGGAGTTAGAATCCTTGCTAAAGGGATATGGTAAAGTAATAACGACCAGAGTATTGAGAGGTGCCTACCGTGTGAGTAAAGGAGTAGCATTTGCAAGGTAATGTGTGTTTCTCTACTCTGCTTTAAATTGGTTCGACTCATTTCTGTCTGGTCGCAAACAACGTATACTTGTCGGTGATAAGACTTCTGACGACTTCAATCTAAACTATGGAGTCCCCCAGGGCAGTCGTATGGGGCCTATTTTATTTACTCTCTACGTCTCCCGCCTCTTTAACATTATTTCTCAGCACCTCCCTTCCGTCCATGGTTATGCTGATGACACCCAGATTTACCTCTTCTTCCGACCTTGTTCTATCCATTCGGAAATTAACGCTCTCTTTGTGATTGAAAAGTGAATCGCTGATGTTTGCTCTTGGTTTATAGGAAATCGTTTAATGATCAATGACGCGAAAACTGACTCTCTAATTATTGGCACCCGTCAACAACTTGAAAAAACATCTATAGAATCTATTATCATTGGTGACACCGTCATTAAACCTTTAGAAAGCGTCCGGAACCTTGGGTCCTGGTTCGATGCTCATATGCGAATGAATGTTCACATAGGCAAGATTTTGTAGCAAGGCTTTTCGCGGAGTATACAACATAAGACAGATCAGAAAATTCCTTACCGTGCAATCCACAAAGACACTGATCCATGCCTTTGTATCTTCGCACCTTGATTACTGTAACGCACTTCTATTTGGTCTACCTAAATTTCAACTTGATCATTTACAGAAAGTTCAGAAGGCCGCGACTAGAGTGACTTTTCAGATGGCGAAATTTGATCATATCACACCCGCTCTTATCGACGTACATTGGCTTCCAGTAATGTTTAGAGTTCAGTTTAAATTGCTCCTTTTTGTTTACAAGTCACTACACAACCAAAGTCCATCCTACATTAAAGATCTTTTATCCCTGGAACCAGCTGCTAATTATGCTCTTCGTTCGTCTGCACAATCTCTTCTGTCCATTCCAAAAGCCAACTGCGCTATACTTGGGGATCGGGCCTTTGCTCATGCTGCACCTGTTTTATGGAACTCGCTGCCATTAGCTATAAGAACAAGTAGCAGCCTCGCAATTTTTAAAAAGCAACTTAAAACATTTCTTTTTAAGAAAGCTTTTAATTTGTTGGAATACTTCTAATGTTTAATTTTAATTTAGTTTGGACTTTTCGAATTTCATTTTAGATTTTACCATAGCATAACATTATTGTTATTATTATAGCTTTCAGGGATTTTCAAATTTCAGTTTTATTTATTATTTGTTCATTAATTTTTACTTAATGTAAAGCGCGTTTGAATATTCTTCTATAGTTTTAGCGCTATACAAATTCATTATCATTATCATTATTAGTCTTCAAAAACTCGTAATTAAAGCTGAACCTCTCGTTAGCGACCAAAAGGGCAACATCCCAATATTTGATGTTCACTTAAAGGAGGTGGACGCCTGAAAAAAAACCAGGGTATCTCGTTCAGAGACTTTTCAGATACTTCTTAACTTATTCGAAGATAACAGGCCCTTTACAGCCAATCATTCAGGTGGAACAAAACCCCTATGCTTGAGAGCAAGAGACGCACTGAGATAAGGCTAAAACTCCTTAATATGTTGCCTTATCCCAGAGACGCCCTTGTGCAGGAAAAAAGAAAATAGGTTTAATAAGCAAAACAACAAGTTTGCACGCGCATCATGCTTTTTTGTACATTTCTTTGCCGTTACTGCACGACTACGAAGTGAAAATGCCTAATTTCACTTTTTTTATGGAGGACGTAAGCAAGCGACGACGAAATTTTCTTTCTCTTTCCAAACTTAAGTGCGGTCCCCAAGAAATCAACTCCAGGGAAACTTGCCTAATTTAGACATTTTCAGTGAATTGGATTAAACGCGACAAAGTTTGAAAAAAGGCAAATTCATTTTATAAAAGTGACGTTTTCGCTGCCGTCGCCGTCGTCGATGCGAAAACTCACTATTTTGTTTTTTTCTTGTCCAAGGGAGGGCCTCTTGCTCTCCAGCATGGCAGTTTTGCACCACACGAATGACTAGCTGCAAAGGGTGTATTTATCGAGTTCAATTTCTATACCTGCAGTACCATGTTTTTCTTAAAACCTCCTACGGGAGGCTTCAAAAACGTAGCTAGTTATAAAGCCGTCACCCCAAAAAGTGCGCGCTGTTGCTTTTGAGAGACCCGCGTTGATTACCTTAGCTAACTGCGGGTCATTCAGACTTCTCTGTTGTATGTCTCTTCGGGCTTTTTTTTTGGACTTGACCGTGCACAACGCCTAATAGCAGTCCTATCGTTTTGAACTTGCTGACGCATAGAAACTTCACATTAATTTATTCAGTCACAATTTGTGATCAAAATCAAAAGATTGTGCATGGAGTGGGACCTCCCACCTAGACTGCTTGCAGTCCGCCTTTTCTCTTAAAATTCGCCTAGTTCTTATTTCATCCAGCGCGATTGCAAACCACGGCGTTATTATTACAGTAAGAGATTGAGACCAGACGAGAAAAGACGGACTGCAGACTCTTTTTTAGTAGACAAACCCTCTGTCAGCCCAGAAACGGAGTAACCGATTGGTCAATTGTACAGCTGTTGACAGATAATTGACTGGTCTGTGGTAAGATTGCAAGCAATAAAAATATTCACGCGTCACAACCAACTGCAAATAGCGAACCAAGCAGTAATCTCAGTAATGAAACTTTCAAGGATGTCTTACACAAGGAAAGTGCTAGTCTAAATTTCCTCATAGGAAACGAATTCAAGGCAATCTTATCGGATTTAAAGATACTGTTCAGTTGTTTATGTTCTATTTATAAATCTTTTCAAGTTACTCGGGTTTAATTGACAAAACAAACGAGTCAGCAGTCTCTTATTTTTTCTTCTCAGGCTTACGCCCTCGTTTCTCGCGGCTCGTAACCTGAGATCAGGCCCAATTTGAGCGGTTCTCATACATTCTCTCCTACTGCTACCGCTAAAATTGGGCCTGATCCAAACTCATTCACGTTTGTGCTCGTTACGGCCAGATTTTGGCCGTAACGCTGATTGGCTGTTAGAACAATGCCACAAGATCTGATTGGCTGTCGGAAACGCCGGAAGTTGAAAGCGTGGTTGTTTTCGTGAATGATCCGTCGTCGGCGGAAAGAAGGATCGATTTTGCTGTCTTTTTTATTGTTTTGTGGTGTTATGGTAGGAAAATATGCCTTAATATGTGCCATGGAAATTCATAAAATTCATATGGTTGTTGATATATTCTCACGATTTGCTTTATTTACGGAAAGTGAGTGTATCGCGGAGTTGAATCCCTCTGCAAGTTGTTTACCGCTAACAAGGTGCCTTTTGATTTACCAACAAACGGGTGCAAATCAAAATACTGTCCATCTTAAAACTGGTTTCAGTTGAAAGTTTAGCCGGGAATGACTTCTCTGAACGTGGTACGCAAGCGGAGGCTCACTGCGAAAGAAACCTCAATCGCCAACTGTGAAGTATTAGACGAAAAATATCGCATCGCTGTTCAAGGAGTGTTAACAGACTGGTTGTTTGCCTCCGCTTTTTGTAAAAAATAAACCAGGAAAACTGGTGTCCTCGCTCGTTGGCTGTTTGCTTTTGTTTTTGAAGATTTATGTACTGAAAATCGGGGGAAATTGCCGAGGAAAATATAAAGGCAACGGAAAAATAGAAATTTCAGTATTTTAAATTCGAGCGCGCCTAGCCAAAAATAATAAAACTAGTAGAACATCGTGTCGCGTCTTTTCCAAAACGTTTTACCTTCTACGCTAACAGAAATAACCTTCGAGATCTCCCTTAATCTCGCAAGAAGTTAAATGTGATTGTGCTGACTGTTTTATTTTTAGCTGAAAAAATTAACAGATTAAAGCTATTTTTTAAGTCAGCCAGTCTGCATTTTTCCCACGCGTGAAAAATTTGCATACTGGAAAAACAAGCAACGGAAGCAATTTTGGTTGGACGATTCGGCAAATGTCAATCAAAAAAAGTGGGCGGCAGACGTTTCGTAGAAGGTTTGTATCAGGCTCTCATTTCGTTTCGCCACGCCCGCCGGACTGTTATTAGGGACCTTACGCATCGACAACTAAACGGACGACGACGACGCTTCCCAACCAAGGCAGACTGGGCCAAGGGTTTCGTTTTCGGCGGGGAAAACGAAGTTTAACCAGTGCAGCTTCCCAGACGGACGACGACTTTTTCTTTGCGAAGAACTTTGTCTTTGTTAGGGCATTCAAAGACCTCCGTAATTTGCATTTTATAAGGTATGAAGATGGTTTAATCGACGATGGCGAATTCATTGTTCTTTAGGACCTGGATTATTTGATTGTGGAGGCTTTCTCTTCGTCGCGCAGCTTTTGTTTTTGTTTTGAAATGAAGTTAAACCTGTATACCGATCTCGAACAGCTCTTGACTTGCAGTTAAGCTAAATTTCGGCTGCTGAAGAGAATTCAGTGCTGCTACAACGTTCTCCCATATTTGTCCTCTCTCAGGGCTCCTCATAACCACATCATGTTCCAGCTGAGTCCACTGGAAAATAGTTGCCTTTAATAGCGGCTAAAAACAACATGGGAAATTATTAAATCTTAGTACGAAAAAATGAACATTTATCCTATAGCCCAACCTAGAATGCATGAGTAAACATAGGACCGTAAGGGAACGAACAGCAGCTAATCTAAAAGGTTCGGAAGATAGCAGAGGAAAGCTTACTTGTCTGTCCGACTTGTTGTTCCGCCATCACTCAGGTTTTCAAACAAACCGTGTTTAACATTTGGATTCTGCTAATCCTCAAAGAATATATTTCTACTTGTACTGAATGACAAGAGGGGGAAAGAGTGATTTACACGCAAAAAGTATAGTTTTATACTTACGTTTTAGCGACGACGGCAAACCTCCCTGAATTACGTCGTCGACGAAGGCTGGACGACGTTTTGACAACCTTACGCATGCCTAGAAGGTTCGCGCGGGAAAATTTCACTTCCGGTCGGCGGCGTCGTCCCATTTCGTCGTCGATGCTTAAGGTCCCTATTTACAAAGCGAAACGAAAATAGAGCCTGATCTCAGGTTACGCGGCTCGCGGCTTTGTCTCTCGCGTGCTTAGGTTTCGCGTGCAGTAACTTAAATTGCAAAGAAAAATAAGAGACTGCTCGGAGTCTAGCTCCCACCATAAACCGTAGCACCATTGATTTCATCTCTGACACTTGCCGGTTTTTACAACAAGTCTCCTCTTGTAAGCCTAAACGATGCTTTCTTTCCAGTGGTGCTGGAATGTTGTCTTACAGTTATAAATCTACTTGTAGAATGTATTTAACTCCAGTTGCTAATTTTCGCTACCTTTTTTTTTCCAAGACATTTATTACTCTTTTACTTGTCGCTACCTGATCATTTTTCTTATTAGAATGGAAAATAAACAGATTTGTAAGAAGATAATTAAAGACTTGCATGGAAAAAAGATTCAAGGTAAGAAAGGTACCGCGTCAACTGTAGCAGTATTCATTTAGCGATTATTGAATGAGACCAGAAACTCATAAGGGGTTGAAACGTGTAACTCGCGTTCAATGCTCGTGAACATTCACATTTTACCATATTTGGAAACCTTGGTGACAGATATCCATTTTAAACAAATGGCTGCCGCGCGATCACCATGCAGATGTTTTAAGACAAGAGTTCTGCATTTCAGGCTTAAAAATACACCGTTAAAAGACAAAAAAATGGAAAGAGAAAGTTCAGCAGAATACTCAGCTTTCTTTTGGTGGAGGAAGGGAAGCTTTTCATCAAGAAATCGTCCTTCGAGGAATTCAACCTTGTTTTCTTCACGACGGATCTCTGGTCTGTTTTGAAATGCAACCAAGGCAGTGAAGTTTTTGCTGAATTTTCAGGTACATTTTGCACTCTATGGCCAAGACAATTACGTTTTTGAAAGGGAATTTGTGTACTTTTAAATGTTTCATAGACGTTTTATAAATTTTTCTCTTCGGCGCTAAAGAAAAGTTACAAAATGTGCCCCGATTTGAGATGGATTTTGTGTTGAATTTTGCCATGTGCTCAACCGATTTCACTTGCGTGAACGGATCCACGATCCAGATAGTGTTTTCCGAATTGCTTTAAAGGATTAACTTTTTGGATTTTGAATAAAAATTTTCAAGAAACGGCTTCTCTGTCTATTGTTTTGAGTTTGTTCATTCATAAAATTAGCTCAAAACACGATCGTGACTACAACATCCAAGCTGAATTTAAGCTTAAATGCTTCTCACATTCATTACACGCATCACTTTTTGCGAAGATGTCAGGTTCAGGTTTTGGACACTTTTCGATACGCAGCTAATAAATCTTATTCGAAAGTATTTTTTACTGTTTATTCTAGACTTTTAAAATGAGAATTTTAAAAGCCTATTTGTAGTATAAGTTTACTGTGCAGAGGGTCAACGAGGCATCGTTGTTTGAAGTGACAACTTGAAGAAGTTGTGAGGACGTCAGTGGGTTTCATAATGTTATGTTTGGCCCGGGTGGTGAGGCAATAATATCCTGCTCAGTGTTTCGGTAAGATTCCTGGTTTCAACCTTTGAAAACTTTCTCTGCTTTCGGGAGTTTTTTCTCCCGTTTGTCGGCCATTTTTTTCAAGCGGGCGCGGGAAGCTGAAGTAAAATTACGTCACGTTGTTTACGAAGTTTGATTGGTCAGTTGTCTCTTCTTCTCGTTCCAAATATGGTACTTTCGAAAATGAATAATCACGAGCATCGGACAAAGCAAACATATGAGAGTTACACGTTTCAACCCCTTATGAGTTTCTGATGAGACTTGGAATAATCTGAACGTCCGATCTGCATAATACTTGAGATCAGTCTGTCCGTCCGTCTGGTCGTTTTATCCAGTTCATCTGTACATGCGTCCGCTACATGTGTCCGCGTGTCTGTCCTTTTGTCCTTTTAATCTATGACTTTGGTGCATCTGTCCGTCCATCCAATCCGTTTGATCCGTCCTTCCGGTCTGTTTGGTCTGTCTGTCCCTCCGGTTCGTCCGTCCGTCCGTCCGTCCATCCAGTCTGTTTGGCCGTCCGCACGGTTCTTCTTTCCAGTTCATCGGTCCGTTCGTCAGGTTGTCCGTCTGTCCTTGTTTTCCGTCCGTAGATACATGTATATGCAGTCCGTGTGGTTTCGTCCGGTTGGGCAGTTTGGTCCGTCCCGTTTGTGTGATTTGTCCGTCTGTTTGTCTGTCCATCCGTTCGTCCAAGCATAGGTGATAGTTATTTTGTTAAGTGAAGAAGTGAATTTGGCGCTCATACTGATGAGTTATTTACTAAGCATTATTTTGAATGGTTGACGTGGAATGAAAAACTGACAGACTTTTTTGCTTACTTTTTGCAGGAAGTGTCGAATCACTTGTTGTAGATTTTGCTGATCTGCGACAGCAAAGTTATGGTACGATAAACAGTACTGCGATTCAACAATACTTTATATACTAAACCTGCGGCTTCTGCTCTTTAATTAATATTTAGTTAAAACTTAAATACAATGTACTGGAGCAATATTTTTTATGAACTGGACCCAATATTTGTATCGGGCATGCACAAAAAGTCCTGAAGGTTTCTCCCATGTTTTCTGTAGAATGAACCTGTGTAAAATAAAGATTAGCGGGGATCCCATCCATGGATGGCCACTTGATACAGGTTGCGTGCAATTAAAAAAGCTTTACGCCTGTCGAATTGCTTGTAGCCTGTTGTAAGCAATAGTTTTCTTTTGACTTTGTCGGTAAGTTTATTGCCAGTATCTTTATGCCATGGATGATGTGGTCAAAAAAGGATTAGGTGCAAAAGTTTGTAATCACACTGGGAGAATACCAAGCACAACATTACTTAACAGCCAACCAACCATCTTTTCCTAACTGGATATTTTTTTTCTTAACAGACAGTTCTTGGCCAATTAATAGGCGAGAGGTGAGTAAGAGTTTTTTTTTTAAAAAAGTAAAACACTTACCATTATGATCAGTCAGAAATGACCTACCTGACCAGTCCAGTAATAAAACGATATCCACTTTTAATCAAGTCTTTCCAGCTTGCTCAACCTGTTCCTGAAAAGTACACACAGCAGGGTTAGGGTTAAACTCTCGAAAACAACTGGTACAGCCAGTTATTGCTGATTTTTGGTAAGTGACCAAGGATCAGACTCAGGTTTAGATCTCCTCTTTCTAAACAAAAGAAGACTGAATTTTGATTCATTCACTTGGGCAACGACATCTGCAGTTGTTTTCATCTCCTTTACTAATACACCCTTGCTTCCCATTTATTTAACGTTACATTGCAAGCTATGTCCAGCCCTGGCTATGAAATCCCGAGTTTCTTCACTTCTTACTTAGTTCCACACGTCTCCGAGGTGTGGAAGTGTGGAATAGTCTAACAAAGTAAGGATATTGTCGCACTTTTCCCCCAGTCATGAACCTCTTGTCATTCTTTACTTACTTACACACTTCTCAGAGGTCTGGAAGTGTGGAATAGTCTGACAAAGTAAGGATATTGTCGCACTTTTCCCCCAGTCATGAACTTCTTGTCATTCTTTACTTAGTTCCACACTTCTCAGAGGTGTGGAAGTGTGGAACAGTCTGACAAAGTAAGGATAATGTCACACTTTTCCCATAGTCACGAACCGAAAGTAAGGATATTGTCGCACTTTTCCCCCAGTCATGAACTTCTTGTCATTCTTTACTTAGTTCCACACTTCTCAGAAGTGTAGAAGTGTGGAATTGTCTGACAAAGTAAGGATAATCTCACGACCCTTTGTCATTCTTCCCTTAGTTCTACACTTCCCAGAGGTGTAGAAGTGTGGAAAACTCTGACGAAGTAAGGATAATGTTACACGTTTGCCTCCAGTCACGAACCATTTGTCATTCTTTACTTAGTTCCACACTTCTCTGAAGCCTTCTACAGTGTAGAAGTGTGTAATTGTTTGACAAGTTGACTTTAATGTCGCACTTTCCCTGAGTCACGAGAAGCTAGTGCGCTTTATGAGCACTTGGTTTTATTTCTGCATCGTTTTTTACATTTTTCCTTAAGAGCTATTTTTATATTGAATAGAAGATATAACCATTGTTTCAATGCCAGCTGTTGAAAGAACTTAAAGTTAAGAAAGCTAATCTCCAACCAATCTTTCTTTCTTATCAGTATGCTTCAACTTTGATCATTGTTAGATCAAGTCATACATCCACTGTTTCGTAGTTTTTCCTCTTCTCTAAGATTATGTAGATGCTGAACATAAATCATGAAAAAGACAGTGTCCTCTGTTCAATTATCTTGCATATTGTGACCGCCAAGAAAAGGTCTGCTCACAAACTTCTGTGTCAATCTATAGGTTAACCTCAAAGAGGTCAGATGACAACATCAAAACGTTTGTATCGCTTCATGATACTCTAGGCCGATAAGTCACAATTATTACTTTATACAGTATGCTATATATTCTTAGACGAATGAATGATTTTCCAGTAATCGGATACCCATGTTTTGCGCACAGGATTCTGGGATCGCCAGGGGGCAAACACTGCGAGTCGCTACAAAGAAATGTATGGCGTGGAGTTGTTTCTGCGTTAAAAGCAGTGTCTTTGGACATAGAATGCCGCATTTTGCCGTGATTTTATGAGAAACGGAGGTGACCAATGTTGGTGCGTTGAAATTTCAAGTTTCTGTGTGATGAATGCGATAAATTCTATCGATAAACACTCCTTGCGTGAGGTTGAGTGTGAGATTTATGTTCACTGGATTTACACAGACATGAAGAATTCGAAGAAAAGATCTCGAAATATATAGTGCAAATTTAGGTGTACATGTAGGGGGATTGGCTCATTTAAGCGTTTAAGTTATAATTACGTGTGGTGATATTTACGACGAGCGTAACTACGCTCGGCCGCGATACCAGCGCTGTGCGGCGCTTTGCGGCTTATGACAAGACAACGATCGTGGGTATGTACGTGGCCATAAAAATAAAAAATCGTCCTTTACTTTGGTATAAACAAAGTGACATCTACAAAATATTTCATGGAAAGTACATGGTATTTAACCATTAGTAGATGAGGCAGAAATCGTACAAACGAGTAAGATTTCCGATACAAAAGCAGTGAGTGTGAAAATAAATACCAAGTTGATATGCGAAATTCAGAGATTCTATATCTTCCCTCAAAATGATTGGAAAAGGCATTAGAATTCATCGGTTCTCAGGATCATGACAAAACATTTCGCTTGTGTTTTTTTGGCGAGAAGAAATCAATATACTAATGTGCGGAAGATGTTTTTGTTTTTAAATTTAATACATATCAAATTCGACAATACGTAAGCTTACCTTCGATCGTTGTCACAAACCGGCACAGCGTTGTGATCGCCGCCGAGCGGAGTGTAATTACACTCGTTCTAAATATGAGCACATGTAAGTACAACTGGAAAGGTTTAAATGAGTCCGTATTCCCCGCTCGTTTATGCCTAAGTTAGTACTACACATTTCGAGACCATTCAGTAAATTCACAGTCGACCTTTCGCAAGAATCAGTGTTAATCGATAGATTTCATCGCATTGATCCCACAAAAACTTACAATTTCTTCGCACCAGCATTAGTCACCTCCGCTTCTCATAAAATCACGGCAAAATGTTGCATTCTCTGTCCAAAGACACTGCTTTTACCCGAGAAACAGCCCTACGCCATACATTTCTTTGTAGCGACTCGCAATGTTTGCCCCCTGGCGATCCCAGAATCCTGTGCGCAAAACATAGGTATCCGATTACTGGAAAATCATTCATTTAGGTCATGCACCGGATGAAGGAATAGAACAATAACCACTGATTTGAGCATTTATAAACTTTATCAAGTTGACCTTAAAGCGAGGCTAAGTAGAACACAGATACTCTGTCTTCTTTACTGCCTATTTTTAGCATTGTCACGGTCTTAAGAGACCTATTCGATGTTGTACCCAATTCAAATCTCCCAGGGTTAAGATTCTTTGTGTATTGTATTCGCATTATAATGTGGCATTCACATTTAAATGATATGGAAATTCCTGAAACAAAACGTGTTATTCCCAAAGGGTTTGAATTGGGTACAGCTGAGTTAGCCGAATAGGTCTATATAGGAAGGAGGAAAGCCCAGAATAAGACGCCTCAATTATATGGCTCATTAAGATGAAAAATTTCAAACATAAAAATCCATATATAAGATGACCTTGTTGAGGTTTCCGTTAAAAAAAAAAATGTAAATAAACGAAGATAAAGGACTGACGGGGACTTCGTGACAGAGAAAACATAGGTTTGTATTATGGTCATGCAGGTATCCTTATTCAAACAGATGGCAGTGAAACAAGGTTGATATCTTCTAGTCACAGAATTGTTGTCTAAACGTAAAAATAGCATTTAACAATTAAGATGTAAAATGAGTTGCAGAAATAAATCCAACTAACAGTCCCACTGCGCTTTACTCTCATTTCATACACAGGAGTGTAACTAAGGAAAGAAGGTCAAGGGATTCGTGACTGGGGGAGAAGTGTGAAAATATCCTGACTACTTCATTCAGACTACTTCATTCTCCCACACCTCTGAGAAGTGTAGAACTAAGTAAAGAATGACAGAAGTTTCGCGACCAGGGGAAAAGTGTGACATTGTCCTTACTTTGTCAGACTTTTCCACACTTCCACACCTCTAAGAAGTGTGGAACTAAGTAAAGAATGACAGAGGTTTCGTGACCAGGGGAAAAGTGTGACATTATCCTTACTTGGTCAGACGTTTCCACACTTCCACACCTCTGAGAAGTGTGGAACTAAGAAGAGAATGACAAAGGGTTCGTGACTACGGGAAAAGCGTGACAGTATCCTTAATTTGTCAGACTTTTCTACACTTCCACACCTCTGAGAAGTGTGGAACTAAGTGAAGAATGACAGAGGTTTCGTGACCAGGGGAAAAGTGTGACATTATCCTTACTTTGTCAGACTATTCCACACTTCTACACCACTGAGAAGTGTAGAACTAAGTAAAGAACGACAGAGGTTTCGTGACCAGGAGAAAATTGTGACATTATCCTGACTTTGTTAGACGTTTCCACACTTCCACACCTCTGAGAAGTGTGCAACCAAGTAAAGAATGACAGAAGGATCGTGACTAGGGAAAAAGTGAGACATTATCCTGACTTTGTCAGACTATTCCACACTTCCACACTTTTGAGAAGTATGGAACTTGGGATGAGAAAGGAAAGTAGGGTTAGTTCACACTTCCACACCTCAGAGAAGTGTAGAACTAAGGTTGAAAAAGGAAATTAGGGATCTTGCGGCCAGCGCTGGACATTTGTGTTGCAAGCACAGTGGCTAATTGCATTTTCCGTCATAGAGACGACCATTCTACGGTGAAGACTCCGACGATGACGAAAGCGGCAACAGAAATCCGTTCAGGACTGCTGAAGCACACCCATTTCTTGAAACCGCATTTAATCTGGGTATGATGGGTTTAGAGAAACTTGGAGAGAAACTGGACGATCCAAGCCACGACAGGGCCCAGTCTTATCGCGCTTATAATACCCATGTCTCTCCCGTCAAGAAACACTTGAGTGAATTTTGCAAGTTTGTACACTTTTACCCAGATATATCTCTATTCTACTCGTGTGTTCATTCCACCTTCCCCAAGTCGGTAGTGGTACAGAAAATTGCAAGTTTCTTTTGGTAAAATTCTCAAAAATAAATAGTACCATGAAAAAGTACGGCCATGAAGTGTTATTTGAATGGTTACACAATGTGATTTCTCCTACATACTTAAAAGTAAGAGCTAAGTTACATATCTCTGCTGTAAGTAGATACTAGTTTTTACTCTCCATTAATAAGTACCCTTTCAATCCAAGTAGTGTGGTTGTTTCGCTTCATATTTAATATTGTAGCATGAAATCACTGCTACATCTAACAAATCAGCCCAAAGCAAGGCACAACTACCTCTCAAACCTTGGGGGAAACAACAAACATAACTCATTTTGCAACTGTTTTGTTAGAAAGGCTGTCGACGAAGTCCTTTTTATTATTCACGATCAACAGTGGAGGAAGAAATTGCGCCATTTTTTTGGCGTCTTTAGAGGTCCTTTTGGAGGGAGGCATGGTGTTTGCCTAGGGTTGCGTCGAGAACTATTTTCCACAAATGCAGCAATATATAGATTGGAGGCGCAGTTTTCCTGGAAATCTAAATTTTCTCTTTTAAAGTAACAAGCGGAATTATGGAGGTTTACCCGTTAATACATTTAACGGCCTTTTAACACCAAAAACAGTTATTCAATCCCGAAGTTACGAGCGAACATACCCGGTAGTTGGTGCTTCTCAGGGATTTTTTTTCCTGAATAACGTTGCAAACCTTCAAGACTTTGTCCGGATGATTCAAGTCCTGTCCACTTTTGTCCCACCTGTGCTTTGCCAAGAACACTTCTTGACATAGTTCATGTACTATTCCGGAATCGTTTTGCTACTCTTAAATACGAGATTTTGTTGGATTTTAGCCTGTTCGAGACGTTCAGATAGTAGAGCACGGCGGTAAGTGGGGAGCGAGTTAATTTTTCTCGCGCGCTCTACTATCTGAACGTCTGGAACAGGCTAGTTGTATTTGGAATTAGTGGTTAATCCTGGTGATGCTGTCCCTTTAATAAAACGGCTCTTCACAACACAACCCTCCTCCGTCTTCAACTTGATGTATTTCTTTAAGTCACTTTCGTTTTCCAAGTAACCCTTAAATTATGTCTTTTTGAAAGACTTGTATGTTATCTGGTGAACAAGAAGTGGTTGACGGAGGCATTAATGGTGGCGCCTGGGAACAGATCTTCAAAAACGGAGGACAGATCCTTAGGGAGTATTACTGTCAATTCAAGCAGATGTCAATTGGAACATGGTAAGTTGTTACCATATATTTGGTCAGCCTTTTACGCGGGAAAACACCCAAGGCTTGTTTAACTAAATTATCTGGCTTATCTCAAACCGAAGCGGAATGTCGAGTGGAAATCAAAAGAAATATATGTCCGTGTTGTCATTCGCGTAATGCAATACCGTCGTTAAACGTCTTTTGACACCCTACTGATGCTCGTTAATATTCAACTATTTTACCTTAAAGATAGGCACTGAGCCTCGCTCTACATGCTCTAGGAAATAATTTTTTTTACCGTGCATTAGTTTTTTTTCCTTTTAATAACTTATTTCCCTTAAGGTACGGAAAAACGGGTAACAATAAACGTGCAACTTGTTTTGCAACATTGCTGCAAAAGAGTTTAATAGCGATGTTACCCGTTTAACCAGCCACATCAAACCTGTCTTGCAACAAATCAGGTTGTTAACAGGTATGAACGTGGGTGGTAAAACGCGCAACGTCGCTATTCAACTCGTTCTGCAGCAATGTTGCAAGACAAGTTGCACGTCTTTTGTTGTCCGTTTTTCCATATATTTAGACCCGGTTCAGACGACTTACGTCACAAGAGCCGAATCAAATTCAAATTCAGGTCGGCTGAGTTGATTCAGACGCCGATCTTTGCTCCATGCAGCCGAACTTAATTCAAAAGGAGAAAAGTCAAAATACTTTATAAATAGATAGACATCATTAAAATTTATGCCTTTAGTTCAGCTCATGTGAAAACAACGCTGGTCCACAGACATTATTCCCGGCTGAGCTGGGCGCGAAGAGCGGCAGAGCCGATCTAAATTCAGTTAGTCATTTCGAATTAATTCAGACGTCATATTGACGTACTTTCCATTGAATTCGATCCGGCTTATGTGAAGTACGGCGTCTAAATCAGGCCTTTCTCACCTTGTTTTCAGATCATTCACAGAGTGCATCTAAGGATTCTTGTGACAAATGCTTCCTTCAAGAGTTTGTTTTGTCCTTGATCAATAATGTCGACAATCCATTGTGGTTATTCGATGTGCTTCAAGAGGTATTTAAAAAAATTTCCTCTCAACATTTCTTAGTAGCTTTGGAAATTGGTGTATAGTCAACTCTTTTAACAGATACCTTCCACGGCACGAGTGACCTAGAGTTAGTCCCTCCTGTTCTATAGTCTTTTTAGGGGACACTAAATGCCGATGTCCGTCTAAAAAGAGTTGAATGGAGAAAGTTTATACAAGGCAGCATGCACAGAAGGGACTTTGGAAGAAAGGGTAGGGATGGGGATGGGAGTTTGGTGATCCGAACGATAAACAAGAACTATCGATATTGGCCTCTACTTTGAAACGAGGAAAGACGGAAGTAGTTAATGTAACTGTGACAGGAAGCAAGAAGCTACCAACGATTCGTTTCAGGTAATAATGAGATCAAAAGGCGTTGACTGTGTCCGGAAAACCCTATAAGTAGCAGAGCAATAGTCTATAAAAGAACCAGCAGAACTACTGTTTTATTTATTTGTTTATGTAGCCACGCCCACACAACAAAACATTAAACAAAAGACAACAAAAGAGTTTTGAGTTAAATTTCAAATTAGTATGATAAGGAATCCTAACGAAGCTATGGGGTTACATTTATAGGCTCCCTTAAGCTAGATTACGAATTACCTGGCTTACTAAAGAGTCTACAGGAACATAGAAGTTAAGTGTCAGATCCACGGACTACCAATGAGATAATCAGAGAATATTGCTTCTTAATGAATAATTGTTTTAGTATATACACGCGTAGTGATGTCAACAAAATCAGAAAGGAAACCCGAGCCACGCGAAGGTCTAGCCGTTTGAAGGACAAAGGAAGTACCTTCATTTCTCAGTTATTTTAAGACCCTGAATATTGGTCCGGCCCCGGGAATCGAACCCGCGACCTCCCGCTCTGCAGTCAAGCGCTATACCGACTGAGCTAAACCTGCCGCGGTTATGGGTTTAGCGTAATGGCTTTTTTCTGTTAACTCGCCAAGTTTCTTGCCAAAAATGTTTGTTGTGTCGTTACTTCTCATGAAGTGCTGACATGGCGGCTCTCTTGCTCGAGGTAAGGCGTCTTTTCCTGTAGCATTCTGTCCTATTTACCCAAAACTTAGAATTTCTGCAAACATTTGCTTTCATTTGTTTGTTATAAATAAACTTTGAGTTTTAGGCCAAATTTTTCTTGTTAGACAACGCTGAGTTCTACGCGAATAAACAGGAGTTGTTAAGAATCCATCGAGCAAAGAAATTCAGCTGCAGTGAATGGAAAAACGCCGTTTTGAATCCTTCGAAGTCTTTTCTTGCCTTAAAAAAGTAAACCGCTAGGATTTTGTCGTCTTTTAAACGGTCGTTCTCTAAAAAAGGAATGGGAAAAACAGCGAGTTCACACATTGTCCACTCGCTAGAAGGTGAATATGGTTGAATAGTCCGAGATAGTGAACCAGTCAGATAGCTTAAATCACCAAGATCACTGAGTGTCTATATACGAAAGTTTTTTATGCACTACTTCAATTACAACAAGACGCTACGGAGCGTACACTTCGGCGTCGTGGTTGTGGACTGATTAATTGTAAATGCGGAGGAATAGTAAGAAATGAAATAAGAGTAAGGTGTTAATTTGTGAAATTATGGGATTTGTCAGGATATTCTGGCATTTCGGGACAAATTGTCTCTGAGATATTAGCCCAGTTATGCTCCATACAAATCCTTCTAAATTTGACTTGGGTCTAAACCTTTAGACCTAAGTCAAATATGAGGTTACTGGCGGTGAATAACAAGTATAACAGAACAAACAGTGAAAAAAGAATTCTCTATTTTTCTTAGTCACATCAGTCTTCAAAAACAGCACAGCAGTCTCATGTACTGATTAAAGATATGTAAGGCATGGGTAAGGAGTCAAGTACGTTGAGCATAGAATTAGCTAAAACTCAATGTTACGAGTTCGAATGTTTTGAGGATAATTATTCACTGACTATTATAGCACGCAGGGATGTCGTGTTAGCACAAGGAAGTTTAATACCAAAGGAAGCCTTTACAGAGCTTTAAAACACAGCATTCACCAGCACAAACTTGACTTGAACTTGAGTAAAACTAAACAGCCTCTATCAATAATAACAAACTCTCACTTGAACTTCAGATATCTTACGGCTTCCGCCAACTTGTAAACACAGAACTTGAAAATCGACCTTCGTTACACTTGACTGAACACAGCAGTCCAGCTCGTGGGAAAAACTTAGTTCGTCAAAAGAACTCGCTTGGAACTTGTATACCGTTTGACATAAGGTTCTAGAAAATACTAAACAGGCGAATAGTAGTAAGTAGCTTTTCGACATATTTTATGATTTCAATAACTGATGCAAATTTGCTGACTCATGCTGAGATGTAAACATGCCCTAATTAGTTATTCATGAATAATCCAAAAACGTAGAGAACGTTCGAGAAAGTCAAGCAACGCATGAAAGCAATTTTACTACGTAACACTCAACAAAGACAAAATGTCTTTGTGCAGGATTTTGTAACTTTAAATTCATCATAAAACAGCTCGAAAGGAGGGCTCACTCGTGAAATGTTTTTCAACACTCGAAGAGAATTCAAAAAAAGTCAACTTTGATACATTCCTGAGCGTCGCGAATCCTTTACTTCGCGCTCCGCCGAAGTAACAAGGATGTATTGCCCACGAGAACAAAGAGCAGTGGGTAACTTATACTTCCGTCTATTAATGTTAGAATGTACCAAAAAGCCTTTTAGTTTATCATGGTTGCATGAAGATTTTTATGATCACTCTAGTAATTAAGTTTATAATCTTTTTATGTGACATTTTAGAGCTATTTTTATTTGTGCATAATGATCATTATTATTTCTATTCCACTTTATATTCCACGTAAGCTTATTACATAGTGGCTCTATGGATAGCAGTTTTTAATTTGTACAAAAACTGAAAGAGCTACCCTATTGAAATAAAGGTTTCTATCTAACCTTTTTTTGCTTTTGAATCTCACTAATTTGCGGTAAACTACATTAACATTGATGACGTTAGAGTCTTCTGTCTTTATCTGAATAAAATGCCGGGGATTCTTAACGAGTGAGGTCATATGCTATTTTTAACTGGTTTGACAGGTTTTCTAGTTACTTCTAGGCATTTGATTAGTTAATTAAGAGACGTGTTCATTGGGTAATTCACGTTGTCGAAGTAATAAACTTTCACTTGCCTGTGAAATGTGGTGGTGGAGGGAAAACATTAGAAATGCGGTGGTGGTGGTGGTGAAGGAGGAGGAAATTGAAAATATTTGAGGAGGAGGGAAATTGTGGAAAAGGAGAAAGGAGGGAGGGGTTAGTAAAATATGGCGTTTCGTGTTAGAAAGTAGATAGTTTGCCTTCGCCCTAATTAATATGCACGATTTGTGCGCCAAGAATCAGTGAATACATCCTCGGAGACCTAGGGGCAGTCAGCCGGGTCGGGAGAAAAGGTGTTACGAAGGTTTTCAAGCACGAACGGAAAATAATAAAGCATACAAAGCATTTTTGTGCTCAATGAGTGGCCAGCATTCGCTTTGCCGTTTGTAAATGCTCTGGTAAGAGTCGGTGCTTGAAGACTTTCGTCGCGCGTTTTCTCCCGACCCTACTGACTTTCCCTTGGTCTCCAAGGATGCAGTGAACGGGAACTGAAACAATGGGCCACTTGCGAGTTCCCCCGGGCCTCTGTATCAAAACGAGGTTAAGTGCTCAGCCTTTGATATGGGAATGTTTTTTTCATTCTCATGCAAATAAAACTCATTTTCAAATGAAAGGTTGTGCACTTGGCCTCTTTTTGAAAGTTAGGGTTTTGGAACTCGGAAGTGGCCTATTTGTTTTCTGCTAGAAAACTTCTCAAACCGGTAAATGCCCTTGTGGCTGACGACGACAAAACTAGGAAACTAGGAACGAAGCTTCGAAGGGTGTGCCGCAGCAGGTTAAATTAGGGACTATTTTACGGGTCGAAAACAAGAAAAACGCGGAGAACCAAAGGTGACGGTTAACGGTGATTTAATGAACCAAATACCACCAAAAGACTAAATAAACAAAGTCGATGATGACCGTAAACTGAAATAATAGTATAAAAATTCTCTATCAATTTGGCGACAAGGAGATTCTTAGACAAACGCGTAATTAACAAACTAAGCTTAAAAACGGTAATAAAGCGATTCTATGATGATTATGTCGATAACATGACGGTAAAATTTGTAGATAAACGTAAATTAGACAAAAATTCCATAAATCTGATCTGATCAAAAAACTGGAAAGTAGTATTTTTTCCTTTCCAGTTTTTTTGTTGTACGTCATTTCCGTCTCTCCCTTCTAAACTATTTTTATTGCGACATTCTCCATCTGTATAACATTGTGATTCCTACATTAGTTCAGTAACATCCTGAAGAAGGCTGGTATGGCCAGCCGAAATATTGTTGTAAAGAACAATACACGTTGTTTTAAATCAGCTTTGCAGTAGTCTTTGGACTTCTCGTTCTTGCCACCTCTCAATGACGGACGCTGTTAAAACTCGGTCCCTGCGTTACGCCGTAGAAAAGTGTCTGCCTTATAAAGAGTCAACATAATACTACACTGTAATATCATATATAAAGGATGTTTATAATTCCGAGGTTATTATTTTTGAGGAGGCCGAGAAACGAGAGTATAGAACCAGCAGTTCTTAATTGTGACCGCTGAAATGGAACAGTAGGCTATTATTCATAATACTAACCTCCTGTTCCACTTGTTCGCAACAATGGAAAGTTGCATTAATACTGATTAAAAAATGATCCTCCTTCAGCTGGGAGACCAACTGTGCACCGCCATCCCTGGCAGCGGTCTTACAACAGCGCAGGAAAGACAAAACTTCCAGATCAAAAGCGCTTGCCAGAGCAATCTTCATGTAAACCTTCTGCAGCAAAAGTAAGTCATCTGTCTTAAATCGCTCAAAGAATCGATCGCGACTTGGAACGTCTGTTATTTCCCTCCGCTCCTTTAGTGCCTGCCCACACCTTTACTTTCCACCTCTCTTTAGTCGCATTTCCAGTTTTTGCCTTCCCTTCGTCTCCCTCACCTCTTAACTAGCTGGACCTTGGGAACTTTGGTATTTAAACTGAAATTGTATGCGTTTAGTGCCTTTTATTTTCCCTGGAAAATGACTGTTTCGTTCAACACTGAACAATTAGAGTGCAGTTTTTTTTTTCGTTTTTCCGCGTCTAGTCTGCCTTGATTGCCGCCAGTTAGCGTTAGTGGAGATGGACGATGATTACCACTAAAAGTACATTTTTTTCTTGACTATTTTAGGGACTTGGACGCGTTCTCTAAACTTCTTCTGGGCCCGGGAATGTCTGACTTGGTCTCAAAAGTCACTTGTACACGCGACAGACGCAAACTTGAGCCATCAGAAATCGTTAACGAGTTCCGTTGCGGCATAATTGCGAACACTGAGCTACAGGAAGTGCTGAAAGCTGCCAAAAGATCCTTTAGTATCTCAGACTCCAGCGGAGCCATGTTTAAGAACTTGACAGATGAGATGGCGAATAAGCATCCAATCCTTGAGGAGATGCTGGAGCGAGTGTTAAAGGACGACTGGACTGGACTGGATGAAGTGTGGACGATAGTAAAACATAGACGTAAAAAGAAATTCTGGCAATGGAACTAGAGAAGGAAAAGGTCTCAGCCTTAGGGAATTGAAAAAAAAGAAAATGTTACCCTAGTTTCTGGGGAGTTCGATTAGATAATCAGTTGTTGCTTGAAAAAGAAGAGTACTCTGAGTACGAAGAGTGTGAAAACTTTATGGTGGAAGGTAGGAAGACCAAGACCAGTCAGAGAGTTGACTAGTACAGAACCCTACTGTTAGATACATATAATAGCTTTGTTCTAAAAAAATTCTTTAAACAGTACATTCGCCTAGCAACTTTCAGCATTGAAAGTGTTGAAGTGAGCGATCATCTAAAATCTCCACTGAAACAGAGTGCATAAAATGAGGGAGGCAGGTTGTGTGCATTAGGGTGGATTTTCACTGCTGCGTTAATTTTTACGTGAGTACGCACGTAAACTTTACGCGCGTACATAAAATAGAGGCAATGTATCGAAGGTCACGCGTAAACGTAAAAGTTGGACCTCGCTCATTTTTTACCTTTGCGCGTGGCCTTTCATACATTGCCCGCTCTATTTTATTTAAGCGCGTAAAATTTACGTGCGTACCCACTTAAAAGTTACGCGACAGTGGAAATCCACCTTTTGGGAAAATGCTGTGAGCACCAAAACTACACTAGACGTATTAAAAAAATACAAGGGCTTTATAAGAAAACAAAAGCTAACTCCTGGATGACCAAAATGCCCTTGTAGTGCTCCGAATTTCCGCCGTTTATGACGGAGATATATTTGTAAAGGGTATATTTGCAAGTACTGTCATGAAAACTGATGTTTAATTTCATTAATTACTTCAATGGTGTTCACTAGGTTTCCTTAGACTTTCAGGTTTTTAAAATATATTGTACTGTTCTTCGGGTTATGGGTTAAGGCATCCTGATTGTACTCATCCACTCAAAGTCTTTCATTATAGGAAGGTTATTGATTGTGAATGATGCGCGCGGTGTGAGGTAATGTTGAATTATTCGCATTATTGAGGAAAATTTGTTAGTCTTGAGATTGTCCGAGATATGGCAGAAGCTGTAGTCTGGGCACAGGTAACCCAGGCTCTGTGATAGTACCACAGTACGGTTCCAGTAAAATTACAGTGTTTGTATGGGGTAAAAATATCATCCTAAAATTTCTAGGAAATACTATATAAAGATCAATAAAACTTACTCTGCAGTTAATTGTTGTTGTCCTTATTGCTCCAACGAAGTTTCGTGATAATTTGCAGTAATTTGTTTAAATTCACTCTATCTACAATAATAATATACAAGGTAGGAAACACGAGGTGCCATTTTCGCCGACATGCTCTCATTCAACACAACTTTTTCCACGAAATTCGAATTCCAACGGAAAATAAACATGCCAGGATCGTAGAAATAGGATAGCAGCAGATATAGAAACCAATGAAGCTTTCCCAGATAGAGAAACGAATCCCACAGACTTTGACAAACTCGAAGAATATAATCCAAACGGACCGAGAATATGCTCGCCGAAGCAGCCGGGCCAGATCAACACGCGGCCAAGAAAATGAGGCCTGGGCACTGTACAAAAAAATTCCATCCCGGGGGTCCTGAGATGACCTTTCTAGGGACCGATACATCATTTGCCCAAAGCCACCCTCCCCAAGCAGTCTGGATTATCTAAATCCGAAAAACGTTTGGCTAAAAGGAATGCAACCTGGGAGAATGTAAGTAGGTGATCACGGTGGCACAATATATTTAGTTGGTAAGATAAACAAACATGTTCAGTTTCCCTTAACCATCCAGATTATAAAAATGTCGTCGATAATTCTTAGCCGTACAGTATACGCTGCTTACAGGGACGATAGGGTGACTCAAGGAGGTCGCCGTGTTTTAATTTGCCAAGAATTGAGTTATGAACTCAGACGACCAGTACTTAACCCTACTTGTAATCGTATCCTACAAAAGCTGTCTCATAACACTTTCTAAAAAGCAACATTATAAAAGCATAACAATGGACTTGACTCTGAAGTCATCTTTTTAAAAAGCTAAGACCATTGAACCTTCAGGCAGTCTTTCATGTGTTTTGTTTGTTTTTCTGTTAATGTTATCAATATATTCGTTAGTCACACCACCCCATACACGTCATGACTTTCGATCATTGTTTTACTAGGAATATTTCTGAACATTCGTCTAACTAAACAATTATTGGACGAGGTTGGGCAAAATATCGTGATTTGTCAGTGGCGAGCAGATCTATTATTTGCCAAAGCTGGTTAAATCACGATATTTAGCGATAACCGAATTCATTAATTGTTTTATCATTCGGTCACTAAGTTTGTTTTTTCAATGAATCTCGTCCCCAGAGCCCGTCGTTTCTTGGTCACCGGTTGGTTACAAATTAAGCCGAGTGGCTCTGGGGACGAGAATGGGGCGATCGCAAGAAGGAGAAAAGCGTAGTTTCATTTACGCCTGAGCAAAATATTATTTGCAGCCAAACACAGTTGGACGATATTGCGCATGAGCAGACCATTATTTGTAGGCAGTTATTTGCAGGTCACGTGGTGGGCTCTCGGCCAATGAAAAGGAAGAAAAAGTTGCGTCGAATGATAATAGATTTTATGTTCGCGGGAATAAATATGCTTTGGTCCGACTCCGACTCATTTTAGCCCGCTGTTACTATTATCATTACTTTGGTGGGCAAATTACAGGACAATCTGAATGAAATCACGCGAGCATCTACATGTCGAATGGCTTATCCTCTAAAACTGGTAGAAATGACAATATGGTGCCATTTGAGTTTTTAAAAATTACAATAGACATAAAAGCTTATTTGTAAGTGTTAACATTAAATGTACATGTGTACAAATTTAAACTAACAGTTTGGCATAATTGTTTGAACTAAGTGCGTTTGAAGCCGCAAAACTTTGTACATGCACTTCATCGCCTACTGTGGAGCTACTACAAGCGTTATTTTCATGAGAAGCTTCTCTAACTATTGTAGATCTTCTTCCTCTAGGTGAGAAGGTTAAGAATTTACAAACTGTATTAAAGAAGATGGCTTCTCCATTTTGTTTGGCCACTTATATTGTATGACTGTTTGATCCTCTCTTTTCATTGGTTTATTTCTTAGACTACACAATGCCCAACAGAGTGATAATAATAGTTGACCTTTATAATTGCCCTGAAGGCTGGTCTTAGCTCTGCAGTTGTCTTTTTGACCGTCGTTTATGACTTTATGTGTTACCCAAAGTACAGTGTATGGCCTCTAAACTAGATCTGAACATTGACAGGCCACTGCGCCTTTTTCTCAGCGGAGACGACCCTTAAAAACTTGAAAGAAAACATGCGGAAATTACAGGATCAGGGGAATGATCTTTGCATAAAATATTCCATGGGTCTGTAATGACAAAACCACACACACAGAGTCTCGGTTGATGTCTGGTGAAAATGTCGATCGCCTGTTTCCTTTAGAAAGCCGTGTAAAAACGACCTCGAAACATACAAGCATTTTGCATCGATTAGTATATAAAACAACCTAACAGGAAATTAGGAAGTAATTGTTGTGGTGCCACGTGACCGGTCGTGACAAGCGCGACGAGTGTTGCGTTTCTTAGAATCAGTTGCATGAGCGAGATTCGCAGAAATATTTGCATAATTTATACTGGATAATTGCATCGAAGAGCAAAGAATCTGGCTGTCTAATTTTGTAGAGCAATGTGGTATGATGATGCCTATGATTACAGTTCCTCCGTATATTCACCGTCTTATTACGGTTCTGATGTGGAAGGAGATGACCTGAGAGGCGCTGTACATAGAGATCAAGAAGAAAGCAACAACGCGTCAACTACAAAAGACGCTTCGGGCACTGTTTACCAGTTACTTTCCCTTCAAGACTTGTGTTGTCGTGTCATTGCGTTGGAGTTACCGTTTGCGTACGTCGAGCATCGATCACCTCCAATTCCTGATGAACTGCAATTGAAAATTATCGGGTTTTCGTTTCCTGAGGATGAGCAGATGATAATGAAGTATGCACAGTTCAGCAGCCGTAGTAGTGTCGACGTAAGCTCGGCGAAATCAGTGCTTGGAAACGTGCAAAACCTGAACCAGATTGGTAGGTGTGACTTGACCGATTACTAGGAACAATAATGCTTCTATAGAAAGAAAAAATATAATGTACAGTGGCGGATCCAGGGGAGGGCCCCCCCGCGCCCCCGCTTATTTTTAGACCAAACTGAGGCCCGAAGAGCCGAAAAAATTTTTTCAGACCGGCCCCCCCCCGCTATTCTCAGGGTCTGGATGACCGCCCCCCCCCCCCCCCTCTCCCCCGCTTATCTGAAGGTCTGGATCCATCCTCGGAGACCCAGGGGCAGTTAGTCGGGTCGATAAAATGTTCGTGGTGAAAGTTTAGTTGTAATTTATCAGGCCCATGTTCGCCCAAACGGCTTTGCGCGCTTGTGTTTTGGTTTTGAAACGATTCTTTTATAATAATAATAATAATAATAATAATAATAATAATAATAATAAAGTCTTTATTCATCAAGAGATAAAAATACATATCTTTTGTTACAAGTAAGTGTAAGAAATTTTAAAAAGTTAAAAAGTAAGAATTAAAAAATATATATATACCGGTGTATATATCTAGTATATTACATAGCTAATTCATATTTAAAAACTAAACGATTAATAAAAGAGTTTTTAAAGCGCATAGTGTTAATCTTAGGTTTAAAACAAGTTTCTTTCCTAAGATTGTAGCTGGAGGGTTTAACACGAGGCATAATAGATAAAAGTGGCTATCCTTTGGCATTGGAAACTTTTCTGAAAATTTTACGGTCTTGCCTCTCTAAAAAATCATAAACACTTACAGGCTTAGACATATATCTAAGAAACATTGTACGGGTGTAAGATCGGACTCGGACGCGACGTAGACAGATAATGCGTAATTAATATTAGGTACAACTATAGTATTAAAGAGAAGGTCTATTTCTGACTGATTGTACCCTTCTTTGCACAGCGCTCTAAGGATATGTAGGGACTTGTTAGCTTTAATAAGTTTGTTTGAACAGAGATCGTGGTTGCCTCTCTTTTTGATCGTCAACTCTTTGCATTTGCTTGGGTTGCAAGACATTCCATTAGTATTCGTCCAATTTAAAAACTGTGACACTAATTTTGTCAAATGCAGTGCCTGATACTCAGGCTAGAGAAAGACTAGCTTTTTTCACGCTTGACCGATCGAAGCTTACAGCGACAGAATCTAAGATGCCAGTAAGACTTTAATTCTTTTCCAACTGGAGGATGATATATCGCCGACTTCGTTAAATGTTACCGGAGAAAGTAGTTCAAAATTTAAACTGGTTGTGAATGCGTATGAATGGGTAGGTAGGTCGCACCTGCTTTGTTGATTCTTTGTTGAGTCCGATGAACAGAATGAAGGTCATAAGATTACGAAATGTCTAAGCACCAGGTGAGATTTTCCTGAAGCCCGATTCGACTGTGAAATGTTTTGATTCCTCAATCTATTATGTTGTGTTAATTCTTAGGAAGCTTAGGTATGTGTTCTCGAAAGAATACACGAGAAGTTGTGTTTGCAAAGCGTCGAATCAGCACTTCATACAGTCTTGTCGCTGTCTGTGGAATTTGCGGCAAACACGCTGGCTGTAGAATTTGCAGCCAAAAGCTTCTTTCCCATCTCTCCAGAGATTGAAAAATGGGATTCACGGAGACGAATGTACTTCGGCAACCCACGTCGACGCGGTCTAGATCTTCCAACCGTACGTTTCGATGGCGCCGCCATCGAAAGTGTTACAGTGAAACAAACACTCACAAAAACAAAAAGGCTCGATACCAGACCAAAATACCAAAGAAAAATACGAAAAGAACCTGTTTAGACTTTCTTTTAAACCAGATTTAGCGAACTGTGGAAGATTAACAAAGATTGACTCTACACACTGAAGGTAGCGATTTTCAACTACGCAAAATGTGATTTCTGGAGTACAGGGCGCGCAATGCATCTAGGGTGAACATGGGCCTTTCAATACCTTACAAATTCCGGGGATTTCTCAAATATTTCTCGTACACAATTTGCTTCGTTGTTCGCAAGTTCCTTCGTGACAAATCAGAGAAACAATTAAAGGCCGTCAACAAAGGCTGGATCGGATCGGATCGGTTTGAATTGGACGTATTTTCGCTTTTAGTGCAGAAGAATTATTTTGATAAAATCTGTTTTTAAAAATGACACAGGTGGCTCGGAATGAGAAATCCGGGTTCTCACAACAGGAGTCTAACCAATGACTAGTCAAGACACGTTTGGACTAGTAACCAGTTCGCCTCGGATTTTTTCTTCAGAGCCGTCTGTGTCACTAATAAAACAAATCGTTTCTCATGTTTTCACCAGGCTAAAATTCACCATGAGCTTGAAAATCATTGCAAAGAATTATTTGCAACTGAACTGAACTCGGAAATTTTCTGTTGCATAACTTCATATGACAATAATTGTAATCCAAAAAGAGGCTTGGTCACGTGACATCGCCCGAATCGAAGATTGCGGAGGGAGATGTAAGTATCTCTCAGAGGAGACGATTAAGAAAATCGGGGGAATGAGTAAAGTACGATAGCGACGACTTGCCGTCAATAAGCGAATGATTGAACTCTTCAAATGTCAGTTACATTATTTTCATTAACAAGAAGTCTTCTCACTCGTATCTGCTTTAGCCGAGTCCGTCGCAAACGTGTCTGGACTAGTCATACGTTAGACTTCTGTTGTGAGAACTCGGACCTCTTACTCCAAGCCACCTGTGTCATTATTAAAAACAGCTTTTCTCAAAATAATTCTTTTGCACCAAAAGCGAAAATACCAGTCCGATCCGATCCGGAGTCCGATCCGATCCAAGATTACTAATGGTCTGTCCTGCAGAGGGCTAAGTTTGCCTTAAAAATATTTTAAAGCATCATGATTTAGATTAAACGGGTTTTAATATGTAGTACACAGAAAAAAGACTCTCTCCCTTACCTCTGCAACTCTTTTGTTAGTTATTCCTTTTACCCTTTATTAAAGCCCTGACATCCACGTACAAATTCTCCAAACTGACCTCCATACATTTCCGTAAAGAATTAATTGAGAGAATTTGATAAAAGATCAAAGCATTTTCCCTGAGGTGATCATTTTATTAAATCTCATTACCTTTTCTTCTGATATTGTATTGATATTGCAAGGAGAAAATCGATGTACTTGGTCACTTTTAATGAAGATATTTCATTGCCTCTCCAAGCCTAAAAGGACCAGTATTACGACACTGTGTAGCTGGCATGATCAGAGTGCAGAAGAGCTTTTTGCCTCAGGGCGAGGAAGGATTTTCGTCGTTTTGTCTCATTCCACGAATGCTTGAATGCTTTTGGGGTTTTTGTTAACGGACGTGCGCAACAAAACTAAATGGTGCAATAATCAATTTTACCACAGTATAATGAATCCTTTGGGAGTGTTACAGTTGCACAGTACATTTGACAGGTTTTGACACCCCTGTGAAAACCAAATTTTAACTGGTGCCAATATTTTAATATTGCTACAGGCTTCCGTTTGAGTGCCACAGTAAATCACAACAGGTGCAGTTACTATGTGACTGTCTACTTTGATCGTGGAAAGATAACATTCGCCCAATGTTCATGTGACCAGTCAATGACTTGGTGTGCTCATGTTATTGCGACATGTTTGACAAGATTAAAGGACAAGAACACTGTGACGATTCGAATGCCTGTCTCTGATTCACTTAACTTACTGGACCAGGACCAGTTGTTAAAATTTGCACATTACCTTCTATATGAACACCAGAATGAAGGTATTATTGAAACTGCACAACAGCTGCTTGATAAGCTGTTGTCGAAAGAACAGAAAGAGCAAGAAGAAGACATTAATGCCATTGCAGGGGCACCAGATCCTACTGCTGGTCCTGGTAAGACCATCTATCTTTATAATCATATCAGCAGCATTATACATCAGAACTAGAAGTTTGGAAATACTATTAATTTTTAAATGGTTTAAAAGTTTTAAAAAGAATGTATAATAATATTGTAGTCATTCTCTAGGTGAAAGGGGTACGTTTACTCTTCAAAAAGGTTCAAACTCCCAATAAATATTTGTCCGCTATGGGTGAAACTTTCAGAAAATCCCTGTAAAGGAATCCGGGTTCTGAAATCACTGTGACATTTTTGTAGCCTGAATTTCATCCGATTACTTCGAGTCGTTATTACTCCCTCAGTAACTGTTACTCTGAGGGAGTAATAACGACTCGAAGTAATCGCACGAAATTCAGGCTCACATTTTTGCTTTTGGAATCCGGAATCTAAGGCTTTGGAATCTGGAATACAGCTAAAGGAATCTGGAATCCAAGTTCCACTGACAAATGATCCTGAAACCTTCGCCTCGGCTCAAGAATTCAAAATTGTCTTGGATTCTCTTTCATGGGGCGACTTTCATTTTTTTGAGGGATAGTAAATAAAACGCTTGGGGTATCCTTTATTTTTTTAGAGGGTTTCTTGATTTTCCAGATTTTTGATAGTTGCTTTTGGAAAGGATTCGCCTTTATTTCAATTTCTTTTCCATTTGGTGGGGATTTCTGATTTCCATTGACCTTGTAGTTTTTCCGATTTCTTGTTGTCTCTGCAGTTGACCTGCAACTAAATGCAGTGTTGAGAAAAGGGTGATAGTTTTCTCCGGCGAAGGAGATGTTGGGATGGTAACTGTGCTAAAGTAGGTCATTAGGCTTACCTTTTTTTCCTGTTTGGAGAAACAATCATTAAGCCATTAACATATTGCCTAGCGGTGAATGACATTTTGTAAGAGGAAATAAAGGAAAGCCTGAGTTTTTCCTGAGTATTGAAACAAGTTCAACTGCAGTGCAGAGGATTATAGTCCCTGGGGAGGGGGTACTCAAAAAGGTTTTAGGGTCGGATCAGGTACCCTTTTCTTGTACCTTCTATTGACAAGTGGTACCCCTTTTAACTGCTGTAAATGTTCTGACTTTTAAATATGATTGACTCACAAAACAAGAAAGTTTTCTCGACTTTTCACAGCCATAAAATGCATCTGTTAGCCCTTTTGGGCCTTTTTACAGACCAAAATGATAGAATTCGCTACCCTTTCATATACTTCAACGAGTAAGATCCCTACCTTTTCATACTGACCTGAAGCCTGGAAAAGGTACCTCTTTCGGTTGGAGCCTCCCTGTATAGGCCATTATAGGGAGTACCACCTCTCCGAGACAATAGTATGGTATGCATTAGATCCGAGGCACTGATTTTTGATCAGTGGTTAAAGATAACTGAACCAGTTCGTAAACTCAAAAAGCTTTTTATCAAATTCCCCTTAGATGGCTCTCTTGTTGATCTTTTTTCCGGGACTCCCTTCCTCCCCTTCTCTGTTTTTTTTAAAGCAGGAATGGTTCATTTCGACGGAAAGACCAGCTGCATCCCAAACTGGTTCGATCCTTTTCTGTTAGCATGTCACTCCTAAATATGGAAAGACAATTCATTTATACATGTTAATGTGTATTGCCGTTTTTTATATTATTAGGACTTGACGAGGAGGTTCACTGGTTTGTCTGCAAAAGCGGATTCCAATCCAGGTGTAAAAACTTGATGCATGGATGCGATAACGATCCGGGCTTTTTTGATTTCATCGATCGGGATAGTGACAGGAAGGGCTTCGTTAAAGAGGTGTGGAAAAGAAACTGCTTTCATCAGGCACTTGTCAAAGGTAAATTATTTGTACATCAATACGATTTATGTATTGTGTGGTCCAGAATATAATTTCAGTTTCAACAACAGCTGAGACCGATGTTTGGCGAGAAGGTTCATGGATCTGACACGAGCTAATGAATGTTAACGTATAATAATCCAGCATGGCCATTGGTGAGAGGGTAAATCGACTCATGCGGAAGCTGTACAGGAATGATCCCGTGGAGGAACAATGATAATTCGTGGTGTCAAGGGTTTCATGGTTTCCTAGGTTCCGTGGTGTCATTGGTTTCATAGTTTCATAGGTTTCGTGGTGTCAATGGCTTCATAGTTTCATAGGTTTCGTGGTGTCAGTGGTTTCATAATTTCATAGGTTTCGTGGTGTCAATGGTTTCATAGTTTCATAGGTTTTGTGGTGTCAATGGTTTCATGAGATTAAAGATATTTTCTCTGCTGATTCACTGAAAATTAGCTTTATATACTTTGAATGTTGAAGCGAGGAAAATAGGAAGGGAATGTCTGGTAGGAAGGAAAGTGTAAAAAGGGCCAGAGACCCCAAACTGGTAGAAGATTACTAAAGAGGGAAAGGTTCAATTTCTTTATTATATTGCTTTAAAAAAGGCTTAAAATTTTCAATAGTTGGAATATTTCCTTTGCTTCTGCAAAGCCAAATGTAGAATCTCGCAAGTAACGGAACGAAGTTAATTGCGGCTTTGTTTTTGGAATTGTCAGGCATCATCAGACCCAAGACGACAAGACTGTTAAGGAGATGGTCGTTGGATAAAAGTTTACGATCCTTTAGAAAGGCAATAAGGTGTTTCCAGAAAAGTTCTATTTTGCTGCTGAACCAGAAAGGATGCGAGAAGTTTTCAGCTTCTTCATGGCAAAAGGAACACCTAATGTCATCTTTGTATCCCATTTTGACTAAAGATACGTTTGTTGCCAAAGTTTCATGAAGGAATCTAAACTGAAATTCAGTCAGTTTGGTGCTTTTGGTACATTTAAAAGCGGTCATATATGCGTTATACCAGATTAAATCACGAGCTCCATTTCTCCTGACTAGAAATTTTATAGTTACATTTTAATTCCACCAGTTTTTGATAAGCTAGTCTGCTGGGCTTTTTTCGATTTTAAAAAGGCGGTTGTGAAAGACTCTTGTTCTTTACAGTTTAGTGGTACATCTGGTAGTTTTTTATTTTTCCAGAGCTCTCGGAGGGTAGATGTCATTCCATAGAATGTCAAAGGGCAAACCTTTGTATGATACTTTTTTTTCAAATTCTGTTGGTGACGAGAAAGTACTTGGTTTTTCCTTAACGATTTGATTCACCTGAGAAAGGCCCATTTGATACCAACTTTTATAGAAGACCAGTTTGTCCATAACTCTAATCAAAGAATTATACCACAGGCTTTGTGTGAGGAAGGACTCCACCGGTTCTATTGAACCTTGATAGTTTAATTCAGACCATATCTCGAGAATCTCTTTCAGAAAGGGACTAAGATTGTCAGCAAGCTTCTTCGAGTCTTTTATGTCAAGGTTGCCCCTAAAAACAGCGCTCAGTGATATTAGCGAAGAGAATATGAGGGATGTCGAGAGAGGGGCTTTCTCTGTTGTTTACGGAAACCCAGAAGCTTGGTTGAAGATCGATCGGTGGAGGAAATGTTAGCGAGTGACATGTGCAGTTAGTATGTGGTCCTTGGTCCGCGACTTTTCCCGGCATGATTAAATATTTCGTCGAGAAATAAAATACAATGAACAATGAAACGTTCAATGATTTATTGATTATAAGCATTATTTTTTCTTTGAAGGAGCGAGATTAAAGTTTGTTGACAGGTAGGTTAATTTGTAGTTCTAGCTGGAAGTCTGGACTTCGGCGGCACCGTCGTCATGTTTACTTAGCTTGTGAATAGACAAAACGCAACACTACCTATGAAACCACGAAACCATAGACACCACGAAACCTATGAAAGCATGAAACCATTGACACCACGAAACCTATGAAACCATGAAACCATTGACACCACGAAACCTATGAAACCATGAAACCATTGACACCACGAAACCTATAAAACCACGAAACACATGAAACTATGAAACCATGAAACCACGAAACCTATGAAACCATGAAACCATTGACACCACGAAACCTATGAAACCACGAAACACATGAAACTATGAAACCGTGAAACCACGAAACCTATGAAACCATGAAACCATTGACACCACGAAACCTATGAAACCGTGAAACCATTGACACCACGAAACACATGAAACTATGAAACCATTGACACTACGAAACCTAGGAAACCACGAAACCACTTTCACCACGAAACCATGAAACCCTTGACACCACGAAACCTATGAAACCATAAAACCATTGACACCACGAAACCTATGAAACCCCGAAACACATGAAACCATGAAACCATTGACACCACGAAACCTATGAAACCATTAATACCACGAAACCTAGGAAACCATGAAACCACTGACACCACGAAACTATGAAACCATTGACACCACGAAACCATGAAACCCTTGACACCACGAGACCTATAAAACCATGAAACCACTAACACCGCGAAACCTATGAAACCATAATACCATTGACACCACGAAACCTATGAAACCATGAAACCATTGACACCGCGAAACCTATGAAACTATGAAACCATTGACACCACGAAACCTATGAAACCTTGAAACCATTGACACCACGAAACACATGAAACTATGAAATCATTGACACCACGAAACCTATGAAACCACGAAGCACATGAAACTATGAAACCATTGACACCACGAAACTTATGAAACCATGAAACTATTGACACCACGAAACCTATGAAACCATTGACACCACAAAACCTATGAAAACACGAAACACATGAAACTATGAAACCATTGACACCACGAAACCTATGAAACCATGAAACCATTGACACCACGAAACCTATGAAACCATGAAACCATTGACACCACGAAACTCATGAAACCATGAAACTATTGACACCACGAAACCTGTGAAACCATTGACACCACAAAACCCATGAAACCACGAAACACATGGAACTATGAAACCGTGAAACCACGAAACCTATGAAACCATTGACACCACGGAAACTATGAAACCATGAAATCATTGACACCACGAAACCTATGAAACCATGAAACCATTGACACCACGAAACCTATGAAACCATGAAACCATTGACACCACGAAACCTATGAAACCACGAAATACATGAAACTATGAAACCATTGACACCAAGAAAACCTATGAAACCACGAAACACATGAAACTACGAAACCATTGACACCAAGAAACCTATGGAACCACAAAACACATGAGACTATGAAACCATTGAAACCACGAAACCTAGGAAACCATGAAACCACTGATACCACGAAACCATGAAACCATTGAGACCACGAAACCATGAAACCCATGACACCACGAAACCTATAAAACCATGAAACCACTGACACCGCGAACTATGAAACCATGAAACCATTGACACCACGAAACCTATGAAACCATGTAACCATTGACACCGCGAAACCTATGAAACTATGAAACCATTGACACCACGAAACCTATGAAACCTTGAAACCATTGACACCACGAAACACATGAAACTATGAAACCATTGACACCACGAAACCATGAAACCCTTGACACCACGAAACCTATAAAACCATGAAACCACTGACACCGCGAAACCTATGAAACTATGAAACCATTGACACCACGAAACCTATGAAAGCATGAAACCATTGACACCGCGAAACCTATGAAACTATGAAACCATTGACACCACGAAACCTATGAAACCGTGAAACTATTAACACCACGAAACCTATGAAACCATGAAACCATGATTCCATGATACTTTCATTTTATGACATAGACATTGCATATACTAATTAGCATAAATTCGTGCACCGTAACTCCAAGTAATAACCGCCTCCGCCAACGTGAATAAACACTGCTTTTGTCACACTTGACTAAACACGACTAACGTCAAACTCTCTCGCTTTTGAAAACTAGTTAAAACTTGACTCGGACTAGCCTACTTATATACTTTCACAATAACATTCTAGAACTTTCCAAATAGTCTAATTATAGAAAGATTACAAAATATACCGCTTTTAGAAACGCTTACACGAGATCCTATAATAAACAAACTATGAACTCTCGCGAAGCTTCTAGAAAGTCACGCTAGTCACGCAATACAATTTTTCGTAACACAGTCCTAAACATTTTTTTAGATTAATGTTGCTTAGATCTGACTTACGAAATGCTGTACTCTTAAACGTTGTTATTGTACTAGGTCACTTTGCATTCAATGGTTAGCCGGCGGGTGTACTTCCTTTTATGGCCAGTACGGGGATGTGCCGCTGGACAGAGCATTGTCAGAGTACAGAATCTAGACACACTAGACACAAACGAGCCATTATTAAAAAGCATTTAATTTCCGCAAATCGTAACATTCATCCTACATCATTCGAATAAGGACACCAGGAGAGTTCAAGCTTTCCTTGTTAGATCTTATAACAGGTCGACACAACACGTGGTTCTCCGTCCTTGTCTAACGCGCAATCTTAAAAAAGTAATAGTGGCTTCCATATTTGGGCCAACTTAATCAAACAAGGCCTGGAAAGATTCAAAATGTTTACTGCAAATAAACAAAAAACGTCACCAGTGGCAAACCGTCGAACCACAACAGAAACATAAACGCAAAATCCAATTAGTCGCTGGCCAATACCTTCGTATGTATCTGATGTTATAACACTCACTTGGGGTCTTACACTGAGCCGGCTGGGCATTTGGCCCATTATTCTCACTTGATTTGGTCCCACATAGGAACAAAAGGAGTACCCATCCCATCTTAAGACAATTTTTTTCTTAAGGAGTCCTCTAAAACAAATACCGTGGGGATAGTAAAAAATTATCCTTCCCTGCGTATATACAATTCGTAAGACCTTGCAATGGGATTATTACCCTGACGCAGAATCAGCTTAGAGGGAGCCCGTCATTTAAAAGCGAAAGAAGCACCTCACTCACGATAGCTACGAGGAAAAACTGTTGAGGATCTAGGCCAATACCGCGAACAGGTCTGTCAGGTTTTTGTAGGAAAGCAGAAAATAAGATGTCAGAGGTGAATGATGACCAGTATCGCGCAAAAAGGGAAACCGGGGAAGCGACAAACTAGTGTCTACAAAAAAACCGAACCCTGGAGTCGCTATTTTTAGAAACAACTCGTGGATATGCGAAGCGTGTTTTGACAGATATCATTTCAAGTTAGATAGATAGATATTCTGTTTATTTCACCCACTTGCAGCAATAACTGAATTGTTGGGGAAGGTCATTGTCACATACAATTAACCATTTACATACGTTCACTGAAATTTATAAGTTACAAAGTCATTAATTCTTCTGGTATGACCATGTTGACGTCTTGGAAGTTGGACCCTCATACTGTAATGAGACTCAAAAGCGGCAGGGGAGGGGATGATGTTCTTAAGGGGGGACATTTGGCGTGCAGTAGCCATAAACCGCTTACAAGCTCCTACTCTCCTTTCACTAAGGGACTCCAGGCCGGCCAAGACCAAGGCTTCCGCGTAGTCTACCCGGCCAAATATTATTTTGAGGGCTTTCCGCTGTACAGACTCAATTAATTCATCAAGATATAAAGGGATCGCAGCCCAAACTGGCGAGGCGTACTCAACAATGGATCTAACAATACTACAGTAGACTAACACGAGATCGTTAGTGCCCAGTCCAACTCTCTTGAGGGTCCGCAGCACAAACAATCGCTTAGTAGCTTTTTTATGGATACTGTCACAGTGTTCGTTCCAAGAAAGGTCATTAGAGATAATAACCCCTAAGAGTTTATAACTAGATACTCTATCAATGACAATACCATTAAGCTGAATCGGCGTTATAACAGTGGGTTGGTACTTCAAAAAATTGATAACCATATCTTTACATTTTTTCTCATTAAGCCGCATGTTACGCATGGAAGCGTAGGTTAAAATATTATTTTCTTTTATCACATTAATTCTCGATTTTCTAAGCAATCTACCCATGAATTCCCAATAGTTTTTACTTTGACTGAAATAAGCACCTGATGGTTCTTACATTTACAATAAAATACAATAACTTTATCTAACGAGGGAGACGTAATAACAGTTTAACTAACTTACGGCCCTCTAAAACATAGTAGAGGGAAAATAAACAAAATCATAAATAATAAGCAAAATGTTCAAGTCAAATATACTATGTACTAAGAATCTCATGGGTCTATGATATTGTACGTTACAATAACAAAAATTGCACGTAATATAATATATAAATCGATGAAAAAAATTTAAATATGTATAAAGAACTTAATGGGGGATTGACAAGGTAAAACGCTTTCTTCAAGTTAACCAATATAGGAAAGTCAGTATCTCGTTTGTTGTTTATCAGTGTTTTCCCAACTTAGTTTTATGGCAGTGGTTTTAATTTTATTTGAAATAGATGAAATGGACCTACAGCTTGATGATGGTCGCTATGGTCCCTCATCCTCTCAGCAAACAAACATTCTTCAAGTTCTGGAAACCATAGCAGATATGCTTCAGGATGATTTCATGAGTGCCGTGTCAGCTCTGACAATATTCACTGAGCAGCTGATTGAGCATGTGCTGAACCAAGTACACCGTCGAAGGGATAGATACAAGTATCGTAGGTTAAAGTCAAGAAAGCAGGAACCTAATTTAAATTTCAAACTTTCTGGATCTCTAGCAGGAGGCTTTACTCCGAGACTTTCGAAGTAAGTGGGAACCAAAAATTGTGTTCTTGGTGATTACCATGGTTGCTTTTTCTTTGTTAGACGAGTTAAAGTTTTGCATTTGCTAGGAAATCTCCATGCCATTAAAAATTATCAGCATGTAAAATAATTTTGGTTATCAATCATTAACAACTACCGGGTAAGATTTGAATTTTAAAAAAATGCACCTTATTTTAGTTTCAATGTATTTAGCACCAAACTACTAACTGGGGACACTATTTTCACGTCTCCTGCTGGAGACGGGACCGGCATGTTACGTGGTCATCCTAGCCTCGTGAAGGTCTCGCCGTTTGCAGGGCAAAGAAAATACCTTCTTTTCTCATTCATCTTAAGACCCTGAGTACTGGTCCGGCACAGGAAATTGGAACCCGTGGCCTCCCGCTCTGCAGTCAAGCACTCTACAGACTGCACAGCTTATCCTGCTGCGGTTAAAAGATATTATTTAATATTGCGTTTCATCTTATTAAGTTGTAGCGTGGTCAGCGATGAAATATCTCGGCTTTGGAGATTAGCTGTTCTCAGTCCACGAATTACAGCAGTAGGGGATGAAGGAATTTTTGATGCGCTAAGGACTTTAAATGAAAGAGGTATTATCTTTAAAAGGAAGACATATGTGTGCAGTGCACTCTGCCCTCTCAAACCTGTATGTTGTTAACCAGGCAACTGGCATGCAATTTTGTAAACAATTTTCAAATTTCAGATTTCTGGCAAAAATTATCTATAGCTTGAATATAGAAATATTTGCTATGGTAAGCAGTCAGGATTTGGGATCTTCAGGGGGCAAACATTGCAAGTCGGTAGAAAATACGTATGGCGTAGTTTCTCCGTTTAAAGTAGATTTTTGACAAAGAATAAGTTATTAAACCATTTTCGCAATGATTTTGTGACAAACTTCATGTAAGGTGACTAATGTTGATACGTGAAGATTGTTTTGTTTTTTTTTCTCTGTCATAGAAGGATGTTTACGGTATCCAACTTGGGCCGGAAAAACAATATATTAGAGCATATCTTGAGTTTTTTGTGTTCTGTTTCAAAACTTGCAAGCCGGTGTAATGAGCCTATAAAAACGAAAAAGATTAAGCATCGCTAAGCAGTGTTCTTTCGAGAAAGAAAGTTTGGAATCAAACGCAAAGCAATCTACAGCACAATCTACGCGAAGAAACGAGTCATTTTAAGTCTGGAGTTTCTGGGAATTCCTGTGATACACAAAATTCCCATCTAATACATGTCTTTTGTTTTTGTGGTTTGCTTTTAGTTTCTGAATCTCTTGTGACTGGTCAATTGCACCCATGGAATGGCCTGGAAGTTGCAATGAAATTATCCTCCATAGACTGGAAATTACCAGACTTTCAGCAAGTGCTTAAAGGAGAATGGACTTCCATTCCTGTTGTAAACAGCTGTATGGCTATCCAGTTGACCTGCCAATCAAAGAATGCATATGTGTCTGAGTTGATGGCTCTGGATCAGTGCACCAATGATGTAACTGCGATTACAAGTACAAAAGGTGATTCAAACATCACACTTTCATTTTACAACCCTCACTGCATTGCATTCAGCACTCTTTGCAGCATTGATATTCACTCAGTATGTTCCATGATCGAAGCTCTGAAAGTCGCTGGTGACCACCAACCTGCCGTGCACCTCGCTGTGGCAATATCATATGCTCTTGTTTCATTCTACAAGAAGGTTCTCTTTGGAATTTGTAATGTCTCTTCAATGCCCGTGTCTGCTAAATGCACGCTGGGAACAGCACCGTATCAAAGTGTAACAAAGTCAGGCAGTGACCAGGAATCTGATTTTCCAAAAGAAATATATGTTTCCAGCGACAAGCCATGCACCAGTTCCATTTGGCCAGATGATACACTTTTGGCGATGAGTACATTTGCATTCCTTTTTGAGTTGTTGTCACAAAAGCCTGACTTAGTTGATGCATCCATTGCAGAAATGAGAACCAAGCTAAGACTTGTTAGTTCTTCGGCCAACAGTGCTCTTGACTGTCCCAAGACAGCAATGTCTCTGAAATTTCAGTTAGGAGTAGTGGGATTGTGTCTGCAGAAGTTGCCTGCATCATCTTTACATCATGAGGTATGAAAAGAATAATATTCTGCTTTTTCACTATCCCATAATGTCTCGCGCCTTGAGGGGGTAAAGATGAGTCAAAACTAACCCGGCTGCCTGAGAGCAAGACCTAACAACAAAGTTAAAGTCCTTCAAAGACGTTAGAAAAGATTTTTTGGAAAGAAAGCTCATATTAATGTAATGCTATAGGAATCTCAACATCTGCAACATCTATGGTCGCCGAGAATGATGACGTGATGAAGTCAGACATATCCACTTCGCAGATACCTTCGATTGCTGTAAATGAACATTAGAGAGAAGCACGAAGCAACGCTCGGAGTGTCGCTCAGCAAGAATATTTTTTTCCCCACATTAATTTACAGGTTGAGCACAATATTGGAAAACAATCCGGTTTACCCCGCAAAGCGCAAAGCGTTATGGGATGAGTGAAAAAAGAGAATTGGTCATTTACATGTGTAGTGCATTATTAAGTTTCTTTTATTTAAAATGTCACAACTAAAGAACAAGAGCGTACAAGCCAGAAACGTTAACAAATAAATATGACACAGAGAAAGAGGACAATGCTGTAAGATAATATAGTGGTTGGGGGCCAGATTTCAACTGTAGGCCTGTTCCAGTGGTCCCCATTCTCAATCAACTGCCTCATGATGAGTGTCCGTTGATCAACGGTATCCTACGGTGCTATCGTTATTCTACTTTCTTGAATTCTAGTTACCGGATATAATTTGGAGTGGCAGAGTTTGGAATATATTTTTCAAGTGACGTGTAGTTTTGGCTCTTGCGTGTATGACAACACGCAAAGTGACCCATAGAATATTATTTTTGTACCATGACGTAGCTTAAGGAAAACTGCGGAACTATTTTTCTAGCATAATAGAATTTAGTATAATATGAGGCCCAAATTTTAAGGCTTAGATTTTATGATGGGTTCATTTCGTAATTTTTGGTTTATTTTTATTTCTATCTATAGTTTTTTTTTCCTAGGTGACTCTCCTTGACAAAACTGTTGCATCAGTTCCTGAAATATGACCGTACTGGAACTGTTTGGAGTGAAAGTTAAAATTGGATCTGGAATGTTAAATGTACAACTTCACTAAATACACAAACTTTTATTGATTGTTTGGTTGGTGTTAGAATGTCTTTTTTGTGGCTTTTCTGTACTCTGACTGATCAATAAAATGTGATTTGGGATGAAATCAAATTATATCGTATGTCCAAATTTCAGTAAGGAAGTCAATGGGACAAAAGAAAACAATTAGCTTACTTCTCGGTACTTTTTTGGTTTCTTTTTACAGGTGGAAGAGTACCATTATGAATGCTGGCTAACGTACCAACTGATCTGCTGTGGTCCAGCAGATGCTGACCTATCGTTCCTCACACATCTTGGACAACAAGTTTGTAAGGGTATCGCCAGGCCCAGTTTAGTACCCCAGTCATCGCTATCACGGGTGATATTCCATCACCTGTTTAAGAGTGCACCTGCAATACTAAGCAATACTCTGTCCGAACAACCAAATGTTGGTCTGAAAGTAGCGCTAAATGTCCTGTCTCATGTCAAAAAGTTCACTGTCAGAGATAGCTCTTTCACCTGGATGCTTTTTGAGTATGCAAATTGTAGACTTTGGGCTAAGCTAGCTGAGGTTGTTCTTCTCTCGCTGTCTGATTCTTCAGAGCTTTTGGGTGAAGGAATGAGTCACATTCTTCATCCCGAAGGGATGTTTGGTGCCAAGTCGATGGAAAAGACATTAATTGACTGCAGGCCATCTAATGTTCTGTCACGCTTGCGGCTCACTGAGTTGATATCCGAAAAGTCCTGCGTGGCATATTGTCTAGGACTGGTGCTTAGCGAGAAAAAGGGTAACTCGATAGGAAGTACACAGTATAAGGTACAAAAAGTTCAAGGCTCCAAGATAAAAGGAGAAAGTTCCGAGCTGGACATTCCTAGGAAGATAATGAACTCTGGAGCGGAGAAGGCTTTGAAGCTCTGTGCTCTTCAGATTGTGGTGCATAGTCTGTGGTTGCAGAGGTTTGCTGATGAAGGTCACTATTTTGCCAGGTACGTGTTTTGATCAACTCTCAGTTTAGCCTCAGTAAAGCAACAAAATACTGCTCGCCAACTGTGAACAATTACCCGGGGGTGAATTTGACAGGTTTTTATTGGTGACAGGCTTTGACAGGCTAGTCAAAGGTACAGAGTACAGGGTACCTTTGGTTCTATAGTCTGAAAAACAACACCAGCACCAGCTACACTGGTAAATCACACTTGCAAAAGTTTTATTGAAATGAACACCATGGTTAAAGAAATCGCGTCTTGAAATTGCAGCAAGTCTTATAGGGAAAACATTCAATCCTTGGAAAGCACGGTAATATGCACAACACAATTGGATTGAAATGGAACCCACTTATTTTACAATCCAAATTGAAAAGATGAAACCGCTTTCAGAGGTGACAACCCTCTACCTCCTCTGCCCCACCGTGCTTAGAGATAGAGGAAATGGGAAGGTCCTTCACTGGGAAACCTGGCCACCAGTTACCATGGGTTTAAATTTTTTAATACTTAATTTCATATTGAGTGCTGTTGCTGACTTAACGTTTACTTTTATTGTTTACCAACAAATCTGATATCCATTGCATTTAGTGCCTCGTGGCTAACAGACCTTGTTGCCAGTTCTGGAGTTGAAAGCCTGGAATACCTTGTTAATTACAAGGGAGATGTCACAACTATCCTCAAACAAGACGACCTGCTGGATCTCTGCGAGAAAGTTCTCAAAGTAAGCCAATGGATTTTGAAAGAAATGCAAGGATTGGGACAAGGAATTATTACTTCCTGTTATGACCTCGGGTTTCTTTTATTTTGTAATGCTTCGAATGTTTCTTCTTTACAACAAAGTTGTGGATTGTCAAAATTTGGTTAAAAATACCTTTGCTAATCTATATATTCAAGTCATTTCACCTGAAATCCAGCCCTGCGGTGCCCTTGCAAGAAAATTGCATTTATTTGTTACCTTTGTGCTTGCGTGTTTGTTCTTTTGCCCTTTGATCACTGTAAAGCTGATTTTATATTGGAAAGCGGTAGTTGTCATATCATTTTTTTATTGTCCGGGTACGCGAGAGTCGAAAGTCCTTTTCCCCTTCTGTAGTTGCCTATCATTCTGACCCCAGTTTCTCTACACAAAAAAATTCGTCAAGTGTGACAAATATCATGACTGTTGTACTTAGGATTGAAATAATGTTCTCATTTATCATTCGCAGAAGGTTCAGCCGGAGACGCAAGTGAAACCCATTGTTCAAAACATTCTTCTCTCGTTGCTACAAAAAGCCAGTCAAGTTCAAGCGGAAGACAAAATGAGGAGCATCATATCTTTTTGCAAGTATGTACTACAAGCTAACGTTTTGTAGAATTTCAGGAACTGAGTATCCTGTGAACCTCTAAGTGCCCCCAACTACAAGTGACATGTGATGGGAGACGCTTTCTAGAACTAGTTGGCGCTTTATAATCAGTAGAAGAGTACCTGTAGGTATTGGAGAGATTCTTGCAGCAATTACACAAAACTAAGCCTTGATTTGGGTCCACTTGAATGCTAGAGTTTTGCCTTGCTTGTTACACGATGAGGTAGAATACGACGTCACCTCTTTCTTGTACTGCCGTGTTCTTTTTATTCTTTCCCAAGATTTCAGGTAAAGAGGGCCTTCAGGTTATCGTGCACTAGTTAATTTAGAAACATACTCCATTTGATGCCATTTTTGCTAAATGAACAGGGTTGAAAACTGTTGAATATTGGTATTGCCCCAATTTATATTATAGAGGTTCCCTCTCTGTGAAGTAAAAAGTAAAATCGGTTTTAAACTTAACTTCCTTAAAGCCTTAGGTTCAGTAGATCTTAGAGAAATGTAAAATCGTAATTATAATTGAAGTTAAAGGAAGACGTCTTCCGGCTAAAGCATTACCTAAAATATAAGTAAATGTTTAATAATATAATGGGTCACAGAAATATGCAATTTCCTTTCACATGTTAATTTAACTCTATACGTGAATAAATTCCTGATCTGGGCTTCTGTTCGTTACAGAGGCACATGAGAAAAACAAAACCTGTTCTTAGTAAGTAGTGATTTTTAAATCTTCCAACTGGACAACGGAATACTCGAGTGCTGTTGGTTTTGAATGACTGAAACACCTCGGACCACTTTCATTATCAATAGCATACGTTTTCGTGGCTTTGAGAACGGATTAGTTTATGTGATTCTCTGCTCTTATTGAGATTGGTTAGTAATTTTAATTTGGTTATGGTTTTTGAACGCACTCTATAAGTAGAAAAAGACGGCAGGCAAACCAATTCCATTTCTCAACACACACAAATTCGAACTCAAATCTCTATTTCAAAGTTCACTACTTTACAATAACAAAAACACTCTTCTTCCTTATTCTAGTCTTAGGAAGGAGAATAAAAAGTGGTTTCCAGTGTCTTCAAGTTCTTGTGTGTAATTTCTCGTACAATGACATTGACTGGGTTGGACTGTACAACTCCCATGCGCTGTCGTCGTGCTTTATCCGATGGATAGCGCTATCCAATGTTTGAACAACCGGGGTTACTAATTGTCATTTCTTTCCAAAAAGGGGGATTTATTCGGTCCTTACAATACTACTTCTACACGTATTTTTTTTAATGCCATCTACAACCTTAGGATGTTGAACCACTTGACAACAAAAGGGTCGTGATTTTCAAAACCTTGTTAAGTTTCATCTGGACTGTGTGTACTTAAACGAGCGCCCTGGTGCTTATTGATTTTTTAGACTTATCAATTTGAGGGAGGTACTAGTTAGGGGAGGCGCTTGTTTTGGCAATGTATTAATTTTAGCAAATAGAGGTAGTACGTAATCTAAACATTTCTTTCTTTGTTTACTGTTCGAAAAGAACAAACGAAGAATATCATAAAAATTAGTTTTTCGGGATAATTATCAAAACAAATGAATTAACCAGCATTAGCAAGGTCAAAAAGTTTCACATCAATAAGCGCCCCATTTGTTTACTAAGCAATGTGCTCATTCTAGCTTAAGGTTTTGTAGAGTTCGTCAATAGATATAACACTTCGAGGATCATTACTTCACCTACACACATTTGGACACGCATTTCTAATAAATAGGGGAAATCGATGTGCACCTCAACTGGATTTAGTGCCGTGGATTTGTACTGGACTTCAAAATCTTCATAGCAGCAACTCATTTGTTCCGTTCCAAGTGCTCATCGATGCCAGCAATGGAGTGCTGGCACATTACAAGAAAAGGCTGGCTAAAGCAGAAAAAGACCTTTCAGAAGAGAAACTGTGGAAAACTAATCTGTTCATTACAGGACTTAAACCAGGGACCACTAATGAGGATTTAATTGACATGTGTAGTAGGTGAGTACAGATTTTGTGAGTACATTCACACCAGAAATCAGATATCTGTTGACCGCCAGAGAGGCGCTTGAAGTAAAGCCTGAAGTGACTTCTGATACACTGCTAGACATTTCTTCTCGTATTTTTATGGTGTTGTAATATCAATGTTGAATTGTCGGTGTCAGTGTTTGAACTGTCAATCTTTGAAACCCTTTTTAAGGCCAAATGTTATTACATTTAGGGTGAAATGTTATTTAGGCCTTCCTCACATGTTACTATAGTCCCTTACGCAGCCGTTTTTGTCTCGTCACGCAACGCTCCTCTCCAAGGTACTCAAACTATCTGAGAATTGTCTTCAGTTTGTTTAAAACGTATTATGCAGGTTTAAACATTGGAGAATAAAAGTCTGTAAACAAATTGCAATACAGCCTCTTCCATCAAACCATTCACTGAAGGCTTGCTATGTGCTGTAGTTAAGATCGATCATGCTCAACCTACGTATGAGTTAAGATCGAGTCATGGATGTTCCCGGGAAGTTTCGAGAGCACAAGTGAACTCTACGCCCCGAGTAACTGTAGGTTCTTGAGTGCCCTTCGAACTATACCCAAGTGACATTTCTCGACACTTTATGCTCCACAGTTATGGAAATATTATCTCAACAAAGGCTGTTTTGGATGGCGAAACAAAAAAAGGTAGACCAAATGCTTTTCTTTTGCAGCTTCTTGCCTATGGCATAAGATCAATAATGGACAAAGTCTGAAGATAATGAAAGATAATTTGAACAAATCGAACGAATTCCTGATGAAAGCGCGCAGCACTAGTTCCTGTTTCGCAATCTAGTCTTGTCCAGGGAAAATTTTGGAAGAATTTTTTTCTTCACTGACAAGTCTGTTTATTGCTCTATTGTTAACAAACAGCCAACATATTTCGTCAGAAAGTTATGGAATCTGGTTATTTTGCCTAAATAGCCTTACAGATAACGTTTTGAAAAAAAATTCGAAAACCGACCGGGCGTGTTAACTTCAGCTTTCTCTGGAAGATCCCTTACCACTCACTCGTCCACGAACACCTCTCGAGCGAACTTCAAAGAAGCGACTAATCAGAACAACTTTTGATGTCTTTACTGATACTAAACAGAGAAGACCTTGGCCCAATGTTCCCCATTCTCGTTGCCAGAGCTGCGATTCACTTTGTCAGCTCCGCGGATCGATCGCTGAACAAAAGGATCGCAGTTCCTTAGAGCTCTCTAGGCGGAAGAGCTCTGGGTCGAGATAAGGAAAAAGGAATGGTAATTTTGCATTTTGTGCATGCTCAATCTTCCAACTGTCATCAACCATTTGGGGAAAAAAGCTGATGTAGTGCTCTACTTATAAACAACATTTTGGACAGTCTTGCTTCCTCATTTCGTGGCCAGGTAGTGACCAGAAAACTGCTCTGTTTTATTCAAACGGTATTTTTCGGAAAATTTCACGGGACGAGAGGGTTGGAAAACGTGACCTTCAAATCACTGAATCTAGCTGTGAGGATTCACGCAGTTGCAATAGTAATCAGTCATTGTATCGAAGTTTAATGGTGGCCTCTAATTTTTAACAGGATACGGATTCGTGGATTTTGAGTCTTCAGCTGAAGCCCAAAAAGCATTAAAGGCCTTGAGACGCAGAGGATTTCACGCCCAAATGGCAAAGGTGCAGGCCTTTGTAAATAGGCATTGTGTCAACTTCTCAAACTTGTCCCCGGGGCTTCCCCCTTTAATATTTTCACTTCCATAAGTAGTGGTGTGCCAGCAGTTTTTTGGGGGCAGCAAAAGGACAGTAAACTTCAATAAATAGCTCACGAATAAAATGTGCGGGAAACTTGTTTAATTTATGCTGACCATGTTCAGGCAAGTACTAGTATGACGTCATAACACCTTAAGGTCCATTTGACAGTTTAGCAAGCCCATTAGAAACGGCTAATGTCTTCTATTTAGCGCTAAAAATTGGATATATATAAACAAAAAATACACATACACGAAGTAGAGCTGAAAACTCTTTATGTCAATTTCGTCTGACTATTACAAAACCGTTTTCTCCTTTCTATCTCAAGGAAACGACTAACTATTGAAGTTAGTCAGTGTTTCACGCGCAGGTAGTCAGTTAATTATACGAGTTATTAGTTCAGCTCAGTAATAACCCCAATTGCACAAGAAAAAAAACAATTAATAACTTAACAAGGATCAATTGAAACACACAACTAATCAATAAACACTCCCAATAAAATGAGACACCTTTCTTAAGACACAAGAACTCAACTTTATGACCCTTTATTAACATAATTGCAAAAAAAATAGATTAAATATTCTATTGAAATAGTCAAAGAAGGCAAGCCACCTCATTTATTCTATATATTTTCCATCCACAAAAAAATCGACCTCATATCGACCCCAGACTCAACTTTTTTTTCAACACAGCTTCGTGCCACATTTCTATTGTTTTTCCACCACCATCACATTTCTGTAGTTTTCTCTCCACCTCCATCACCACATGTACATTTCTATTGTTTCCCTCCATCACCACCACTGCCACCAAATTTCTATTGTTTTTCTCCACCACCGCCACCACATTTCTATTGTTTCCCTCCTCCACCACCACCGCCAGGTTTCTATTTTTTCTCTCCGCCACCACCACCACCACTACCCCATTTCTACTGTTTTCACTCCTCCTATTGTTTTGTTATTTAGAAGGTCACAGGCCAGACACAGGCCAAAAAACCAACCTCAAGCTAAAAAGGCCAAACTCAAATAACAAATAATAGGAGGAGTGAAAACAATATAAATGTGGTGGTGGAGGTGGTGGAGGAGGGAAACAAAAGAAATGTGGTGGTGGTAGAGAGAAACAATAGAAATGTCTTGGTGGTGGTGGTGGTGGTGGAGGGAAACAAAAGAAATATGGTGGTTGAAGGAAACAATAGAAATGTGGTGATGGAGGTGGAGAGAAAACAATAGAATGTGGTGCTGGTGGAAAAACAATAGAAATGTGGCGATGGTTGTATACAGTTTCACTATTCACGAAGCTGTGTTGAAAAAAAAAGTTGAGTCTAGGGTCGATGTAGGGTCGATACGAGGTCGATTTTTTTGTCAATGAAAATACCGTATATAGATTAAATGAGGTGGTGGAGGAGGAGCGAGCACAATAAAATTGAGGAGGAGGGAATGAAAAAAAATCGAGGACGGAAAATAATAAAATGGTGGAGAAGGCGGAAAATAAAAATGAAAGGGGGAGGGATAAGTAAAACATTGTGGGCAGTGTAAAAAAAAAAGATAGCTTGCCTTCTTTGACCAATTTAATAGAACATTTAATCTATTTTTTTGCAGTTATTTTAATAAAGGGTCATGAGTTTGATTTCTTGTGTCTTAAGAAACGTGTCTGATTTTATTGGGAGTGTTTATTAATCATTTGCGTGTTTCAATTGATCCTTGTTAAGTTATTAATTGTTGTTTTGTGCATGTTTTTATAATAATACGTCAAGGTTCTCAAATTGGGGTTATTACTGAGCCGAACTAATTTGTATGCAATTGTGGGCATGTTAACTCGCATAGTTAACTGACTAACTGTGCGTGAAACGCTGAGACTTCAATAGTTAGTCGTTTCCTTGAGATAGAAAGGAGAAAACGGTTTTGTAATAGTCAGACAAAATTGACATAAAGAGTTTTCAGCTCTACTTTGTGCCGTTTCTAATGGGCTTGCTAAACTGTCAAATGGACCTTAAGGTGTTGTGACGTTATTACTATTACTTGTCTGAACATGGTCAGCATAAATTAAACAAGTTTCCCGCGCATTTTATTCGTGAGCTAAGTATTAAATTTTGCTGCCCCCAAAAACTGCTAATTCTGCTGGCACACTACTACTCCCATACAGACAGATTTTCTGGGGAAAGAGGTTGTTTCCCTTGGAAGCCGTCGTTAAGTGTTTTGTAACACATGCAATTGTCAAAAGTCTCTTTATAACAACGGCGAATTTGGAAGATGACCAATTGTCCGTTTTTGGTATTTTAAATTGTCGTTTACTTTGCACTTTTTGTCGTAAACGCGATCCTTAACCTCTGTAATGAATTCTTCTGTTTTTCCCCTTAATGCGTGGCTGGACTCGTACGAAGACATTTATCTATAGGCTACCTTATATGTAGAGCACTATGCCTGTTTTTCTCCTCAGCAACAAGGGAAAGACCCCACAAATTTATGTTTTCTCCACCTTCCAAGGGATTTCGATGAACCGGTAAGTCTGTCTCTTTATTCACTTCTTTTTTAGCGTCCACAGGGCTCAAAATAACAACCGGTCAACGGTCAAGATGACCATTTGTGCGGACAAACTTTCCGTTCGGCGATCATCTTGACCGAACACGTAAATAAGCAACCAGAAAAAAAATTTCATTTTCGCGCCATTACCTTTCAAGGGCACAAGTATCTTTTTTTCACTTCATGCTTTTGCTTGTTACGCTAATACTTGCACGTTATCGTCTTGTTATTTTTAACATTTTGACGGGTCAGAAGAAGGACGTGACCGAGCTAAAACTGATTTAATTCTCTGGTCCATACCGGTAGATTTTTAAGGATAAGGTTGGTTCTACTGAATTCCAAAGATGATATTATTTTTCTAGTCACAAATGAAAAAGATAACGATGTGTTAAATTACTGATCGCTCCTCCTCTGTACCAACACGATTCTTTACCAAACCAACATTTTTTTTCGGAGCTAGGCTCTCCTTTGCGTAACGCGATTCTGTTCGTTTGTGGGAACGAAATTATCCCTTATTTGCGCTAACACGAATTTTGAAGGTTCTGACATCGAAATCCATTGCGAAATCTTCTTCAGGGAACAAAACTGATCTTCGCAGTCTCTTTTCGACATTGAAGTTCCAAAATCGTTCCTTGAATCGAGGCGAGTGAGTAGGAAAACATCAACAGGGAAGCCTCAAGGATTCAAGACGTTCTGAGACTCATTCGGCAATCGTGCTGAAGCTTTCCAAAAGGTTTCCTGTTTTTTCTTGTAAACTCACCCACGAAAACGCCGTCGTCTTAACTTGCTACCCCTGGGTCTCTGAGGATGCTTTCAAAGCAAGCCGCTAAGTCTACAATGTCGCAGTTGGTCCTGTGTGGCTGTTATTGGCCGGAAGGACCTCCTCCTCTTAAGCAAGATCCGTGAGACGGAATTTGCAGCCTCGCCATCGAAACGAGGCTGCAAAAATCCGTTTTGCTTACCGAAGAAGAGTTCTCGATTGATCACAAAAGGTCTGTTTGACTTTTGAAAATTGTTCTTAAGCTACGTGCAAACAGAGGCCACAACTCCCAACATTGCTTGACCAATCTCATCCACACTCGTCTGGCTTTTCACAGTGATAATGGTAACTTAATCGTATGAAGATTTCTTTAGTTTTGTAACTGGTGCCTTAAGTAAAGGCTCTATTCTTTTAAGAAACGCGCAATAACTTGCAACACTTTTGGAATCAAGTCGTCAGAGTTACTAACTGTTTCATTGAGTAGAATCTCACGTGACAACCTCGTAAATGTTTATGAGGCAACCATCTACAACAACGATGAAAATCGTGACATTTCTTAGCTATTCGGTATTCGACGAACTTCGTTATCTTAAGAAACCATGAAGAAACCTTGAAACCTTCGAGTCTTCCCTCTAAGCAGCATTTGGTGAGTCGATATTCATAGTATTTAAACGATTTATTTATTTTGCACCAGATTTCTGAAGGAAACACAAAGAAAAGTGAATCTTAAGTATGAAGGTCGACTGAGCTGTGCGCAGCGGTTCTCGTTTTCTTTAATGTACAGCAATACCCAATAACGCACCAAAAAATAGTCTTAATTTAGTATTTGCAGTAATATATTGGTTAGTGGGCACTATTGATCTTCTAAATATTTAGTCGTTTACCAGAAAATGCATAAAATTTTAGAAAAACAAGAATAATTGTCGTTGCTTTTGTTCATCACAGAAATTAGAAGCTATGCTAAGGAAATATGGAAAAGTAAAATCAACCAGGATCTTGAGAGATGCAGACAATATGAATAAGATGGTAGGATTTGCAAGGTAATTTTTCATTCTGTTCTCTGTTAGTTCTTTATAAACTCCTCATTAATAAACTCTTCCAATTGGCAGTGTTTTTGCACAAAAGCTCTATGCTAGGTACCACACAGAAAACACACAAAAGGTAATGGGCAAAATTCTGGTGGCAGGGAAGCGCTTAAATCTAGGGGTAAGGTGACCAGGAGAGAAGCCCTCCTGAGGAGAACAAGATCGAGTGGTACCGGGGGTAGCCACCCTGGACAGGAGTCCTGATCAGTCTGCGGGGGTGAAGCCCATATCCCCCAGTCACTAGGAACTAAGGGGAACCAGGAGGGCTGGCCCTCCTGGGTGGAGTACAGATCAGGGGGTCCACACCCTGGAGTGGATATTTCTCCGGACCTGTCTCCAAGGGCTAAGCCTTACTGTGGGGTAAAGTGCAGCCAGGGGTTGCACTTCCCTGCCACTCCTTTTATTGGGAAGCAAGGCAGTAGTTCCACATCCCCGGGACCTAATGAAGGAATGAGACCTAGTCCAGTATAATACCATAATATAAATGATTAATCTTAAAGATACATATAGATGTGAAGGAATAAAATAATGATCTGCTTGAAATACGTTCTGGTCGTGCTAAATATATAGTGAACATGAGTAATAATCGAAAGAGCTAAACAAAGGTTCCAGCCAGGACAAAGGGTTGGTGGGAGGGGAAAAACGCTGTTGTGAATGAACCGAAGCCCTAAGCGAAGTGAGTGGGAAAGGACAGTGTACGGCAAAAAGAGGAGCACATGTGTTATGATTAGCATGTGATAATAATATATAGATTTAGCCAGGGCTAAAAGCGAAGCTCTCGATAATATTTATAGTTTGTTCAAACAAAATATAAAATCGTGTAATGCTAAGCGGCGAAGGCAACGCCGGAGAACGGAGAAAAAACAACAATAGGTCTAATTAGCAAAAAAGCAACCTTGCACGTGCAGCACACTTTTTTTGTACATTTCTTTGCCGTTGTTTTGGACGACCGCCACGTGAAACTTCCAGAAACTTTTTTATGGAGGAAATGTCGTACGTGTTCTCGTTCACTTTTTTTTATCACTACCGCTCATTTTCTCCTTGCATTGGTGGCCGCTAGCATTTCTCATTTTGTCACCGCCCCTACAAAATTTTCATGTTGTTCTTCCAACAAAAAATGTCTTCTTTGTTTTTTATCTCTCGCTCTTGATCTTCTCGCTCTGTTGCCGTTTTTCTCGTTGAGTTTCTCTGGCCTTCCTCTTTTTCTCTTTTTCTCTGTCTTTCTCTGGCTCTATATTCCAAATGTGTGGACATGACAATTAATCTAAGCTTAATACTTTTGAAAACACGGATACAAAAACAATTTCCGCTTTTCGGTTTCGTCTTTATTGACTCTTTAGTTGCCTCTGCTTTACAGACGCGGGTGGCTATGCGATTTCCCGCCAAAATAACCTCGAGTTGCATTGGGTTGCCATACCTGTTGATTGAGTTATTTCACATTGGTATGCCTGTGGTGCGGACGGACGGTCGGGCGTACGGTCACGTGATTACCAAATTTTCGCGGATGGGTAGATTACCACATTTTCTTACCCATGGTGCTCCGAAGGCGCGCTTCGCGCGCCAGAGCTCCGCTATGAATGGAACCTTTGTGGAGTCTAGTAAATATATCATGCTAAGTTACAGTGGACTTTGCCAAAGAAGAAGGATACATTGTAATCGAACAACTAGTTAGTGTTCATTGTTCTTTCTTGTACTTTGAACTAGTATCCACCATAACTTAGTACAAAAGCTTATCCAAATGTTGCACGTTGTTTGACGTAAGAACAGAGACATGATTGTTGCTAGTATGTCAATAAGTGTGCTTTCATGGGGCATAATTCGAGCTGTCACCCCAAAAATGGGTTCGAGGTCGCTGTCGCTTAGCAGACGGGTTCCAACTATAGGACTTTGACTGGGAAAATTCTGGCGTTTTAGAAAGGTGGTCGCTTATGAGAGGTGGTAGCTTAGCTACCTGCGGTTTAATCTTATTGTAAATGTATAGTAAACTTGAAACTTGAAAACAGAAACAAGTCTAAATCACTCGGCTGTGACAAGTGTTTAGATTAAATTTTGATGGAGCATTGTGCTTGCTTATGCATGATCTCGCAATCCCTGACCAATACTTCCATTTCTTGTGATGCTGTAATTTTGTTTAACAGTTATATGTCACCCTGTTATTTATTAAGTGTATTCAACTCCAGTTGCTACTTTACGCTACCTCATTTCCTTTTTAAGAATGGAAAATACACACATTTGCAAACAGATTATTGAAGACTTTAATGGAGAAAAGATTGAAGGTAAGTAAGCGCCTGAGAAGTGTACCGCGACAGCTTCAGTGGTATACATAGTAGATTTACGAATTATACCTCTTTATAAGGGTTATAACGCTATTTCTGGCATGCCATTAGTTTACATTGCGGCCTACTCCGACTGGTACCAATCCTAAATTAAAGGTACGACGAGTTCCCCCGTCATTTGTTTTTTTTTTGGGTGGGGGAGGAGAGGGGGGGACCCGCCTGGGACTTGATTGTGATAATATTTTTACAGTTCAAACGCTTTCTTTCCACGTTCGAACTTCATAGTACATTATCTATTGTTGTAATAGCCTTCGTAAGGTATTTTGGGATTTATCTTGTTAGCGAGCGGTTATGTTGAATGCTATGACACAAGAAGCATCCAACTGGAAGACAAATCACCGGTGGATTTTATAATGCCAATTTTGACGGGTTCTTACCGTTTTTATAGGATTTAAGGAGCTTTGAGTTTGAACGATCGGCTTAAGAAGAACCATCCTTCAATTATTGTTTAACTGAAGTGTAACTGAAACTTTGAAATTGGCCAAAAGGGCTTCGCCAAGGCCCCAGAGGGAAACAGACGGTAACACACACGAAACGAAAAAAAGGAAAGCCATTTTCATGAATATTGAATATTTCAAAAGGCATTAGTTAGGAAATAATGTGTTGTTTAAATAACATTTTCATATAGAATTTAATTCACACTGCTCCCACGGAGTCTGGGCTACCTCTGCTATAAGTGCCCTTTGTACACTTTGTATATGTTGTGGCTCAAGTTTATGGATAATAATGGATAAAAATGGATTTCAAGCAAAGGAAAATAAAATTTAAACCAAGGTTAAAAACTGAACTACGGCATTTACACGCAGTATTCATACTGTCCGACACAGTTTTACCAGCCTTGAATGGACGACAATTTTGATGTAGTAATAACCACATTTTGCATAGCTAAGCACATGTACAACGAAGCCCGTTTGTGTAGTTATCATTCATGTGAAGAAATGACTTTGGCTCTCAAACTGAATTATTTAGTAAAACAGTTTCTTTAAGTGGTTGACGTGGAATTGAAAATAATAAACCTTCTTACTGCCTTCTTACAGGAAATTTCAGATCACTTGTCGTCAAGTTTGCTGATTTAGGTCCCAGGAACAGACAGAAATCTCGCAAAAATCATGGTATGATAAACGTTTCTGAGTAAATGATACAGATAAATATTATTGAATGCTATATACTGAGCTTGCATGTCGCTAGTGCTGTTTTTTAAATTCACAACTTCTGATAACGCATTTCCAGCTTTTTCATTGGCTGAAACACGATTAACATCAATTATTTTTCCTTCAAATATTTCTCTGTTTCTGATTGGGTGAAATCCACCAGCAAATTCGTCAACCAGCTAGTGTTGACCAAATTTGGAAGACGTTTACGAAATCCAAGAAAATGACATCATCGGTACAGGATAACAAGAGAAAAAGGCACGGAAACCGAGAAGCCTTGGCGACTACTGGTTAGCTAAGTTGGTTTGGTAGAGCCAGTGCGAATGGCCGAAAATTTTACACGTTTTGCGAAGAAGAAATAGCCGAGCTACTGCCTAAAATATATCAAGAAGAACGAAAATACAACTCGACGGATGACAAATGCTACTGAGGAATATTTGCTAGCCTAAACATCCTTTTATGCGGGCGAGCAAAATTCGAGCCCGCAGTCGTATTCTTGGTGGAGTGGTCAGCGGCACTTTTTGAATGTATAGCGGGGTTTTTCCAAAATCTGTCCACATTCTTGGGGTCCTTTTGTTCTTCCAACTAATATGCATGGTATGTGGTACAGTTAGAGCAAACCGGTTCCAATGACACCCATTAAATGGCCATAAATCGGCTCGGAAACCACACAGGAAAGAAACACACAACTTAAGCAAGGTTAGCCGATTTTTATTTCAATCCTTTTAAATTGGTAGGCTACAGAAACAATTGCTTTTTCTCCCATACAAATCCTTACATTTTGAACGTTAAGCAAAAGTGCCGATGGGCATATTTCGAGCTAGGGCCACCGGTGAGCATACATGAACATTAGGCGCTTATTCGAGGTGGGCGCTTATTCGAGGCTGGGCGCTTATTAAATTTTCACCTTTTTCAGCAAGTGAAGTATGGTTATTTTGCAACAAAACAATTAATGTTAATAACAAAACGCGAAGAAGTAATAAAGCAAGGTTTCTGTATAATACTCTGAAGAAAACTCCGTCCTCGGGGAAGTCTCTTATTAGAATTTATCCACTCAAGTGAGTGGGGTGGGGGTGCGCGCTTATTTGAGTTTGATTGGGAAGAGAAGGGTGTGGGCGCTTATTCGAGGCTGGGCGCTTATCAACTTTTTCTGCCTTTAAGATGAGCGCTTATTCGAGGTGGGCGCTAATTCGAGGTTGGGCGCTTATTCGAATAAATACGGTAATGATATTTTCTGTAAAATGGTCCTATCCATGTTCGATACTGGTTTTGCTGTAGTTTGCTATTACATGCCACTTTTTAAGATTTGCTGCGTAATCACTATAACATTGTTTATGAGATGTAATTAGCAACAACTTTCTTCAAATTCTGTTTCTGGCTATAGCGATCGTCTTGGTGCTGTAGATCGTGTGGTCTCCGCTGAAATTACGTACTGTTACGCTAAAGATTATACACTTCAACAGCTGAAACAACACACCACACTACAATAGCCAAACAATAGTAACCAACAGTTATTTCTTCAACACCGGGAAAGACCAGTACTATCTGTTCTTCACTAGATCGTTTGCTTTTTCTTTTCAGCAGACAGCTCTTGTTCAACTAACGAGCAGGGGGTGAGTAAGCACAATCAAGTCGTAAAGAGATTTCTGTTGTTAATCATGATTGTCCAGACAGATCAGCCTGTTCCCAAATTGTGCGAACGAAGTGATAATTTCATTTCCGGATTAGTCTGTTAGAGAAAGATCAGAAAATCCTAGGCATGTGACGTAAAAAAAGGCTTTGAAAGGTATTAAAAATCACCGATAAGATGCAATGAACTTCTTGCCAGTCTCGTTGATTTGAACTCAAGTTGCCAGTGAGCTTACTCGCTCCAAGTAACTGTAACATTTCACCGTCCGGAGTCTGTAGAACGATTGTGACACAATCCCTGCTTCTTTTACACGGACACCTCTGTTACGTGGAAACTCAGCTCTGCTCCTCTGTGCTCTTATTAAAGGTTTGACTGTCTTTAATGACTGTTGTTTTGTGATAAAAAATAGTTATTCTGCTGAGCCTTCAAGATAGGGGTAATGAAAAATGCTTCAAACTGTTGTGATCTGCTTCATTAATGAAGCAAGATATGCTACCATGTTGTATTGGCCATTGCATTTGCACAGTGACATTTAGAGTGGGTAACAAGTACGGTGGAGTGAGAACAAGGACAGTTGGAGATCTCTTATCGTCATTTTTCTTGTGTCTTACTATCTGCTTCTCGGGACATAACTCGCTCGATCTTCAAGGGCTCTTTCCTTTTAAGCGAACAAAGCCCGTAAAAAGGCCAGGTAACTGAGTATATCCACCTGAACTGCCTGTAATGAAAAAAGGCCGAAATTTACGTTCGAGTATCAAGACGGCGCTAACTGCAATTGTTTTAAACTCTATTAATAAAAACACCCTTGTTTCGTATTTGTTACACTTTGGTTAACATCTCAAGTCCTTTGATAGTGTATGGCTAAAAATAGTTTCCTTTTTTAGAGGCGCCCATTTTACGAAGAAACACATGAGGATGATGAATTATTCTACTGTGACGAAAGCTGCGACAGTGTGTTGGCCAAGAGAAATCCGTTCAGAACTGCTGAAGCGCACCCATTTCTGGGAATCGCGTTTAATCTGGGTATGTTGGGACTAGCAAAACTGGCAGAGAAAGGTTATAGAACGGACCACGACGGGTCTCAGTATCGTCGCGCCATTTCCTCCATGTGCAGGTTTGTGGTCTTTTACCCTGATATTTCTAAATGATCTCGTGTGTTGAATCTATTAACTCTTTCCTTCCTAGTAGCAAAGGTAAATTTTATCTGATCAAATTATAAGAACAACAAAGAGTACCATGAAAAAGTACTGCCAAAGAACTCGAGGTTTTATGTGAAAGGCCACAAAGACTCAAGAATCATAGCAAAATCTGTATATATGTCCATAATTACTGCGAGTTGGGGTAAACACCTGTAAGCAGATACTAGTAAATTGAACAATATCTCAATCTTTTCTTAAATAACATGATCTTTCGATAAAAATGTCGCTTGACACAGGAATCAACTCATAAATAAACCTTGTAGTGTGGCTCTTCTCTTCTCTCCATGCAATCCTTACTACAAGTCAGACCAAGCAAGGGACAATTACTTTTGAAACCTCTCAAGTTTTACAGACAACAAGAAAGGTTAAGAGAGGTTGTGTGTGATTTTTGATGAAAGATATTTTACTCAACACTTTTGCCCTGCCCGTGAAATCCTTTGTGTAATTCCTGATCAACAGTTAAAGAGAGATTGAGCCAAGTATTTTAAGAGCTCCTCCGTTTGAGAGTATTCCGGAATAACAATACAGTCAACTCTCGCCTTACGGACACGCCGCTAATAGGGACAGCTGCTGAATCCCCGGCGAAAATTACAGACATTTGACCGAAACAAACTACCGCTGTTACGGACTTACAGACATCTCTCTCGGTCCCGAGAGCACAGTTTTATTGTCCCAACTCTCGTTATAACGGAGATCAATCAATATCTTTCGACATTTTGGCAGAATTATCTCAGATTATAATTTATTTCTTCCTCTACTGCCCTTCGTCTGTCTCTTTTGTTGAAAAGTGACGATTTTCTTTTAACATGATCCTTCTATGAAACTACCGTACTTGGGAGCAAAAAACAGTCATGATGTACTTAATGTACATAAATTGGTTTTCCTAGTACCGTACTTCATGGTTTTTGTGTCCTACAAATTTTTCAGTGACTGTTGTGGTGAATGAAAGGGAGATGCAAGTTTTGTTCTGTTACGATTTGTCTTGTGGGTAAATAAAGTACTGACACTCTATCCAGTTTTTGCTTTTATTTATGGTAAAACCTAGAAATCCGGTGGAAATAAATAATTACATGAATTTATTATATGGTGACAATAGTTCGCGCTCTCTGATTGGGTGCTAAAGGCAGGCAAGATATTCTTGTGATGACCGGGCATCACTAGCTAGTTGTCCAAGGAGTAGTAGTGGTAGAGTCAAAATCGTAAGGGTTTTTTAAACTTGTGTTGTTGACAATTCGGTGAAACACAGCCTGCACGGCATTCCTGAGCAACCAAGCATTTCTGAGGAGGTACTTTTCCACAGTTTCATGTATCACGTGTGAGAATTAACTATCGCCGTCAGAGTTACTATTATATGGACAGAAGTGAAGCAGAAACATTTTTTACTTAACAAGGGAAACCCCCCTGCATTTCATTAAATACATGTAAGTAATTATGCTGTTCCGCTTTGTGTGGGGATTTTCCCTTTGATATTGCGTGGTTAATCAGCTGTGGATAAGGTACATGCAAGTAGACGGATGCGATTTCTGCTATATAGAACCACGGAAACCCATCGTTCCTTGCGCAAAAACTACTATTTGATGTGCTATAACCACAACGGAGTGAGAAGCACTTCCTCCGCCTTTGCAGCCCAAAAGTTTTAAGCACAGCCTGTACGGCCCCAAGAGATAAGGGTCGCAGACGACAACAAACTCTTCAAGAGTTTGACTTTGCGAAACGAAACGAAACGAAACATGATTTGCTAAACGAAACCGCTAAAACGAAACGAAACATCGAACATTGAAAGTCGCTCACACCCGGAAAATACCAATCTCGTACCCAGAGTCTTCTGGCTTGTTGGTCAGCGAGGCTGGGGACATCAAATCTCCACCGCAATCTCGTGCCTCGAGTCTTGAGTCCCTTACTGCGCATGCTTGCTTGTCAAGGGGAACGAAGACGCTGGGTAGGTGACATTCTCGTTCCCAGAGTTTCGATCTTTTTGTTCAGCGTTGCTCTCGATCCACAACGCTGACCAAAAGGATTAAAGCTCTGGGAACGAGAATGCCCGCAATCCTAATTTCCAGGTTGTTATTACGTATGCGTCGCATTTATATAGCCAGCATTCGTTTGGACTTTCACTAACAATGAATGGAATCCACAGAACGCAATTTGATCACGCGCATTTCGACCTTCGACCCCTCGTAATCTGATCACGCGTGTTTGAACCATCTGTCACGTCAAACTTACGGAATGCATAGTGTTGAGGCAAAAGCGTTTGGACCTCTGATCATTGTCGCCGGCATTCCTTAACCTTTAGTTATTATTAGTTTTCAGTTCCCAAAATCGTAAATTGCTGTCATGGTCAGCCCCCACATTTCCATTTTGAAGTATTTTCCCTAAAACAGCGCTCCTCAAGTGTCCGTTGTCCGTCTCTTACCACTTCTTAACTTAATCCGTGTCCTTTTCTCGTAACGTTCTGCTAGGCCAGGCGTGGGTTTGAATTAGTGCTAAATCCTGGTAAGACTGCCCTTTTAATGAAGTGGCCGTTCAAATCAAAGGAGTACTTGGCAAAATAACATCACCCTCTTCAGTCTTCCACGTACTGTAGTTCTATTAGAACAGTTCTTTTTTTGAAATTTATGCTTGAATACACAAGACTTGTTTGCTATCTGGTGAAGAAGCAGTGGTTGACGGAAGCACTTATGGAGGCGCATGTGAGCAGATCTTCAAAACAGAACAGACTCTTGGGGAGTGTTACCGCTAATCCAGGTTGCAGCCAATGGGAAAATGGTAAGTAACGTTACCACTCGGTCCGATTTTGAACCCCATCGCTTTTTGAACTGAATTATTCTTCCTATCTGAAAGTAAGTGATTGTCGCATATTGCTGTTATTATTACTATTATTATTATTATTATTATTATTATTATTATTATTATTATTATTATTATTATTATTATTATTATCTCTTTTATCGCTGTCTTTGCTGGTGTTCTTTTTTGTGCATCAGCCGGGCGCAAACCATGCACCTAGAGCGTCAGTCACTCAAGTTAATCATTCTGTTCATACACTGAGCACCTTTCTGAGGATTCGCGCGCGCAGATCCCAGCATGCAGATCTTTTGAATCTCTGTCATAGTTGCTCTCTCTGATACTTTCTTGATGTTTTCTACCATACTCTTCTTCACTGTACCAAGCGCACCAACAACCACAGGGATTACTACGGTTTTCGTATGCCACATTCTCTGTATTTCTAGTTCTAGGTCTCTGTACTTGCTTTTTTTTTCAGTTTCCTTCAGTGCGATGTTTCTATCTGATGCAACAGTCATATCAATCAGTTTGCAGGTGGAATTCACTGAATCTTTAACGATGATGTCTGGTCTGTTCGCTGTTATAGTTCTATCAGTATTGACTGGCATGCCCCACATGATGGTGATGTTGTTATCTTTATTGTGCATCACGGTCTCTGGCTCATGTTCGTACCATTTGTCTGTAATCTCTACATCATGATCTTTACAGATGCTCCAATGGAGATATGCTGCAGCATTATTGCGCCTGGAGATGTACTCTGTTTTGGCTAATACCTCGCATCCATATACAATATGTTATTATTATTATTATTATTATTATTATTGTTATTATTATTATTATTATTATTATTATTATTATTATTTTCTCTCTCAACACCAGAGTCCAAACCATGGACTTTGGGAGGCAAAGACGGTTTCTACTTTATGGAGAGGACCCGCCTGAGAAGGTGGGCTATAGAAAGGAGAGTTATTTTCTGGAGTTCATGTATGTTGATGTTGCCAGGGATTTTGTTGGAGTAGTTTTCCATGTCCTTCTTGATGGTGTTGTTTTGAGCCTCCACATTCGCTCAACCTCGATTTCCAAGTCTTTGTATTTTGTAAGCTTTTCCGTGGTTTTGACTGAGGTGTTGGTGTCGAGGGGTATAGTCATGTCAATGAGAAGGGAAGTTTTATCCTTCTTGTTCTTTAGCACAATGTCCGGCGTATTTGCTGCTGTGGTCCTGTCGGTGTGGATTGGCATGTCCCACAGAATAGTGAAGCTGGCACTCTCGGTGTCAGTCTCGGGTTCATGCTCATACCATCGTTCCTTCACCTCAATGCCAAACTCTCTGTAGATCTTCCAGTGCATGTGTGCAGCTGCCTTGTTGTGGCGGTGGATGTATTCAGTTTTAGCCAGTTCAGGGCAGCCAGAGACCAGGTGGTCGATGGTCTCGTCGAAACGGCCACACAGTCTACATTTTGGGTCCACGTCAGGCTTCTTGAGGATGTTCTGTTGGTACCAGCGTGTTAAGAGGCTTTGATCTTGAGCTGCGATGATAAAGCCCTCGGTTTCTGGCTTGAGGCCAGCTGCTTTTAGCCATCTGTGGGTCTTGTCTTGGCCCTCGTCAGCCTGTTTCACCCGCTATGGTTATTTGCCGTGCAGTGATTTTGATTCCCACTTGGACCTGAGCTGTTGGTGACCCTGGTGGTAAGTTTGGCCGTGGCCTTTGTTCTGCGGGCATAGGTGGTGTGCGTCTCATCCTCTGCAAGTGGTATTGCAGGTACTCCCAGTTCCCGACTAAACTTCAGTGACTGTCTGCTGATGGAGTACAAGGATTTCCTGTCGTCATGGTCTTTAATTATTATTATTATTATTATTATTATTACTATTATTATTATTATTATTATTATTATTATTATTATCATTTTCACGCTTCACTCTATACCGACGTTAATGGTTTTCTGAATCCCACAATAATAACTGGTGAAAATTATCGTCCAGGGCCCAGTTGCTCGAAGCATGGTTAGCGTTAACCAGCGTTTAATACCTTGACAACGTATTGGTTTGATACTGCTTAACCAATGGTTAAAGCTAACCATGCTTTGAGCAACTCAGCCCTGACCTTCTTTTCCTAATCTAGTCCAAGTGCCTATATGTTCTAGAATTAATAGTTGGTTTCGAGTCTAACCTTAATAACAATGCAGTGCGTAAAAAAGAAAAATATCCAAACTTGATCAAAGAAATTAGTAGAAATTACAGATGTGTGAAATTTGTAAACCTATCTATTAACTCCCTTGGCGTTTTCTCCGACGGATGCTCCACGTTCTTAGACATGATGAATGACATTGGCATTGACAAAGAGCAGCAACATTATATAATGAAAAAATGATAAATATAGCCATTACAGCAACTTATTACATCTTTTGTTATAGAAATAGGAATTTTGATAGCCCAGAATTTATTCAATCTCAAGCAGCCAATTACTATTATTATTATTATTATTATTATTATTATTATTATTATTATTATCATTATCACCCTTCTTGGCAGGTTATTCACAGAGCGCATCCAAAGAGTCAAGTTGTGACAGTTGTTTCCTTCAAGATTTTGTTTCGTTCTTGATCAATAATGTGGACAATCCAATGTGGTTATTCGAAGTGCTTAAAGAGGTATTTAACGGAGTCCTTTGAACATTTCTTAGTATTTTGGGGGTGCTGTCAACTTGTGCTGGTCCCAATGGTGTTTGTCCGAAACGCAAAAAAGTTGAACGAAGAGAGCTCACTAGACCATGCAGGCAGCATACACAAAAGGGACTACAAAGGAACGGGATGGGATGGGTATGGGGGTCCGAGGTGCTGCGGCCGATCAACAAGCGACCAGTAAGGCCTCTACTCTGGAACAAGGAAAAACACTGAGGTAGTGAATACTGCGCCGTAGGAAAGAAGAATCAACCAGCCAATTGTCTTTTTTTTAGTATGTGTTTCTGAAAGGCTTCAACTGTTTCAAGAAATCCTGCCATTAACAAGCAGTGACCGCCATACAAAAGTACTAGCAGACGTTTCGTTTTGATAGTCAGACATAAAAATTAGAATTAAATTAACGTCAACTTTTCCAAAGACGGACGCTGTTGGAACTGGCCCCTACGTCCGCCTCGGAGAGATGTCCCCCTATAAGGAAAAAGACCGAAAAACGGCAATGTCTTAAGCTACTACTGTAATTGAAAGGGTTAAGTCTAGCAGTAGCAGTCGCAGCAGTAGTAGTAGCAGTAGCGGTGGTAGTCGCAGTGGCGGTGGCGGTGGCAGTAGTAGTAGTAGTTTTAGTAAAGGCTCTATTTCTGGGGGTTGACACGTCATAGTAGTAAAAACACTGACAAATTCATGACCCTCATTACACAATAAAAATTACCTAAAATGTAAAATCACCTGAAATACCGTAAAATTCCGAAAATAAGCCCCTCCATGTATAAGCCCCTCCAAATATAAGCCCCCCCAAAACAACCGGCAACGTAAAAACCCTCCGTTAAATCGTCCCTCCAAATATAAGCCCCCCGCGGGCTATATTTGGCAAATTGCCCTCCAATACAAAGTGAAAAAAAAGCAAAAACGGTAAATTTGCTTCCAACTATAAGGGTAACCAAATCGATTTTGAGACGCAAATTTCCTTCCGTAGATAAGCCCATCCAAAAATAAGCCCCTCAAAAAGGGCCTGTGAAAAATATAAGCCCCGGGGCTTATTTTCGGAATTTTACGGTAAATTCTTAATTTACGGAAGCCTCATATCCTCATAAGTCAAGAGTTTTATTACACGAATTCATACCTCTGTTTGCTAGTTTTCTAAGGGGTAAATAATTGACTAATATGTATGGGGTACTTTTATGTTGTCAGTTACTACTTGATTTCTGGAAACGAATAATATGAGAGGTTTGCCAGCATTGTTGGGGATCAATATCCGAAATGTTAAAAATGATTCTTTTTTAGCTGGGAGACCAACTGTGCGCTGACATCCCTGACGGAAGGCTTACATCATTGGAGCAAAGACAAAACTTCCGGATCAAAAGCGCTTGGCAGGGCTATCCTCCTGTTAACCTTCTGCTGCAGAAGTAAGTCATCATGCTTTAACAGTCCCAGTGTAATTCTCGTCTTCAATGGCTTGGGGGGGGGCACTGCCATATATGAGCTATATAGGTACCGTGAAATTCAGAAAATAAGCACCGGGGCTTATATTTTTCAAACACCCTTTTTGAGGGGCTTATTTTTGGAGGGGCTTATCTACGGACGGAGGGAAATTTGCGTTTTAAAATCAATTGGGCTAGCCTCACAGTTGGAAGTAAATTTACATTTTCGGAATTTTACGGTATGTGTCGCTGTGAAGGGTATGGTTTTCAAGCAGATTACTGTTTGATAGGGTATATAAATCACAGAGTTTGGGTCTAGAAGAGGGTATCATTTTCCATTTAAACTAATCAACTGGCTGAAGATTTTAGTCTAGACTAGGGAAACCGGGAATTGCCACTCAAGAATATAAAAAAGTCAAATCGGTTTTGTTTTGGCTGGACTGTGCTAGTGACCTCACTTGTTTCTGGAAAACAGCTACTTTAGGAAAGAGGGGGATTTGGGGAGTTTAGTCTAGTATAGGGTAGCAAAATTCCCTTGAACTAGCTCTGGTATAGGCTAAAGGTTCCAGGCTCCTAGCGGCACATCCCCACCCAACAAGTCCTAAAGTACCCCCACCCCGACCCCGTAATGGCTAAAATGAAAATGTGCATGCGTGATATGTTATAGTTGTGGTCATTGTTTGTCTAAAGCACCTCTCTCGTCTCTAATCTTCAGTCATCGTCACTCCCCTTGCCCACCGCTTTTCTCCTCACCTACCCTTTTGCCGCCTATTTACTGTTCCTCCTACCCCATACCTCCCCGTCTCTTTCAGAATACAGGGTGCCAAAGGAGTTTAGGGCTCCAGGGCTCCGGACCAAAACAAACAGTGCTCCTCCGCTATGCTTTTTTTGCTTTAATCCAAAAGCAAATCCTAGGATTGAGAAAATACAGCAATTTCTATTTTTAAACACTGTTTTTATAAGTTTTTCTCCACTCTACTCGTGTTTCACAGCTATCTAGAGTTATTTATCAATCATAATCAATGAATGCGTTTAATATTTGACATAGTGAATGACGTGTCAGGGTTCGAAGGTTAAAACACGCCATTTCTTTTCTTTCGAAAAGTTTGAAAAGTCTTTCTTTGTAGTGGCATTTTCGTCAGTAGTTTAATGTGAACAAAAAAAAATCATCATATCGATTGCAGAGGAAGAAAGAGAAGGTCAAGGATCCAATGAGCCTACGAGAGAACAGTGTTTGCTTGGTGCAAAAGGGTGTTAGTGTAAACTGGCAGCAGAGAAAGCTTGCCATCGCTGGAGTTTTATGTTGGAAGGTGATCGCACTGGAAGATCGATTTCCGAATTTAAAAATTACTTGACCGTAAACCAAGGCCTACACGACGTCGCCAAAAAATTTGGCATACAAAAATTTACCGTAGAAATCAGCACACACCGTTGCAAGAAGCCGGGAAGAAGGAACCGCCGTTTCTCACTGGTAGAGTGTTCGCATGTTCGATCGCATGGTTTTTTACAATCTTCGTTCCGATTCTCATCAAACAACAAACACAGCACGTTACGACGCTATCTGTGTGCAAGAATGTCAAAATTTTAATATTTGGGGCGACGGGCTGCGCAGCAAACGTTTTGAGGGCTCCAGGCTCTACAGTAAAATAATAATAGGGCTCCAAGCAACGAAGCGATAGGGCTCCGGGCTCCAAGGAAAAAAAATTAGGGTTGCTGGGCTCCGGCCACCCCCCTCCCCCCTTTGGGACCCTGAGAATAACATCCCCGGTATCCCCGGTCCCTCATGCTCTCTGAACTTGTAGTGTTTAAAGTGATAGTTATTTCCTTTATTGCAGTTTATTTACCCTGAAAAAAATGACTTTTGCCCCTGAAATAAAATGATAGTATCCTTGTCTATAAAATTATGTTTCGTGCAATATAGAGGTAACACGATAAAGTGCATGTTTTTCGTTTTCAACTCAGCGTTTGCGGCTTGTCAGCGTAATGCTAAAATCCACGCATTTTTTGTGCATTTCAGGGACTTGGATGCTTTCTCTAAACTTCTTCTGGGACCGCAAATGGCTGACTTAGTCGCAAGAGTCACTCGTACTCGCGACCGACTCTCACTTGCGCCATCAACAGTCATTTACCAGCTTCGTCAAGGCAGAATATCTGACACTCGGCTACAGGAAGTGCTGCAAATTGCCAAAAGAGCCTTTAGTATCTCAGACTCCAGCGGAGCCATGTTTAAGAACTTGACTGACAAGATAACAGCTGAGTTCCCACTCCTTGGGCAACAGCAGGAGCACTTGTTGACTCACGAGATGGCAAATAAGCACCCAATCCTTGAGCAGCTGCTGGAGCGGGACGGTTGGCATTGCTTGGTTGAAGAGTTTGAATAGATATGTATTAAGTAGTTACTTGACAAAAAGAGTGACTAAAAATAGCGCAAAACCTGTAAGACAATTCAAAGAGTTGACCATTACAAGTTCGTATTTTACAGCTAGGTACATATAAAGGCCTAAAAAACTGTAAAATTCTTTTAACAGTAGACTTTCACCAAGCTACCTTTCTGGTATTGGAGGTGTAAAGAAAGGCTGACTATTTAACCTTTGAGGGATTTTGGCCGGGCGATTTCAGGAAAAGCTTTGCTGCAAACAGACTTAGAAGGAAGATATTTTTGCATGAAAAAGAAGAAGTAGATTTAATTTTGTCTTCACTACACGACCGAACGTACAAACAACGCTAAGGGCCTGTTGATATGAGATGAGTCAGCCCGTTCAGTGGGCGGGCTGACCCGCCTTATTGGGCTAGCCTGCAAATACATCCGTCTCTCCTCGCTCCTCGCTGCAAGTACATTTCGCAGGAAAGACGTCGCTGGCTCAGCTAATGCCTTGTTTCCTCTTTAAATTTTCCTTGTGTTTATATGAGAAGGGGGGCTTGCCCGGCTTGCCAAAAACCCGGTTGTTCGAGCCGAGCGGGACTTGCCCACCTCCTCATATAAACGCAAGGGGAAGCAAAGATACGAATAGCAAAACGGTTGCCAGTTCACTACCATCGAACCGTGATCCATTGCTAGCAGCACTCGAACCAAGTTCCCCGTTGCTTTTGTCAATTCTGATTAACACAAATTACATGTCATGATAACCGCCTTAAGAAAAAAAATCTTGCGCAAACTAAATCACCCAACCACCTCTCCCACCTCTTAAAAGCCAAATGGTTGGCCACGGATCTGCCAACTGTAATGATTCTGCCATGAGCCTCACGATTTTTATCGTTTCTCACGGCCTCATGACAACACTCCCAATCTCACAGTTTTTGGGAAAAACCATTTTGAAATGAAATGTAACATTGTTGGGTAATCGCGTGCCCCTTCCCGAAAAATTGTGCTCAAGCATTTTTGGCCTTGACCCCCCGCGAAGTTAAAGCTGTTATTCTTCTACGACCATGCATTTTAATTCTAAAAGTTGCAGAAAACTTTCGAGAAACTTGAATTAATTAGGCGTTAAAGTGATATAGTCACGTGAAACATGACATCATAATGATATTCAAAAAGAAATTCAACATGGGTAGGAATGGTTGATTACAACTAAGTTTGAACCATGTGTAAATGTTTGTTTTACCGCACGAAAATTTCCTGTGGCCGGAACAGTGAGAATTTTTAATTTCTTAAAAATATATTAACAGGTTAAAGGTGTCACGTGACCTATTTTGCTTAATTACTAATTAATTAAAAACGTGAGTACACCATTCCGGCCAGATGCAAGCGAGAAACGATGATACAATGAACGATAATATATAGATTTAGCCAGGGCTAAAAGCGAGGCTCCCATTAGTAAATTTATAATTTAAATTAAACAATAAACTTGTATTCGAATTCCACAATTCAGTTAACTTTAGAGCACATTTATGTGACTTTTGAGGGAAAGGCTACCTGATTTTAGAGAAAAATAATTTGCAAACAGCCCAAGAGTGAACCAAATCTTACATCGAGTTGATAGCCTCATATGTACACTCAAAAACTGGTAATCATCTTTTATCACATTTAAGAGCCGTAATGGCTATTGATCACCGTAGATCAATTAGGCTTAGAAAAAAAACCAGGCCAACGTTTTGGCGTTCGACAAGTTTACTTTGCAAAATCTTGCCAACAAATCTGGGTGCGTGTAAACCAACCTTTTATATACCATGGACAGAAAGCAGTATTTCACAATACAAATTGCTCTCATTCAATATTCATAAACTGTTAAAAAAATTTTCCAAAATCACCTATACGGCCATCCGGTTCCCACTTTTGTAGTGCGAACTGTAGCGAGTGTTTGAATGAACATTAACAGAGTTACGCTCCAAGATAATAAAGAATTTATCATGTTTATTTTTTATTTGATGGTTTAACGCGCGGCATTTTGAGAACTCCTGCAAGCGATGTTCACTGAACGACTGAAAACAATCGGCATAGCGATTAAAATTGCAAGAGAGACTACTAACAATCAATAAAAGAAATATAATTCGGTGAAACATAAACAGAGACAACAATTTTCATTCAGGAAGACAAGTATTAAAGTGTCCCTAAATATCCTGAATCTTCAAGCTTCAAGCTTAAGTTTGCTGAAGTTTATGTTTTAAGCCAGCTTACCGGTGTTTGTTTTTTCAAAGACGAACTCGAGGCAAGAAAATCGCTCAAAGCTTTCTTTTCCGGCTAGAATTATAACTAAAGATTCTTTGGAACATTTTTTTTCTATTTGCGGTGAGAAACTGTCTAAAGGCTTTTTAAAGTTCTGTAAGATTATATCAAACCAGATACTCGGTGAGATCGTTGTCTCAAATCTTACAAACGCGCATAAACTAAATTCCCGCATAAACTACGCTCCACTTCATTAAATTAGATACAAAAAACAAACATGAAATAGAATAATTTCTCTGGCTTACCATTCGAGATGCAGCTCCTGAAAGTTATCAGGTAAAGCCAGTATCGCTTCAGACTTTGCAATCCTCTCACGCATCAAGCAAGGTGAAAACGAAAACGATGCCATCCGAAATCGGATTTCCGACTTTGACAAGCGACGTTTTCTCAACCAAAAACCCAATAAACAAACTAGCCATGAGTAACAGAAGACTCCTGATAGCAGCTGAATTTCATTTTGTACATCCAGTGGAAAAAGACAGTTAAAAACATCACAAGTTGACACAAAACTCTGTCAGCTTCAGCTGTTAAAGTAAACAAGATTCAAGATGCTGCATAAATTTTGCGCATGAACTCACCTGTCAAATTTTGGCCAATCAGAGCATAAAAATTGGACGTAGAGCGTGACCAACGCGTGACCATTGGGAGAAAAAACAAAAGCAACTGTCTTCCCTGCCTGTAACAGCTGGCTGAATTTTCACGTCCGAGGTCAGTTTGCAATCAAAATTTTAATTGTGCAGCACATAAACACAACATATTTCATATGAATTAAGAAAAAAAATTGAACTTGAGCCTGCGATCACTTGAAAACTAGTTGACTTGTCAGCGGATAACTTCAAAAAATACTTGACCTCGACGGGTCGACACCTGAGCCCGCGATATGGTCAAGTGATACTGGTCAGCGGGTACTCTGTTTTGACAGCTGTCAATTGATCAAAACATTGATGTCCAATATGTGTGCATTATCAGTTTTTCTGTGCTTCCAAACTAGTAAAAGTATGAGATTGAACGTTGTTCGCGATCTAGTAAAACAGTTAACTGGTCAGCGGACAGCTTCCAAATAAATCACGTCACCTCGATGAGTTGACACATGAGCCCGCGATATGGTCATGGGATACTGGTCAGTGGCTATCCTGTTTGGACAGCTGTCAATTGACCATATTGTTAATGTCCTCTAATATTAAAGATGTGGACTTGCCAAGACACGCCTGAGACACCCCTCCCTTCCTTTTGATAGTCTCCCCTACCCCACCCATACAATCTGTAGACGCGTACGTACGTACGTACGCTCGGTCAATCACGTGACAACCAAACGAAAAGAGGTTGACCATATTCCATGGGTATGGGGCTCTGTCCCACGCGCGCTTCGCGCGCGCGGGAGCCCCGCTACAATGACAAAAATATGCTGCGTGGCATCTCGCCACCCCATTTTTAGTTTTCTTTTCTTTCCTGGATTCGATCATAAGTGGTCACGTGACACATATCTGATTTATTACCTTACATGAAAATTAAGGTTACCGACTTTTCCGAGGTTGCCAAATTTTGGAAGGTTCTGATAAATTTTGTCAAAGTTATGATCATTATAAGATTTTATGCAAATTAGCTTCAGGGCATGCCTCAACATGCTTGAGCATGCGAAATTTATTGGCTGCAACTTCGAATCACGTGTAAGTCGGGTTGGGTTTTGAAGTTGTGTGTTAGGTCGTGAATAGCTGCACAGAATGTAATTTTCAGCCTGCGTTTAATTTGCCACCGAACCAACGAGTTCACAGTTGTCGAACAAATAGATTCACCATAACAAATCGAACCGACGAGCTCATTTGTGAACTTACCGAAGGAAGAGTTGACTCGTTGACTCGTTGCGAAATACTATATATATTTAAATATGAAATAAATATTGAAGCAATTTTCACACCGCAGCGCGACGATTCTCTTGAATTCGCAAACCGATTTTAGTGCGGTCATGCGGTATACAATTGGAGGAATGTGGTCTGTGGACTGCGGACTGGGTATAAACTGACACTGACTAGGTATGAAATGCGAACTACGGACTATGTTTTAAAAACCTGGGCTAAATATTTGTAGGTAAGGTAAAAATAACATTACAAAGATCGCACAACACGCAGGTTAAATTTTTGCTTGAGTGCCCCTCTCTGTCCTCCAAGGCATTGAAATGGAGTTGTGGCAGGTCTGGGCTATGTCAGAATTTCATCTTAACACCTCAAACGACTATTTTAATATTTCTCTTGTCTGCGGTGTTCGTTAAATTAAGGGCCGGTTTAAAGTATCAACACGTATTGCCGGTAAAAGCTTAACTTCCGGATTCGGTGCTTCTAGTTGTTTCATATCTTTCATTTGATTGAAAGCAGTAAAAATATAAAATGCATTTATAACATTTGTTGGAATGTCGGAATGTTGCGGTGTGCGTATAGCGGCCGGGTAAGGCCGCGCCAGAAACAGTTTCGGATCAATTGAGCTTTCTGGATAAGTGACCACCTACCCCTCCCCTGAGTCACAATTTTGCCCTAATTGAGTATAGGTGGTCACTTGCCCAAGAAGACTCCATTGATCCATAATTTCAATACTAGGTCAAAATTTTTGAGTGTCTTTAAAAAGATGTTGAAGACCGTTTGTGAAATGCCCACTGGTGTTTAATCCAGCAAATCTAATATTGCCCTGCATCACCCTCAGTCAATTGCAAGGAACTGATCCACGCAGTTCCGTAACCTGGTAACTAGAGGGCTCAAGTGTTTTGTTCACGCGTGCGTTACTAAAAATAATGTGTTTATGTATTTTAAGGGACGCGCAGGAACGAGCTATACAGTCAAAGGTGATGGAATGTGAAAGAGAGCGATTTGTAGTAAAAGAACAACTAGCATTGTTGGAAAGAACACAGGAAATAGAGAAGGACGTTCGAAGAACGCTATGGGAACAAGTGGAGATCTTTCAGGGACAAATGTGAGTATATATTAACCTGAGGTCAGGCCCAATTTTAGCAGCTTCCGTACCTTCTCTCTTAATAATACGTGGTCGCCTTTCCCGCCAGAATTTTATTTAAAAAGCGAAACGAAAATAGCCGTCTGATCTCAGGTTACCATATATGTACACCTGCTTTATACGAGTTAGAGATACACATTTCAATTGATAGATTCTCTTTATTGCTTGGGTAAAACCGCTGATTACGGTAACAAACCAAGAGAACAAAGTTTGTCAGGATGAGACGGAGGGTAGTCTTTCTGAGTTGTTTTAATCGGCTATGAAAGAATAGTAAGAGGGACGCAAAGTGGAACAAAATGTGCTAAATAGGCCATTTAGCATAACCCTTTAAGTCCCAATAGTGTCTAACGTCAATTTTCTCCTCACGATATCCATGCAATGTCAAGAGATTAGGTTATGAGAATTAATAAAATGATCACCTAAGGGAAAATGCCTTGATCTTTTATCAAATTCTCTCAACTTATTCTTGAAGGAAATGTATAGAGATCAGTTTGGAGAATTTGTATGTGGATATTGGGGCTTAAAGGGATAATGACGTCTTTTGCTGCTAACAAACTGCTTCGGAGTTTTGCTCTCTTGGGCAAATAAGGAGATTTTTGTTACCGCTATTTCGAGAAAGGTTGTCGGAAAAAGTGCACGCGACAATGTCCATCCCGAAAGGTATTGTGGGTGGCTTTGAGTTGAATCAGTTATCCAGAGAAATTTGAAAGAACGGCAAGAGAGGCCATAGACGTGTGTTTGCAATTGCTAAAGGAAAGCAACAAGATAAGATTCGACAGCTGCAGTGTCAGGAACAGCGTATTGGTCGATCATATCCCATATTGCCTTTCAGGATTGTCGCGTGCACATTTTTTCTGACAACCTTTCTCGAAATAGCTGTATTCAAACCTCACTGCAGAGATTGCTTAATAGGCCATTGGCATGATGGCGTCTTAAGCGTTTACTTAAGAAAAGAGTTTAACTGTGATAGGACTTTTTTAAGACACCAAAATGGCCGCCGTTTTATTGTTTTGAAACACCGACATGGCGGACATAAGGTCATGTGTAACGGCTTTAATTTAGCCCTCATAGGACAGTTGCACGCTGATGTCACTTTACAAGTACACCAGAATACTTTAGTTTGTTGTCTTGTGCAAATTAGGGCCATTGTTTTTTGAACCTCAGCGCCAGAATTAACAAATTTAATTTAGAAAGCAAAAACGAAATAAGCTTTGGTAGTTGTAGTCGTCAACGTGAAAATGGCCCATTTGCAGAACAAAACAACAAACTGAAAGATTCTGCTAGTTTTAGTTAAATGTCGTTCAAATTGTCCTATTAATCCATTAATTTGCTGTGACGAAAACTGGCGCTCGAAAAGTCAGACTTTGAATCTTTTAATTGGCATGTTTTCTTTATAAAAGGATTTGATAAACGCATTTTTTGTACAAAGTAAAAAACATACACTAGTTCCAATTATAGGCTTACTTCATTTTTCTCGTTTAACTTAGAAGTATCTTTTTAATGTATTTTCTCCAACAGCCGTACTAGGGCTGAAATACTACGGCTCAATAACAGGGAAATAGCCATTCACAGAAAATGCATACGGATGTTCGCGAAGTACAGCTCCTCTGTTTCTCAGCGTGAAGTGAGCCAAAAATGGCGGGAAAGTCTACGGAAGACGCGCTCACAAAGCGACATAATCAAGACAGCCAAACAAAACTTATGAGAAACACGAGGCTTGTCGAAGCCTTGGTAATCCAACCCGCTTAAGCCAGTGATGTGAATAAAAGTTGTATAAGTCAATAAAAAAAATGTCTGATTAGAGTTAATGTCTGTTGCAAATTAAAAAGCGGACAACTTTGAATTAACGAGGATAAGTGTTGACTTAAACCATTGCCCTGGCTGACACATACTTTAGGATTTACAATCCATTTCGTATCTCACGCTGGTACAGGGGAGGGGAGGGGTTGGTTAGCTGGTTGCAATCCTCTTCCTGAGTTTGCTGGGCTCTGATTATTGGAATCAACAGACTTATGTGCGGAACAAATAGCAACTTCAACAACACCCCGTGACATCTCCCCGAGCATTTGAAATTTCTAAGACAGACTTGTTTAAAAAGTGATCTTTCCCCTACGCTAATACAGTCCTGGTTAAATGCGCTAGCAAAAGTACGTACCTTGACGTAGCAGTCAAATGCCGTCATTTTTTATTTAAAATTCTCTTTTATATTATAATTCTCATTACTGCTCGATAATGAGAAAGTGGTGGCCTTTCAAACATCTCAGATTAGAAGAACTACCATACAGTTAGTTAACAGCTGGAGGTAAATTGCTTCTCCCAAAAACGTCTGTGTCGAATTCTTGATCGTCAACTTTAGTTGATAAAGATATCAAGGGTTATGGAGGTGTTGGAGAGTTGTGAAATCATTAGCCTGCAAAAACAGGCGTTTCTTATCGTTCCCCGCCGCTTGGAACGTCTCTCATGCGAAACGCCCCAAGCGGCGAGGAACGAGGCTATGTAATCATTTGAAATGACCCTAAACCTCGTCCCCAGCGCGTTTCCCTTGGAAACAAGGAGAGGTAAGAAAAGGCCCGTGAACGAGGTGGATGGCCTCAGTCTTAGCCTGCTACGCAGAAGTTCTAAGGGCTTCGCCACTCGTTCCTTTCTTGCTAGGGAATATAGCAAAATAGAGAAGCCACAAAATGTATGTTTTCGAAACCAGACCTGTCTGACTAATACGCGTTATTTCGTAGAGGAGCTGTGCGTGACGTATTACAATAAAAGAAAAAGTGGAAAATAGGGTAAGTGCAGAGCAACCATGACAGTATAGGTGGGCTTAAACAAGTATTAAATCGACGGACTCGACGTCCTCGGTTTGAAGAAAACATCTTCAAAGTCATTTGAAACTCTTCTATTGTTCTCCGGTGTAACAAGGGTAACAAAGGGTAACAAGGGTAACAAGGGGTAACAAAGGGTAGCAAGGGTGACAAGGGGTAACAAAGGGAACAAGGGGTAACAAGACAAGACAAGACAAGACAAGACAATGCTTTATTTGGAGTCTTATACAATCCTATGTACATCGACTTTCAAATAATTTAAAATCATAACACAAATTGCACACTAGTGGAACTATAATCAATGTTAACCTAAAGAACTAATGATCTTCTTTTCTCATAGCAGTCGAATACGTATTTTGCAATTAACTTTTGCACTGGTTTGTTCTTGCTCGGAGGGTTTATTAACAACAGAAAAACATCATCTGGTGCCATTCTGTTTACTGATATTCTGTATTCTTTGTTTAAGTGTTCAAATAAAGTACTTCGTTTTTCTTGATACGCAGGGCACAGAATTAAAGAGTGTATTTCATCTTCTACCTCTTTTTACAGTTAGGACAGATCCTCTCTTCCGGTTTCTTATAAGGTCTTACACACCGACCTGTTTCTATCGCCAATTTGTGATTACTTAGACGGAGTTTAGTTAGAGTTATCCGCGTCGAACCTTTAGGAGGGTTGGGGAAGGGGGGGGTAGGGGGGTTCTCATCACGAGTTCGCGATCAACAATTATTTTGCGTTTCACGAGTCACGAAACAAGTATTTACGTTTTCACGCTTCTCAAAAATAGAAGTCGTGCAAAATGTCAAAAACGTTACGTTAGTCCCACGTTGTAAAACAGAGTGCTTCGATCATATTTTAGCAAGCTAACTAGCCGGTTTTACGAACCTTATGAAAAACACTTCGCGGCTATAAATTCCCTAGGGAAGCCAGCTGTAGGTGAGTCTGAGCTCACTGTGTGTGTGAAACTACATCAAAAGACTCGAAAGTGAAGTTAAATCAAGCCACCAGACGCTAGTTAAGGTCGTTTGGCCAAATCAACGATTTATGTTCTTCGATTGATCTTCAATGTACGTGTAAACAGTCGAGGATTTTGGCAGTTAAGGTTTCACGGAATGCACTTCAATCACGATGCACAGAAAAGTCTTTCAGTGCGTCACGATTCACACGAAAATAATCGAATAAGATCGAATAATCTTGCCCCCTCCCCTCTCATGTCTGCGGTTCACAGGCTACACCGAGGGACCATTAGAGGAGGACCCTGGGAAGGAGAGGAAGCCGCGCGTTTCTAGGAATTTTGAGATTCGCAGAATCTCGAATTTGAGTATTTTGAAATGCGATGTGGTCGGATGATGACGACTTTTTTGCGTATTCACCGTATTATTTCGGTTCCGATATGGAAGACAGTGATGTCGACGTGTACAACTTTGATGAAGATGACTTTGAAATGTTGAGGAAGTACGTAGATTTAGCCGCTCTTCTCCGTCGAGGTCGAGAAGAAAGTTAAGGTTACCAAACCATCAGCGTCATCAATTACAGAAAACACTCCTGCCACTGCCACCACTACTTACCAGCTACTCTCTCTTCAAGACTTGTGTTGTCGTGTCATTGCGTTGAGGTTCCCGTTCGCTTACATTGAGCATCGTTCCCCTCCAATTCCAGATGAACTGCAATTGAAGATAATCGGGTTTTCGTTTCCAGAGGATGAGCAGATGATGATGAAGTATGCACAGTTTAGCCGTGGTGGTGTCGACGTAAGCTTAAACACGGCGAGATCAGTGGTTGGAAACGTGAAAAATCTGAATCAGATTGGTAGGTATGACTTGACAATGGTGCTGTTATAGCAAAAAAAATAATAATAAAATAAGTAAGGTTGTATCAATGTGAGTTTTGCTCAAATTCCAGGGATTTTAAAAAAATTTTCACGTGTCCAGTTTAAGCTTAAGATTTAACGTATAAATTGTACAAGTAACTAAGGACTCAATTCTTCACCTTCTTATTTTCATACTGTGATATTTTAGGCTGGAAACTAACGGCTTAATGACACAGTGTATGGTAACCTAAAGCAATCAGTGTTAGTCCATGTTAATAATATCAAATAAGCCGTTATGTAAATATCCAATTTGCCCCATTGTCCATACCTTTAACCAGTTTGCCCCCTTTGTCGCATTGTTCAGTGTGTTGCTTTTGAGGTACATGTGCAACTCACCCTGGTTACATGTATAAAGCCTGGTTCTCATATGCTGCCGATGTATCTGTGACATAGCCACCGGTACAGCCTGGGACACGTCTTGGACGAATGAGAACATGTGCCCCCGGCAACTGGAGCCATCGCAGGGCTCTACCGCCGGCATGCCTGCGAAGTTGAACTTGAGTCAACTTTGCAGGCATGCCGGGGGTAAAGACTGGGATGAGCAATGTTGCCGGCCACTTCTGTTCTCATATCTGAACAGCATCCCAGGGAGTACCGGCGGCCATGTAGCAGGTGCATCGGCAGCATATGAGAACCAGGCTTTATAACTCTATTGAAAATGTGACCCCATTATAGTCAATCCAGTCATGAAAATGCTACCCCATCCAGTGGCACATCCCCATTAGCCTCTTATGAGGAAGTACCCCCCTTCCCCTCCCACGGGGTAACTCACAGCCCCTTTGCTGACTCAATCGCCGTTAGGCTTGTTTTCACTTGTGACGAAGTCAGTGAGAGTCATAAGCACAGTTGTTAGGATAATCTTTCAGTAAAAATATAAAATCAGAGTCAGAAGCAGAGCCATAGGTATGACAGAATTGAAGATGACAGAATCAGAACATTCCATAAAATTCTAGATCTGCTTAGGGTTTTATCTCTATTGCTTACCTGTGCAATGAACTGAACACTAGATTCTGGAAAAATTCCTCCATGTATGTAAGCCCCTCCAAATATAGGCCACCCAAACTTGTAATGCAAAAAGACTCCTCTGTTAAATCCCCCCTCCGAATATAAGCGCCTGAGGGCTTATACTTAGAAATTGCCTTAAACAAAACAAAAACTGGTACAGTAACACATATATATTTTTACTTGCCAACAAACTATTACTTGTGCCAAATGATTGCAGTAAAAATGTTTCACAGTTTATTCCTGTTTGTGTTGTTCACTGTTCACTCTTTTCTTGGATTTCTTTAGCCATAGACAAAGTACTTGCAAGGAAGTTCTATTCTTCCATCCTGCACCCAAACTCCTTCTGGTGTATTGCATTTTCAGTGAAGCAATTTGTGGTTTTGTTTTCAGTCGCGTGGCTGAGTTTTAAAAAGAGTCTACCTCCAAGATGTTTTTCAGTAAAAATTTCTGACATAAAGTTTATTCCAACTGTAAGCTAGCCCAGTCAATTCTGAGACACAAATTTTTCTCTAAGTATATAAGCCTAGCCAATTTTGTAATGCACCATTTCTCTCTGTATATAAGCCCCTCAGAAAGGGCCTTTGAAAAGTGTATTCCCTGGGGCTTTTTTTCAGAATTTTGTGGTATAGGAGTTGAAACCGGAAACAGACTGATAACCAATCACAATGTTTTTCCATGCTTTGTGAATGATTTAATTTTTTCTGCCTCTGTTTAGGAGTAACATATACAAAATTATTATTACGTGAACATTTTTGTGGGCCTAAATTTTACGTATCCTGAATAGGGTTGGTGTCCCTTAATAGAAATGTACCAAAGGAGAGGTTCCACTGTAGATTGTAAGTGAGAGAGGCATTGGAGGAATCAGAATTTCTGTTTTCGCCATATCATACAGTACAATTGTAATAATGCTCTAGATGCTTCTGATTATGACTTGAATTCTGATTCTGTTGCTTGCGAAAGCCAGTTGCACATGGTGGTTCCCTGCACATAATGGGGGCACTGAAGTGTCTAACCCAAACCCAGTGATTCTTTCAGTATTTTTTTTAATCAAATAAGCTGATGGTGTGACAGAATGATAATGAGTTTAAAACAGAAGGAAGGATAGAAGCAAGGATAGAATTGAACCACACTGAAGGATTGGATTGTTTAACAATAATTTTTAATGCAACATCCAATTTGCCCCGGGGGAGGGGGGGGGGTACTTTAGGAATTTCTGGGTGGGGATGTGCCGCTGGTTCCTGGAACCCTTAACCTATACCAGAGCTAGATCAGCTGAATTTTGCTACCCTATACTAGATAAACTCCCCAAATCCCCCTATCCTAGAGTAGCTGTTTCCCTTGTCTAGATAAAATCTTCAACCAACTGATCAGTTTCCTGAAAAATGATACCCTATTCTAGACCCAAACGCTCTGATTTATATACCCTATCCTAGAGTAAACTGCCTGAAAACCATACCCTTCACAGCGGCACATACCTATATAGCCCATATATGGCAATACCCCCCCCCAGCAATTTGCATTCTGACTTAACTTTTGGTGAATGTGAAAAATGTAAAATTGTGCATGGAGCTTAATGCACACGTCAATAAAAATTAATGCTTATGGAGGATAAAAAGGGGCATAGATTCACTTTTACTGCAGTGTAATTTTCTTTGGTGGTGGTAGATTTGACCAATTTTACAGTGGCTACAAGTTGCATTTGCCGTCAAGTGAGTTTTCAGTTGAAACCCTTAAGTTTTCATGGACATCAATCAACTCTTTCCATGGTTTTTTCACTTGCTTCTCTCATTGTTCCTGTTTGAAGGGGAAAGACATGCAAGAATATTTTTTGAATTAACAAGTCTTTCAAATTCTGCAGAGATGATACAACCGAGAGGAAAAATCTTTGGAGGGCACGTGTTATTAGTACCACCACTGCAACAGCCTACAGTGTATAAAAGTCCCTAACTTTGACCGGTGCCTTTATTAAATCTTGCAGGCTTCCGTTTGAGTGCCACGGTTGATCAAAACAGGTGCAATGACAGTGGCAATGGTTTTCATGTAACTGTTTACTTTGATCGTGGCAAGATAACCTCAGCTCACTGTTCATGTGACCAGCCAACAAACTGGTGCGTGCATGTTATAGCAACATGTTTGGCAAGAATAAAGGACAAGAATACTGTGACAATTCGAATGCCAGTCTCTGATTCGCTTAATTTTCTGGATCGGGATCAGTTGATAAAATTTGCCCAGTACCTTCTATATGAACACCAGAATGAAAGTATTATTGAAACTGCACAACAGCTGCTTGATAAGCTGTTGTCAAAAGAACAGAAAGGGCAAGAAGAAGACATAAATGCAATTGCAGGTGCACCTGATCCCACTGCTGGTCCTGGTAAGGCAGTCTTTATCATCGTCATCATCATCATCATTTTATTATCATCATCATCATGCTTGTTATTTTATTTATAAAATTATTAATACTGTTAAAAGGCTAAAAAATGTTTGAAAGGAAATACATTGTAATTAATCGCTCTGGAAAAGCAGCACAATTGAATCTAATTTCTTTTCCAGTTGGTTTGCATTTTTGATTTCCAGTGCATGGGTAGTTTTCCCCAATGTATCTTGTAGACTCTGTGGTTAGAATAGTTATCACAAGAAGTTTAAATGCAAAATGAGTTTTTTGAACAAGAATGTAAATTATTAAGAGGGAAACCAACTGAAAGGAGTTTAGTTTACTTTATTCCAAACTGTCCCGTTTCTGTTGGCGAGCAAAGCTTAAATATGCAAAAATAACCCATTTGTGCATGATCACGTGTTTTGTTGTGTTTGACATTATTAGGTCTTGATGAAGAGGCTCACTGGTTTGTCTGTAGAAGTGGATTCCAGTCCAGGTGTAAAAACTTGATGTTTGGATCCAATAAAGATCTAGGCTTTCTCAAGTATGTTGATGAGGATAATGATGTTGAGGGTTCTGTTAAAGAAGTGTGGGAAAGAAACTGCCTTCAACAGCCACTTGTTAGAGGTACAACTGTTTATAGCGGAGCTCCACGCGCGCGCGAAGCGCGCGCGTGGGCGGAGCCCCATTGCTAAGTAAATCTACCCATCCCAGAAAATTTGGTAATCACGTGACCGTACACCGACCGCCCGCCGTCCGTCCGCACCACAGGAAAACCAATGTTTACTCTCACACTTTTGCTAGTTTGGGAGCCCAAGAGAAAACTAATTGCACAGGCTGCACATCAATGTTGTGATCAATTGACAGCTATCAAAACAGGGCATCCTCTGACAAGTATCACCTGACCGTACCGCGGGCTCAAGTGTCGACCCATCGAGGTCGAGTATTTTTTTAAAGTTATCCGCTGACAAATTACCAGTTTCAAATGATCGCAGGCTCAAGTTTATTTTTTCCAAGGATTCATATCAAATATGTTGTGTTTATGTCACTATGGCTCCGCACTATTAGGATTTTGATTTCAAACTGACCTCGGAAGCGAAAATTCATCCAGTTTTTTTTTAAACTACAGGTGGGGAAGACCTTATCTTACCATGGTCACGCGTTGGTCACGCTCTACGTCCCATTTTTATGCTCTGATTGGTCAAAATTTGACAGGTGAGTTTATGCGGAAAAATTATGCAGCATCTTGAAAGTAGTTTACTTTGACAGCTGAAGCTGACAGAGTTTTGTGTCAACTTGTGATGTTTTTAACTGTCTTTTTCCTCTAGAGGTACAAAATGAAATACAGCCGCTATCAAGAGTCTTCTGTTATTCATGGCTGGTTTGTTTACCGGGTTTTGGTTGAGAAATGCGTCGCTTGTCAAAATTCGGTAATTCGATTTCGGATGGCATCGTTTTCGTTTTTCACCTTGCTTAATGCGTAAGAGGGTTTAAAAGTCTCAAGCAACTGTGGTTCCCTTGATAGCTTTCAGGAACTGAATCTCGAATGGTAAGCCTAAGTAATTATTGTGTTTGATGTTTGTGTTTCATGAAGTCTTGCACTGTTCACGCTGACAGTTTATGCGTTAAGTTTATGGCGTTTGCAGGATTTGAGTCAATGATCTGACCTAGTAGCAGGTTTCATATAAGCTTACAGAACTTTAAAAAGCCTTCAGATATATTTGCTCACCACAAATAGAAAGAAAACGTTCCGAAGGATATTTAGTTATAAATTTGGCTGTAGAAAGAAAACTTTGAGCGATTTTCTTGCTTCGAGGAGTTCACCTTCGAAAACAGTAACAGTAAACACCGCGCTGGGAAGCCGGCTAAAACATAAACTTAAGCTTTACGCTGAAAGACTCAGGATTTTTAGAGACACTTTAATACTTGTCTTCATGAATGAAAATTCTTGTCTCTGTAAATGTTTCACGGAATTATATCTCTTTTTTTGATTGTTAGTAGTCTCTCTTGCAATTTTAATCGCTTGTCCGTGCCGTTTGTTTTCATCGTTCATGACCATCGCTTGCAGGAGTACTCAAAAATGTCGCGCGTATCAAACGCTTTATAAGATTACACATCGTTATAACTGAAACCATTAAATAACAAAACAAATAATAATAAATTCGCTATTATGTTGAAGCGTAACTCTGTTAAAGTTCATTCAAACACTCGACCACACTGACAGCTCGCACTATAGAAACGAGAACCAGCTGGCCGTATGGGTGATTTTGGAAATTTTCTGAAATTTTTGAACGGTTTGGCTCGTCCTGAATATTGACTGAGTGCAATTTGTCTTGAAAAATTGTAAAATACCGCATTCTGTCCTAGCTCTGTATGATAAATAGTACTGTTTCACCTCAAATGTGGTGTATAAAAATTATAAAAGGTTGGTTTAAACACCCCCAGATTTGTTGGCAAGAATTTGTAAAGTAAACCTGTCGAACGCAAAAAAATTTGGCGTGATTTGTTTTCCAAGAATTTGTTTTCGAGGCCTAATCTACTGTGATCGAAGATGTTTGCTATTTTTTGGGTGTACATATAAGGTTATCAATTCGATGTAAGATGTTTCACTCTAAAATAACTTAGCCTTTCCCTCAAAAGTCACATGAATGTGCCCTTAAGTTGAATGATTTGTGGATTAAAAGTTTATTGTTTGATTTAAATTATAAATTTATTAAAAGTGGAGCTTCGCTTTTAGCCCTGGCTAAATCTATATATTATATGTTGTACATGTAATATAAAAATGTAGTTTTTGCCTTGCTTTTTGTGGGTCACTGGAAATTTTCAAGGAAAAAGGGGATCTAAAGGCTGGAACATTTAAAACAAAGTACATGATTGTATTAAGCTAATTAAACTGGAATTCCCAAAGGGGAAGGGGAGCTCAAACCAAATGCCTAGATGAGTTAGGGGAGTATATATATGCAGTGCTTGAATTAACAGCTTGTCAACAGACAATGTTCAGTCAAAGTTATAGGCTTTGTTCAGACTCAAATCTTCCAGGACCAGACTCTGTCTCCAGTCATTTATATAATTGGTGCTTCACCAGCTTCTTAGCTGTAGAACTTTTGATACGTGAGGTTTGTAGAACTGGGAGAACTTTTTCTCCTTGATCAATTCAAGTTTCTTTTACCAAATGTTTGCATACATTGTATGTGTTAATTATTATTATTTATAATATTTTGTTGATTTAAAAAAAATAACATTTTACTTCTTTGAAAGAAATTTTATCATTATTAAAAATTATAGTACCTGTAGGGCACTATATAAATGATGCCCCTTTCCTCCTTAAAAGTGAGCCCTCCATGCTGTTTCCCCCTTCACTACCCCCACAACCTTTCCAGCACCTTAGTTATAGTTAAGTGAATGGCAGTGATTTTATTTCTTCATGTTTTTAGATGAAATGGATGTACAGCTGGATGATAGTCGCTATGGTTACTCAAAGACATCCTCTCGGCAGCAAAGCATTCGTCAAGTCCTGGAAACCATAGCTGATATGCTTCAGGATGATTTCATGAGTGCCGTGTCAGCTCTGACAGTGTACACTGAGCAACTGATTCAAGGATTAACTGTGTTGTGCAAAGTGAACCCTCCTAGAAGTAGATTCCATATACCAAAGCCAAGAAACCAGAAACCTAAATCAAATTTAAGCCTTTGTGGATCCCTAGCAGGAGGCTTTACTCCAAGACTTTCAGAGTAAGTGCAGGGAACCAAAATCATTCATCTTTTCAAGGCATTTTGCTAAAAAATCTTCATAACAAAGATTTCTTGGATTAATTACGATGTAAAAACAATTATTATATAAACATCAATGACAATTATTAATATATCATTCTTCTTATTGAAGCTGTACAACAGTCAGTGATGAACTTTCTCGGCTTTGGAGATTAGCTGTCCTTAGTCCAGGAATTTCTGTAAAAGGGTATGAAGAAGTTGTTGATCAGCTGAGGACTTTGAATGAAAGAGGTACTATTAATAAGTCTGAACTCAACAAGGTAACAAGTCAACTAGCCTATGACTTACAGAATATTAACTTAGGCATTAGGATTCTTAAATAGAAAATTTCACATTTTATTACTCATTATTTTGAAATTTTGAATTTTGAATGTGGTATTTCAAATTATGGATCATCCATAATTTGAAGGTTAGAACTTGAAATCTGTAAATTACAGATTTCAAGTTCTAAACTTCAAAATTGTGCTGACCACCCCTCTTTGTTTGAATAATGGTAAGGTTTTTGTTATCTGCAGTTTACAGAGGGCACTTTACAACATTTTTTTCAACTAAAGGTATCTCGAGTATAAAAACCCCTACTTCTCTGCTACCGTAGCATAACCATTGTCTCATGTCACAGAAATCTGGGTCGTCAGCATTGCAAGACTTAACCAGCATAAAGCCCTTGCAGTGTTAAAAATGATAATTAAATTTTTTTTCGTTGCCCTCAGTTTCATAATAAAATATTAAAAATATGATATTCATTTGTACCTTGCAAATTCCATAAGGTTTTCAAATGCACCTTACAATGAAATATTAAAATTAAATATATAGAAAGAAAATTACAGTGCAACTACTATAACCGAGGCCACTTAGACAAGGTCAGCCGATCGGATTACAGGAAAATAACAATTTGTTCCAAGACATTTAGTTGTCAGTCATAATTACCACAAAAAAAAAATAAACAACACAGATCAAAATCAACCAATCAGAACTTACAGAGGTGACCTTTTGAACTTGCTGAAGAAAGCATGTGTTTCCCAAGAGGTCCATTAGAGTGACTTGCAGACTTGACTTGACTTTACTTGCTGACTTGCAGTTGCATGTTATTGCAAAGCGTGGTAATAAGGGCAAAGAAATTGCTGGTAGAAATAGGTCTCCTGGGTATTGTATGAAAAGTTGCAAGTAGAAAAACATTGTCTGTTGAAACATTTTGCTTTCCTGGAAAACGTTGGCTGTAAATATTAAATCTAGGGCTTTGAGTAACATATTGATTTTTATGAACTGCTGATTGGCCAACAATGATAACCATTTCTCTTGGAATATATTTTTAACCAGATTGGTCAACTTTGTCCATATAAGTGGCCCTGGTTACAGTTGCCACACTGTAATACTAGTAAATACAGTGTTAAAGTACAAATTTAACTATGTAATAGGATAAAAACCAGCATTTAAACTAATCATGTAATACAAATAAGAAATAAAATATAAAATAACTATAAATATGAAACATTTATAAGCTTAGTTAAAAAGTACTGTTTTTAATCAAGTTTTGTTGATGAAGTAAAATCACTGGTAATTCTAATGTCATAGGGTAAATAATTCCATAGCTTCAAAGCAGCAACCACAAAGGCTCTGTTGCCAATTAAGTCTTGTCTTGAGACGATGGTGACAAGATAAACTTGTTGTTTGTCTTTATTTCTTTTTATTATCACATAGCCTTCAAAGTAATTATAGTCTTCCTCTGCCAATAAGACAGGAAACATCAATCGACTCTTTTAAACGCTCTGTTAAAACATATTTATTTAAAAAGGCTTTTAGTTAGATTATTTATCTATTTATTTATTGTAATTTTACTGGGTAATTTTACTGGTTTTTAATTTAGTTATTAATAATATTGTAATGCGCTTTTGAGTATTTTTATAGAAAAAGCGCAATATAAGTATTAAATATTATTATTATTATTATAGTAAGGATCTTGAATATGAGCTCACGTTACTACCCTTGTTGACTTATTAGGAGGAAACAAGTGATCTCAAATAGTAGGAACTTCCAGTGATACACAGACTACCTAACATGTTTATTTACAAATCCTGTGTGTGGCTTTGTTTTTACTTTCTGTAGCTTTTGTGACTGGTCTGCTGCACCCATTGCATGGCCTGGAAGTGGCCATAAAATTATCCTCAATCGACTGGAATTTACCTGACTTTCAGCAAGTACTTAAAGGACAGTGGACTAACCTCCCTGTTGTAAGCAGCTGTATGGCTATCCAGTTGACATGCCAATCAAAGAGTACTTATGTGTCTAAGTTGATGGCGCGAAAGCGGTGCAGCAATGATGTCGATGCTGTGACAAGTACAAAGGATGATTCAAACATCACACTTTCATTTTACAGCCCTCACTGCATTGCATTCAGCTCTCGTTGCAGCATTGATATTCACTCAGTATGTTCCATGATCGAAGCTATAAATGCTTCTGGCCATCACCGGCGTGCCATGTGCCTCACTGTGGCAATATCATATGCTCTTGTTTCATTCTACAAGAAGGTTCTCTTTGGACTGTGTGATGCCTCATCAATGCCCATGTCTGCCAGATGCTCGCTAGGGACTGCAAAGTACCAAAGTGGGACAAAGGCAGATAGCAACAAAGAATCTGATTGTCCTGCAGAAATAGGTGTTTCCAGCGACAAGCCATGCACCAGTTCCATTTGGCCAGAGGATACACTTTTGGCGATTAGTACATTTGCATTCCTTTTTGAGTTGTTGTCAGAAAAGCCTGACTTAGTTGATGCATCCATTGCAAAAATGAGAACCAAGCTAAACCTTGATAGTTGTTCTTCACGCAACAGTGCACTTGACTGTCCAAAGTCAGCAATGTCTCTGAAGTTTCAGCTTGGAGTAGTGGGGTTGTTTCTGCAGAGGTTGCCTGCATCATCTCTTCACCATGAGGTATAAGTGTAGTGGAGTGTGATAGTCAGTTTCGTTTAGTTAGCATACCACAAGTAAAATAAGAGATGCTCCAAGTCAGAAATATTTAACAATTATCGAATGAGGCTGAGTATGATGTGAAGAATTATGCAAACTAAGAATGTTATGGACTAAGGTGGGTAACAGCTACCAAGATCTGCATAATTCTTAACATCGTGCAAAATCCAAATTCAATACTTATTTTATTCTGCATTCAAAAATAAACAAGCTTACCTCCTCATAGATGTCCTTTTTCGTATCCTATGTCTCTGCACGGTTTCAGGATATAAACTGATGTGTTTTTCTTGCAGATACTCCTCAAAAAGTAGGTGAAATCCATCGAGCAATATGTTTTGCATGTTCTCGCATTTCTTCCGTTCAGTTTTAGCCAGACATATCGTCTTCACATAGCCGTGAACGCCATTGCTTTTGGTTCACTGTTACCCATTAGCAGTTTACCTATTGGGTAGACTACAATTTAACAAGCAACGTAGAAATTAAAGTACTTTGCATTTAGTCTAGTGTTTATGAGGTAGACGCTGTGGAAAAACTGTTCTGCATGAGTCTGGGAAAATTACCTCAGTTGAAGTTGAAATTTGTTTCTGGCATGTTTAACTTGTACCTTCATCAATTACTTCAATTATTGACCGTTTGTTCAGCCTTGGAATACCTTTTTTCTGCATTCTGATTCGTTTACTGGCCATTTCGTTTGTCGGGTGGGATGAAATTAGATATCCAAAGAACTTTGAGTAAAGCAATTAAAACGTAACATTGGACAATAACCGGCTTATTTCTAGTAGGTATTCTCTGTGTGTTTTATTTTCAATGTAGGTGGAACAGTACCATTGTGAGTGCTGGCTAACCTACCATCTGATCTGCTGTAGTCCAGCAGATGCTGACCTGTCATTCCTCACACGTCTTGGACAACACGTCTCTCAGGGAGTTGCCACGCCCAGTCCAGCACCTCAGTCATCGCTATCACGGGTGATATTCCACCATCTTTTTAAAAGTGCCCCTGCAGTGCTTAGCAAGACTCTATCAGAACAACAACATGTAGGTCTCAAAGCAGCGCTTAATATCTTGTCTCACGTCAACAAGTTCACAGTTAAAGATAGCTCTCCCACATGGATGCTTTTTGAGTATGCAAATTGCAGACTTTGGGCGAAGTTAGCAGAGGTTGTTCTTCGCTCTGTCGCTGACTCTTCAGAGCTTTTGGATGAAGCAATGCGTTACGTTCTTCAACCCAACGGAATGCTTGGTGCCCAGTCGATGGACAATGTGTCAGTTGAAACAACGTCGAGGAAAGTACTGTCACGCTTGCAGAACGTTGAGTTGTTATCTGGAAAATGCCGTGTGTCACATTGCCTGGGACGAGTGCTTAGCGACAAACAGGGTAACTCTATAAGAGTTACGCAGTATAAGGCACAGCAAGTTCGAGGCACCATGACAAAAGGAGAGAGTTCCGAGCTGGAAATTCCAAGGAAGATACATGTAATGAACTCTGAGGTGGAGAAGGCTTTGAAGCTCTGTGCTGTTCAGATTGTTGCGCACAGTCTGTGGTTGCAGGGGTTCAGTGATAAAGATCACATGTGTCAGGCTGATTCTGTCAGGTACCTGTTTTGATTAATTCTATACACTGTAGCTACACTGAAATTCCAAAGTACAATTTAAGTGAACATGGTGCCATTTTCGGATGGGACAATCCCCGCCTCCCTCCTGGTTACAGATGACGAAAATGGAAAGGTCCTTAGTGGGAATCTCGTCGATCAATTACTTTATAAAAGAATTTTCTAATACTTTAACATTAAAAGTTGTTGGTTATGTTATCGTTTACTGATTTCCCTTGCATTTAGTCCTAGGTGGCTAACAGATCTTGTGGTCAATACTGGAGTTGAAAGTCTTGAATGCCTTGTTCAATGCAAGGGAGATGTAACTACCATCCTCAAACAAGGCGACCTACTGGATCTTTGCGAGAAAGTTCTGAGGGTGAGCCAATGGGACTGTGAAAGAAACAAAAGGATTGGGGTTTAAGGGATGAATGAGATGGCGTTTTCCTCTGAAGTTTTGAAGAACGTAAAGTGACTTTTCAAGTGACATTGTAGCCGTCATTGCTGTCGTGGAATTTTTGCTTTTTTCTTTCAGTTCTGCAGCTTGGTGGATGAAGTGGATGTGCTCAAGTCGAGCAGAGTCAAATAAAATTTCTTTTGTTACCCTTTAAAGCTGCCTATGCCTCCGACCCCATTTTCCTTCCATTGTATCCAAGTCATGTTGTACTTAAATGTGAAATAATTTTTTACATTTATCATTTACAGAGGCTTGAGCCAGAGACGCAAGTAAAAGCCATTGTGCAAAACATTCTAATGTCGTTGTTACAAAAGGCCAGCCATGGTAAAGCAGAAGAAGATATGAAGAGCATCATATCTTTTTGCAGGTACATGTATGCACGGCAAATTAGCATTATTCATAGTTCTCTCTAAGTGTCCCCAGCTAAATGTAATTGGAGACAATTTCCAGGTCGAATTGGCGTTTACAAGTCAGCGCAAGGTTACTAGAAGGAATTCTATGTGAATACTGGAGTTTTGCCTTGCCCATGACACAAAGTGGTAGCTCATCTGGCCTCAAAAGACTATGATTTACGATTGGATTTCGTCTCTTTGCAGTCTGCAAAAACTTGTAATAACCAAACGTTATTAAGTGCGGACAAGATAAATGCAGGGTGTTTTCGGCTGATTGAAGGTCAAAACGATCGTGCTCAGATTACGAATGTTAAAAGATCTAAGCGCGTGATCATGGTTTTATGTATTCCATTCATTCTCAGTCGAAGTCCAATCAAATGCTGGCGTATGCATGAAAGCAACCTGAACGTAAGGATTGCGTCTTCTCTAGATCTGGTCACCCACAGAAATAGTTTTGTATCGTAGTTTTTTGGTGTTGCGGACAGTTGCAATCACCAAATTACGTAATACAAAAGACTGAGAATGACACAAATACCCACACCCTAAAACAAAAGCGAACCAACAATAGTTTCTGTAACACCAGATTCAGTAACTGCTGGGAATTGTTTACGGCTTGAGAATGTGTGTAATCCCAAACACTATAACCAAGTTCTCACGTGATGCTAGCTTGATATGTAAATCATTAATTTGCTCAAGACAGCAGGCTGCCAAAAGGTTAGTTAAAAGCTTTTTTTCAGGTTTAAATGATTATTGTTTAAAATATCAACTGAAAAAAGAAAGTCATTTAGCACCGCAAGTTTGCTAGACGGTGTAGTGCTTATTCGGTCGCGGCGCTCATTCTATTATTGCGCCCTTTTAAAAAATATGGTGATTCTTGAACTGCGTTCAGCACTTTAAGGATCATTTCTTTACGCAAATACATTTTGACATGCATTTCTAATACATGTGTAGAGGAAGGCGATGTGACCTGCAACTGGATTTACTGCCATGGATTTGCACAAGACTTCAAACCCTCAACGAAAGTAAGTCGTCTGTGCCGTTTGAATTGCTCATGGATGCCAGCCATGGTATGCTGGAACATTACAAGGAAAGACTGGCGAGAACAGAGATTGAAAAAAGGAAGAAGAAGTCAGAAGAAAAACTTAGCAAAACTAATTTGTTCCTTAGACGGCTTCCAGCAGGGACAACTGATGTTTATTTACACAATTTATGTAGTGGGTCAGTGAACATTTTCATTCTCATTCATCCCTCGTCATCCCAGTCACCCCTTGTCATCCCGCTCATCCCTAGTCATCCCAGTCATCCCTAGTTATCTCAGTGGGCCCAGTCACTCTTAGTCATCCAAGTCATTCCTAGTCATCCCCAGTCATCCTTAGTCATCCTTGACATCACTATCATGCCAGTCATACCTGGTCATCCCAGTCATCACTATCATGACACCCATCCCAGTCATCCCTAGGCGTTCCAGCCATCCATGTCTTGCCAGTCATCCCAGTCATTCCTAGTTATCCAGTCATACCAGTCATCGCTAGTCATCCCTGGTCATCCCAATCATCGCCAGTCGATTCCAGTGATCCAAGTCATTCTTAGTCGTCCTAGTCATCATTAATGTTGGTAATAATCTTTCTGAAAAGCTCCCGCCGAGCGATATAAATCCCACTAAGTTTCGTGGAATCTACGCAGATGAAGTTCAAGACACGATCATGGGACTAAATCTGATCAAATCTTCCATAGCCCCCCAGATGTATTAAACTAGCATGTCCTTTTAAAAGTGAGGCACTTTTAACAATTTACAATCAGTCCTTACAACCGTCCCAGGTATACTTAAAATATCTAAAAAAAACTCCTATTGACAAGGGGGCGATGCAACCGACCCGGCGAATTATCGTCCGATTACAACTCTATCAGTTCTTTCTCAAGTATTTGAAAAATTGATGTTTAAGCAACTTAGTAACTACATTGAAAAGCACAATATTCTGTTTCGATACCAATTTGGATTTCGTAAAGGTCACTCAAAATCTCAGGCCATTACCGAACTCACTGACACTCTAAGGAAGGCCATTGATAGCAACCTATACACCTGTGGTGTTTTTCTAGATTTCTCGAAGGCATTCGATGCTGTAAATCACGAAATATTACTTAGTATTACTTATTAGAGGTCTTCCTTTAAAATGGTTCAGTAGCTACTTAACAAACAGGTAATAGTACAATGCGCTAGGAGACAGAATCTCCTATGCAAACTATGAGGTGTGGAATCCCCCAGGGTAGCACAATTGGGCCATTACTGTTTCTTATTTATATAAATGACTTGCCCAACTACTCCGATGAGTCAAGTTTCAAAATTTTTGCCAGTGATACTCGGCGAATAACCTTAAACCCTTGAAGTTCTTGTGAACTCTGAACTTGAGAAGGTGAAAGAATGGTGTGATGTAAATATGTCAATAAATACAGCAAAAACTAACTTTATGATAATTACGTCCACTAAATAAAAGGATACGTCAGTGAGTATTCAGATTAGGACAATGATGGAACGTACTACTCTCTGGTTCACAAGGACCATATTAAATATTTAGGGGTAATGACTGGTGATAGTATCTCATGGAAATACCATCTCATATATTTGACACGAATATATCAAAATTAAGGCACTTTTTATCTGTTAAGCAACTTAAGCAAATTTACTAATTTTAAAATTTATCCTTACATCTCATACGCAATTTTGGCGTGGAGTAGCACCTATAGCTCGCACCTAAAAAAGTGTAGATTAAGCAAAATCTTGTGGGTAGATTAATATTCTTTGTAAACACACATGGTAAAGATACCGAAAGTGCTCTCCCATTGCTGAATTTCCTAGACTTACTCACAGTATACAGCGTTTATTCTCTGCATGCTTTAAAATTGCCTATCTCTGGCATAAAGGTTCACTACCCAACATATTTCGCGACACCTTTCTTTATGCTGGGGATGTCCATAACTAAAACACGAGATATGCAATTAATCAAAACTTCTATAAACCACGTGTAAGAACGAATACTGGCAAGCAGATGATTTCAATCGATCTTTGGAAAAGCAATAATAAACAGTACCACAATACCTTACAGAATTGAACGAGTATGCTTTTTCAAACAAAAATCAAACATCATCTACTGACCGAGCAATATTTGTTGAAACCTAGCACCACCTAATTCTGCCTAAACTCACTTCTTTCAAAACTTGTGCGTATTTTTTTTTTAAATAATGATTTTTTTAGATTTTGTTTAATTGTTATCAATTGTTTCTTTTCTTTTCTGTCATTGTGTTCTTATTTATTTATTTATTTGTTTAATTTTGCTCTTTATGGTTCATCGCCTGTATTTATTTTAAACATAATTGGTATTATGGTGGCCGACTAGAAAACCTAACGGTTCACTTGGCCATCGTACTCAAACTTTCATATTAATTCTACAGCAACATTTTCCTGTAATCTGTAAAGTCTGTAGCCTAGCATTAGTGAAAATATTGAGGAAAACTAACTGAACCTGAACCTGAACCTTGCCATGACTATTATGCCACCCATCCGAGTGATGCATGTCATGCTAGTCATCCCAGTCATACCAGTCATCCCTGGTCATCCCAGGCATTCCTAGTCGATCCCCGTCATGCCTAGTCAATCCCGTTAATTACAGTCATCCCTAGTCATCCCAAGTCATCCCAGTCATCCTCAGCCATCCTGGTCATCCCTAGGCATAAAAGTCATCCAAGGCATCCCTGGTAATCCATAGTCACCCCTGGTCATCGCGAGTTATCCCTAGTCATCCCCGTCATCTCTAGTTATCCCAGTCATCCCTAGTTTTTCTTTTATCCCTAGTCACCCCAGGTCATCCCTGGCCATCCTTAGTGATCCCTAATTATCCAAAGTCATCTCAGTCATCCCCAGTGGATTCCAGTCATCCCTAGTCGATCCCAGTCATCCCGCTCATTCCTAGTCATCTCAGTCATCCTTGGTTTTCCCCAAACATCCTTAGTCATCCCGGTAATCCCTAGTCATCTCAGGTCGATCTTAGTCATTGAAAGTCATCTTAGTGATCCCTCGTCGATCTTAGTCATGTCTAGTCATCCGTCGTCATCCCGGTAATAGGGAGCTTACGAATCGACGACTTTCGCACGACGCCGCCGCTGGGTCAACTCATAGTTCTGCGTTGCCGTCCTGTAGAAATTTGAATTTACGATTCGTAGTAAAGACGACGACTTTGGTGCGCGCGGCAGGCAAATTTTCCCGCCATTTGTGAAGTTTGTTTTCTTCTTTTCACAAGTAAGCTTATTTGTTCAACGAAAATGTCTAAATTCATAAGAGAAACGAGAGCTCGTATTGAAGACGCTTATGGAAACAGATTTATAAAGGACCGAGTATTTCACTGTATTTGTACTTTTATGCGTTTCGTCAACAAACTCAGAGTTAACTACAGATTTAGACAAGACAACAAAGGACGAATGCAAGGCGCGTTTATATACAGGGAGGGCATTTATAAACTTGTTGAACACGCAGCTGTAGTTACTGTGATGAGATAACCACTTGCAATGGTCTAGTTGTAGCTTTGGTACCATCTTGCCAATATGGTTTCACTCGGTGTTAATTTATGTTTGTCTACAGCTAGCTAGGGTGTTGATTCTTCGGGTCGTTACTCCAATGGAAACAGGCAAACAAATCGAAAACATATGTAAAAAACATGTCTCTAATGTGATACTTGAATTATCTGGAAAAATCCGCTGAAGTATGTAGGGAAAACTTTAAAAATTAGTCTCACGTCCTGCTTTTTCTAGGACGCCGGCGAATCGCTGTCAACAACGGCGTCGACTTTGGCGCGACGCCGGCAAGTGCCCAGATCAGCATGCGCAGTAAGCCTGTCACACAGTCCAACGGCGTCGTCGTGCGAAAGTCGTCAATTCGTAAGCTCCCTAATGCCTAGTCATCCCAGATCGATCTTAGTCATTCAAAGTCATGTTAGTGATCCCTTGTCGATCTTAGTCATGTTTGGTCATCCTTAGTCATCTGGTAATGCCTAGTCATCTCTAGTGGCACTAGTCATCCCAATCATCCCTAGTCATCTCTTGTCATCCCAGTCATTCCTGGTCATCCCGAGATCCCAGTCATTCCTGTTTTTCTCGAGTCTTCCAAGTCATCCCTAGTCATTCCTAGTCATCCTAGTCATCCCAGGTCGATCTTAGTCATCCAAAGTCGATCTTAGTCATTTCTGGTCATTCCTAGTCATCCTGGTCAGCCCTAGTTATCCCAGGCGTCCTTGGTCTTTCCTAGTTATCCCGGTGATCCCTAGTCATCGCCAGTCATCCAAGTCATTCCTAGTTATCACGGTTATCCCTCATCATCCCAGTCATCCCAGGTCATACTTAGTCATCTCAGTCATTCCGGTCATCCCTAGTCATCCCTAGTCATCCCGGTCATTCTCAGTCATCCCTGGTCATCCCTAGCCATCCCAGTCATCTCTAACATTTCTAGTCATCCCGGTCAGCCCTAGTCATTCCTGGTCATCCCTTGTCATCCTTTAGGTCTTCCATGGTCATCCCCGGTAGTCCCTCGTCATCGTTTGTCATTCCAGTCATCTCTACTCATTTTGATCATCATTGGTCATCCCTAGTTATCCCAGTCATCCTTTGTCATCTTTAGTCATCCCAGTCATCCAACTCATTTCTATCATCATTGGTCATCCCTAGGCATCCTAGTCATGCCTAATCATCCCTTGTCATCCCTAGTTATACTAGTCATCCCAATCATCCCTATTCATCTCTAGTCATCCCAGTCATTCCTGGTCATCCGAGTCTTCCCAGTCATTCCTAGTCATCCAACAATGTGACCATAGTCATCCCTACTCATCCCAGGTATCTGTTGTCATATCAGTCATCCCTTTTCATGCTACTCGTCTCTAGTCATCCCATTTATCCCCAGTCATTTCATTCATGCCGTGTCGTCGTAGTCAGGATGACTGTGATGACTAGGATGCCAAGGGTGACTGGGATGACCCAATCCTATGTCATTCTAGGTTTCCTTGTCATCCTTGTCATTCCATTCAACTTTAGCATCCGAGTCATCCTAGTTATTAGATTATTTTAGTATTGTGACGTCACAAACATTTAAATTTCACAAAAATGCGATTGACTGAGATGTTTAGAAAGAACGAGATTTAAACTGTCCATTTCTAAAAATTTGGCTGGTTAGAGCAAATTGGTGGTGGGATTTAAGCAACACTTCGCTCTGATGACTGTCTGTAAATCTTCTAAAATTGACCTGGATCGGAAAAGGTACGTTTTAAGCTAATTTTTGAAGGATTTGTCTGGAGTCATCCAAGCAACCTGGTGCAGTTTTCATTTTACTTCTGATTATCCCACCAAATTCAGTAGTGATTTAAATTTAGTTTTAGTTACGTCATCATTACTCTACTCTTATCCTAATCATAAGGGGTATTTCAATTATCCCAGTCTTCCTACTCATCTCAATTACCTTATCATTCCTGTCATCTTAGTCAGCCTTGTTATCCTAGTCATCCTAGTCATTTAAATCTTCCTAGTCATCCCAGTTAAAACTAGTCTTCTCAATTATCATCATCATCTCATCCATCCCTGTCATCCTTGTCATTCCAGTTGTTCCAGTCATTTTTGTCATCCAGGTTGTCTTAGTTATCCTGTTGATCCCAGTAATTCCGTCATCCAAGTCATCCTAGTCAACCCGTTCCTCAAAAAGGGGAGGTTTGGCTAATGTGGAATAGAGGAGCAACAAAATAATCCTTTTTTTGGACACTCTTTCCTCCACAGATATGGAAGTATTGTTTCCACAAAGGCTGTTGTGGATAAAGAAACAAATGAATTTAAAGGTAATTCAATGCTTTTCCTTTTTTAACGTCTTGGGCACTTACATGTAGGTTTACAATGCAATAAACGCTGTCCCCGTTTAGTCCATTTTGGCTTTACAAATGGGAGGCCGACCTCCATTAACAAGGCTCACATCTAATGCCAGTCCATTTAATTAGAGTTGTAAGTATTTGACTATGATCATCCACACTTCCACACGTCAGCTCGCTCGTAAGGATCCACTGCGTTTCCACCACTTGTGACGTCAGTACAAATTGTCACTGACTACTTTTATAGCCTTTTTATGTGGGAGGACAAGGTCGGTTTTCTTATAACCAAATGCGTGGTATTCAACCAAATACTTATAGAGTGGAAAACTACCCAAACACCGTATTAAGTCGACCAATAAACGGGGATGAAAGAAAAAGAGAGAGAAACAGAAAAGGTTAATATCTGACTTTGTGAAAACCGTGAAATCTTTGAACCCAGCGGTAATGTTTCACATTGTTAAGATAGGTATCAGTCGTTGTATCCAAGGTTAATAATGGTTTCTTATTTCTAACAGGCTATGGGTTTGTGAATTTTGAGACTGCAGCTGAGGCCCAAAGGGCAGTGAAGGCCTTGAAAAGTAAAGGAATTCAAGCCCAAATGGCAAAGGTGTTAGGCCTCTGTATATAAGCAATGTGTCATCCTCCTTGAATATTGAAAATCTTTTCACTTGCTTGTGAATTTTTCCCTTGGCCCAAACTAAATAGGGAGCATAATACACTATATTTGCCCTCGCCCCGCCTCCGCCAACAAAAGTTGTTGTTTTCATATGTTCTTGGGGTCTTGCAGTTCTCCCAGGTATTATTTGAAAATAACAGCTAATGCAAGATTTTCGGGGGGAGGGGGCGAACAGTGTGTATTCAGGGGGATTTGAAAATAGAAATGGCGAAAGGCGAATTACAAAGATCACCATCATTTTTGATGGTATTCATTGCTTTTATTGTTTACCGTTCGCCTTTTCATGTAAACGCAATGCCTAATCTTTCTAATGGATTCTCTTCATCATACTGACTCTTTTGTGCTCTTTCATCATTGAATTCAGAACTTACAGTTGTATTATCTTTTCTGTCTTTGAAAGCCCAAGCATGTCTGTAACCCTTAAATACCGATTATTTTGCTGCCTGCGGTAAAGGCTGTGTAGACCCCTGATTAGCACGTACATGTAAATGCAATAGCAGCTATCGCTCGAACAAGAATAATTTAGTACAATACGATGTTATCATTTTTCTATACATTTTATATCGCTGTTACCTTACAGCATACATTTGTTTTCTCCTTAGCAACCAGAGAAAGACCCCACAAATTTATATTTTTGTCGCCTTCCAACGCATTTTTATGAAGCAGTAAGTCTGAATCTTACTTTATTCTGTGTGTAGTTGTAATCTTTAATGGACAAGGTCTCTGTAGATTACGCAACAAACATTATTTTTTCCTACTCCAATGATGATGTTTAATTACTGATCGTTTTATGAGCCTTAAAGTTCGTGTGACCTGAACCCTGTTCTTCTCCAAAGATTGTCAAAATTCAGCATGACAAGCCGTCATTTTGGATGTAGATTACAGCCTCGTCCTCCTGTGCGTGACATCCTTCTGTCTAATTTTGCGAAACTTAGTAAAAAGAAAAAGAAAATGAAGATTCGTCAGTTGGGACCTAACTACAAACGAAATTATCCCTTATCTACACCAAGGTAAATTTGGAAAGTTCATCGATAGCTTTCTAGATTGATCGGGAACTCTTCAGTTCAGTGAACCTTCAAACGAACAAATTGATTGGGAATATTGTCTAAGTTGAGAGATATTGGTGGATTACTTGTATTCTCTCTGTTTATGAGGGTGGTGGGGAGGGAAGCAACCACGCTGACTTTGCAAAACATTTATTATGAATGTAGCAGTTTATAGGTTTGTCAGCACCTTAGCGTGTTTAAAGGTTTCCAATCTGGCCAATCCTTTCTATCAGAAAGTGTTAACCATTCTAGAAAAAATAATGAATTGTTACTGTTTTTGTTCTTATAAGGAATTAGAATCCTTGCTAAAGGGATATGGTAAAGTAATAACGACCAGAGTATGATTGATTGTGATTGAAAAGTGAATCGCTGATGTTCGCTCTTGGTTTATTGGAAATCGTTTAGATAGATAGATAGATAACTTTATTTAAACACGGTTAAAATTCCTTCAGCATGTACAAAAAATCTAAGATCTATTATACCTAACTACACTAACTCTGATTAAAAATATATTCATTAAATTTTAACTACCTAGCTATTTACAAATAAAAGCTGCTTTTCAAGGATGCCGTGTAAAACTGTATTAATGTATGATCTCATTCAAAACTGTTGCGACACAGTTTCCGTTTAAAATCATGTAAAGAATCTGCAGATCTTAAATCATGGGATAGGCTGTTCCACAGCTTAGCTCCGCTATAGGAGAAACTTTTCTTTAAATAATTGGTACGGTGCAGTGGAAGGACTAATTTATTTTCAGTATTCCTCAATCGATAAGAAGTTATTCGTCACGAGATACAAATTTAGATGTTATATAGTCGGCAGTCATCCCATGTACGGTTTTATACATCATAATAGCCGTCGATACTTGTCTTTGTTGTTTAAGCTTACGCCAACCCAGTGCCAGGAACAAATCGTCCACATTACAATCAGAATTAGCGGACATTAGAATACGGGCTGCACGATTTTGGAACCTCTGCAGCTTATCGGAAAGACCAATGCCGCAGTTACTCCATACGACATTACAGTAATCAAAATGCGGTTGAATTAAACTGTCGTAAACATTAATTAATACATTAAAAGGAATAAGATGTCGTATTCTTTTAATTGCACCCAAAGCAGAAGCAATCTTTTTACAAATACTCTGTATGTGGCATTCCCAGCTTAAGTTTTGGTCAATATGCACTCCAAGAGATTTTGCCGTTGACACTTGCATCACGGGATGGTCGTTTATCATAAAAGAAGGAGTTTCAGAAAGCTTTGATAGCTTCTGCCTCGACCCAACTAACATAAACTCAGTTTTAGTCAAGTTAAGGGTCAGTTTGTTAGCCGATAGCCATATATACACCTTGTTTGAATCGTCGTTAACGCAATCATAAGCTCCTATAGTTTCTGTTAGGTCTCCTCGCCACTTCTTTTTTTTTTCTTCTTCTTCTTTTCCTATATTTTTTGTAATTAGTGTGGCAAATAAAATAAAATAAAAAATAAAAAAATCATTTATGAGTTTTAAATCTGCGCTGGCATAGGTTAGGCTGGTGTCATCGGCATACATTCTAGGTTGTGAAAAATGCAAGCAATTAGGTAGGTCATTAATATACAGTAAAAACAATAAAGGTGCAAGAATTGTTCCCTGGGGAACACCACATGTAACTAATTTTGGGTTTGACATTGAGCAATTAATTTGGCAAGTTTGGGTACGATTTTTTAAATACGAAGTAAACCATTCGTGACAGGAACCGCGTAATCCATAATATTGTAATTTCGTTAATAAGATATGATGATCAACTGTGTCGAAAGCCTTTTTTAAGTCTAAGAAGACAACGGCATTGACAAGGCCACGATCAACGTTCACTGCCCAGCTATCGATAGCTTCGAGTAATGCGGTTACCGTAGAATGTAGAGAACGAAAACCAGATTGGTAACGGGATAGAATACGATTCTCAGTAAGATAGTGATACAACTGGTCGTAGACTACCCGTTCAAATACTTTGGCCACGACTGGGATCACCGATATTGGTCGATAATTGGTGGGATCATTTCGTTTACCAGAATTTTTATACAATGGAGTAACCCTAGCCGACTTCCACTCATCGGGAAAAATTCCTGTCAACAGTGATTGATTAAATATTAAAGTAAGAGACTCGGCAATTAGATCAGGGCACTCCCTTAATAATTTAGCTGATATACTATCTAATCCAGTGGCCTTTGATTTACAAAGTTTTGAAAGGAGAGAATAAATATGAGCAAATGTTATTTCCTTGAAGACAAACTCCTCAGAAGTTCCACAAAGAAACTCTTTGTAGGTGGTATCAACATTGGAAACATTTCGACTAAGCCTTGGTCCAATCTCAATGAAGAAAGTGTTCAACAATTCAGCAACTTCTGCTTGATTGCTCGATTTTAGTCCCTGATATTGTATTTCATTTATTATTGTTTTATTAGATTTGCGGGAAGTCAATTCATTGATGGTCTTCCAGGTCTTACGTTGATCACTGGCATAATTATTAAAAGAATTATTATAATAGGCCTTTTTAGCAGCCTTGATTTCCTGATTTACTTTATTTTTGACCTTCCGGAATCGATTCCAAGAAGACGCATCATTAATTTTAACAGCTTTTTTCTTTAGCCGGTTTCTGAAATTCATTCGTTTTTTCAAATTTGTGGTAATCCAAGGAGACTTGGTGGGACGGGTGTGTTTAGTTTTCACAGGGGGGTGCTTATCACAAACACTTAGGAATAATTCTTTCCATTTTTTCCACATGTCATTGGGGTCGTACAATTCTTTGATATCGTCCCACGGTTGCGTCGAAACATCATTACGGAAATTGATCAATAGCGCGAAAACTGACTCTCTAATTATTGGCACCCGTCAATAACTTGAAAAAACATCTATAGAATCTATTATCATTGGTGACACCGTCATTAAACCTTTAGAAAGCGTCCGGAACCTTGGGTCCTGGTTCGATGCTCATATGCGAATGAATGTTAACAAAGGCAAGATTTGTAGCAAGGCTTTTCGCGGAGCATACAAAATAAGACAGATCAGAAAATTCCTTACCGTGCAATCCACAAAGACACTGATCCATGCCTTTGTATCTTCGCACCTTGATTACTGTAACGCAGTTCTATTTGGTCTACCTAAATATGAACTTGATCGTTTACAGAAAGTTCAGAAGGCCGCGGCTAGAGTGACTTTTCAGATTGCGAAATTTGATCATATCACACCCGCTCTTATCGACGTACATTGGCGTCCAGTAATGTTTAGTTTAAATTGCTCCTTTTTGTTTACAAGTCACTACACAACCAAAGTCCCTCCTACATTAAAGATCTTTTATGCCTGGAACCAGCTGCTAATTATGCTCTTCGTTCGTCTGCACAATCTCTTCTGTCCATTCCAAAAGTCAACTGCTCTATACTTGGGGACCGGGCCTTTGCTCATGCTGCACCTGTTTTATGGAACTCGCTGCCATTAGCTGTAAGAACAAGTAGCAGCCTCGCAATTTTTAAAAAGCAACTTAAAACATTTCTTTTTAAGAAAGCTTTTAATTTGTTGGAATACTTCTAATGTTTAATTTTAATTTAGTTTGGAATTTTCGAATTTCATTTTAGATTTTACCATTGCATAACATATTATTGTTATTATTATTATAGCTTTCAGGGATTTTCAAATTTCAGTTTTATGTATTATTTGTTCATTAATTTTTACTTAATATAAAGCGCTTTTGAATATTCTTCTATAGTTTTAGCGCTATACAAATTCATTATCATTATCATTATTAGTCTTCAAAAACTCGTAATTAAAGCTGAACCTCTCGTTAGCGACCAAAAGGGCAACATGCCAATATTTAGTGTTCACTTAGAGGAGGTGGACGCCTGAAAAAAAAAACCAGGGTATCTCGTTCAGAGACTTTTCAGATACTTCTTAACTTATTCGGAGATAGAGCGGTTTTCACTTGACTGTCGAAAGGGATTGGTTTTGGTTTTGGTTTTGGTTTTACTACGCCCTTTGGTTGGCTAGTGTATTTACTTTGGTTTTGGTTTTACGACAGTCAAGTGAAAACCGCTCTAATAGGCCCTAATCATTCAGGTGGAACAAAACCCCTATGCTGGAGAGCAAGAGATGCACTGAGATGAGGCTAAAACTCCTTAATATGTTGCCTTATCCCAGAGACGCCCTTGTGCAGGAAAAAGGAAAATAGGTTTAATAAGCAAAACAACAAGTTTGCACACGCATCACGCTTTTTTGTACATTTCTTTGCCGTTACTGCACGACTACGAAGTGAAAATGCCTAATTTCACTTCTTTATGGAGGACGTAAGCAAGCGACGACGAAATTTTCTTTCTCTTTCCAAACTTAAGTGCGGTCCCCAAGAAATCAACTCCAGGGAAACGTGCCTAATTTAGACATTTTCAGTGAATTGGATTAAACGCGACAAAGTTTGAAAAAAGGCAAATTCATTTTATAAAAGTGACGTTTCGCTCCCGTCGCCGTCGTCGACGCTAAAACTCCCTATTTTGTTTTTTTTCTTGTCCAAGGGAGGGCCTCTTGCTCTCCAGCATGGCAGCTTTGCACCTCACGAATGACTAGCTGCAAAGGGTGTATTTATCGAGTTCAATTTCTATAATAATAATAATAATAATAATAATAATAATTTATTACTTATTCGGCGCAAATATCTATATGAATATATTCAAATGCGCCTTACAAGTTACATTAAAATAATAATAAAATAATAAATCTAATATAGTAAAACTATCCAGTCCATATCTAATAGATAAACTAAAAATTACACAGAGTCAAAAATGTAAAATTCTAAAAAAAAATAACAAGTATACGCTATACCTGCAGTACCATGTTTTTCTTAAAAACCTCCTACGGGAGGCTTCAAAAACGTAGCTAGTTATAAAACCGTCACCCCAAAAAGTGCGCGCTGTTACTTTTGAGAGACCCGCCTTGATTACCTTAGCTAACTGCGCGTCATTCAGACTTATCTGTTGTATGTCTCTACGAGCTGTTTTTTTGGACTTGACCGTGCACAACGCCTAATAGCAGTCCTATCGTTTTGAACTTGCTAACGCATAGAAACTTCTCATTAATTTATTCAGTCACAATTTGTGATCAAAATCAAAAGATTGTGCATGGAGTGGGACCTCCCACCTAGACTGCTTGCAGTCCGCCTTTTCTCTTAAAATTCGTCTAGTTCTTATCTCATCCAGCGCGATTGCAAACCACGACGTTATTATTACAATAAGGGATTGAGACCAGACGAGAAAAGACGGACTGCTGACTCTTTTTTTAGTAGACAAACCCTCCGTCAGCCCAGAAACGGAGTAACCGATTGGTCAATTGTACAGCTGTTGACAGATAATTGACTGGTCTGTGGTAAGATTGCAAGCAATAAAAATAGTCACGCGTCACAACCAACTGCAAACAATAGCGAACCAAGCAGTAATCTCAGTAATAAAACTTTCAAGGATATCTTACACAAGGAAACTGCTCTAAATTTCCTCAAAGGAAACGAATTCAAGGCAGTCTTACCGGATTTAAAGAAACTGTTCAGTTGTTTATGTTCTATTTTATAAATCTTTTCAAGTTACTCGGGTTGACCGGGTTTAATTGATTAATTAAATTACCTTGACAGCTTCGTTGTCCCCAGACAAAAGAAACGAGTCAGCAGTCTCTTATTTTTTCTTCTCAGGCTTACGCCCTCGTTTCTAGCGGCTCGTAACCTGAGATCAGGCCCAATTTGAGCGGTTCTCATACATTCTCTCTAACGGCTACCGCTAAAATTGGGCCTGATCCAAACTCATTCACGTTTGTGCTCGTTACGGCCAGATTTTGGCCGTAGCGCTGATTGCCTGTTAGAACAATGCCACAAGATCTGATTGGCTGTCGGAAACGCCGGAAGTTGAAAGCGCTTATTCCTGGCGTGGTTGTTTTCGCGAATGATCCGTCGTCGGCGGAAAGAAGGATCGATTTTGCTGTCTTTTTTATTGTTTTGTGGTCTTATGGTAGTGCCATGGAAATTCATAAAATTCATATGGTTGTTGATATATTCTCAGGATTTGCTTTATTTACGGAAAGTGAGTGTATCGCGGAGTTGAATCCCTCTGCAAGTTGTTTACCGCTAACAAGGTGCTTTTTGATTTACCAACAAACGGGTGCAAATCACAATGCTGTCCATCTTAAAACTGGTTTCAGTTGAAAGTTTAGCCGGGAATGACTTCTCTGAACGTGGTACGCAAGCGGAGGCTCACTGCGAAAGAAACCTCAATCGCCAACTGTGAAGTATTAGACGAAAAACATCGCATCGCTGTTCAAGGAGTGTTAACAGACTGGTTGTTTGCCTTCGCTGTTTGTAAAAAATAAACCAGGAAAACTGCTGTCCTCGCTCGTTGGCTGTTTACTTTTGTTTTTAAAGATTTATGTACTGAAAATCGGGGGAAAATGCCGAGGAAAATATAAAGGCAAAAGAAAAATAGAAATTTCAGTATTTTAAATTCGAGCGCGCCTAGCCAAGAATAATAAAACTAGTAGAACATCGTGTCGCCGTCTTTTCGAAAACTTTTTACCTTCTACGCTAACAGAAATAACCTTCGAGATCTCCCTTAATCTCGCAAGAAGTTAAATGTGATTGTGCTGACTGTTTTATTTTTAGCGGAAAAAATTAACAGATTAAAGCTATTTTTTAAGTCATCCAGTCTGCATTTTTCCCACGCGTGAAAAATTTGCATCCTGGAAAAACAAGCAACGGAAGTAATTTTGGTTGGATGATTCGGCAAATGTCAATCAAAAAAAGTGGGCGGCAGACGTTTCGTAGAAGGTTTGTATCAGGCTCTCATTTCGTTTCGCCACGCCCGCCGGACTGTTATTTACAAAGCGAAACGAAAATAGAGTCTGATCTCAGGTTACGCGGCTCGCGGCTTTGTCGCTCGCGTGCTTAGGTTTCGCGTGCAGTAACTTAAATTGCAAAGAAAAATAAGAGACTGCTCGCAGTCTAGCTCCCACCATAAACCGTAGCACCGTTGATTTCATCTCTGACACTTGCCGGTTTTTACAACAAGTCTCCTCTTGTAAGCCTAAACGATGCTTTCTTTCCAGTGGTGCTGGAATGATGTCTTACAGTTATAATCTATTTGTAGAATGTATTTAACTCCAGTTGCTAATTTTCGCTACCTTTTTTTTTCCAAGACATTTATTACTCTTTTACTTTTCGCTACCTGATCATTTTTCTCATTAGAATGGAAAATAAACAGATTTGTAAGAAGGTAATTAAAGACTTGCATGGAAAAAAGATTCAAGGTAAGAAAGGTACCGCGTCAACTGTAGCAGTATTCATTTAGCGATTATTGAATGAGACTTAGAATAATCTGAACCTCCGAGATCCGCATAATACTTGAGATCAGTCCGTCCGTCCGTCTGGTCGTTTTATCCAGTTCATCTGTCCATGCGTCCGCTCCATGTGTCCGCGTGTCTGTCCTTTTGTCCTTTTAATCCATGACTTTGGTGCATCTGTCCGTCCATCCAATCCGTTTGATCCGTCCTTCCGGTCTGTTTGGTCTGTCTGTCCCTCCAGTTCGTCTGTCCTTCCGTCCGTTCATCCAGTCTGTTTGGCCGTCCACACGGTCCTTCTTTCCAGTTCATCAGTCCGTTCGTCAGGTTGTCCGTCCGTCCGGTCCGTTCATCCAGTTCGTCCGTTTGTCGGTCCATCCAGTTTGTCCGTCTGTCCTTGTTTTCCGTCCGTAGATACATGTATATCCAGTCCGGTTGGTCAGTTTGGTCCGTCCCGTTTGTGTGATTTGTCCGTCTGTTTGTCTGTCCATCCGTTCGTCCAAGCATAGGTGATATTTATTTTAACAAAATGAAGAAATGAATTTGGCACTCATACTGATGAGTTATTTACTAAGTATTATTTTGTTCGGTTGACGTGGAATGAAAAACTAACAGAAATTTTTGCTTACTTTTTGCAGGAAGTGTCGAATCACTTGTTGTAAATTTTGCTGATCTGCGACAGCAAAGCTATGGTACGATAAACATTACTGCGATTAACAATACTTTGTATACTAAACCTGCGGCTTCTGCTCTTTTATTAATCTTTAGTTAAAATTTAAATACAGTGGTACTAGAGCAATATTTTCTATGAATTGGACCCAATATTTGTATCGGGCATAGACGAAAAGTCCTGAAGGTTTCTCCCATATTTTCTGTAGAATGAACCTGTATAAAATAAAGGTTAGCGGGGATCCCATCCATGGATGGCCACTTGATACAGGTTGTATGCAATTAAAAAAGTTTTACGCCTGTAGAATTGATTGTAGCCTGTTGTAAGTAGTAGTTTTCTTTTGACTTTGTCTGTAAGTTTATTGCCAGTATCTTGATGCCATGGATGATGTGGTCAAAAAAGGATCGGATGCAAAAGTTTGTAATCACACTGAATACCAGGCACAACATTACTTAACAGCCAACCAACCATCTTTTCCTAACTGGATGGTGTTTTTTTCTTAACAGATAGCTCTTGGCCAATTAATAGGCGACAGGAGGTGAGTAAGAGTTTTTTAAAACGTAAGTCGCTTACCATTGTGATTAGTCAGAAATGACCGACCAGGCCAGTCCAGTCATAAAACGATATCCACTTTTAATCAAGTCTTTCCAGCTTGCTCAGCCTGTTCCTAAATACTACACACGGCAGCGATAAACTTTTAAAGAAAACTCTCGAAAACAACTGGTACAGCCAGTTATTGCTGATTTTTATAGACTTAGGTTTAGATCCCCTCTTTCTAAACAAAAGAAGACTGAATTTTGATTCATTCATTTGGGCAACGACAACTGCAATTGTTTTCATCTTCTTTAATAATACTTGCTTCCCATTTATTTAACGTTACATTTCTAGCACATTGGCTAATTGCATTTTCCGTTATAGGGACGACCATTTTACGGTGAAGACTCCGACGATGAAGAAACCGGCGACAGAAATCCGTTCAGGACTGCTGAAGCACACCCATTTCTTGAAACCGCATTTAATCTGGGTATGATGGGTTTAGAGAAACTCGGAGAGAAGCTGGACGATCCAAGCCGCGACAGGGCCCAGTATCATCTCGCTTATACCCATGTCTCCCCAGTCAAGAAGCATTTGAGTGAACTTTGCAGGTTTGTAGACTTTTAGCCAGATATATCTCCATTGTACTCGAGTGTTCATTCCGCCTCCCCCCTCTTAAAAACAAAGAGTACCGTGAAAAATTACTGCTATTTGGTTTTATTCAAATGTTAACACAATGTTATTTCTCCTACATACTTAAACGTTAAAGCTAAGTTACATATCTCCGCTGTAAGTAGATACTCTTTCCATTAATAAGACTCTTTCTCTCAAGGCAGTGTGTTTTTTTCTCTTGATATTTAATATTGTAGCATGAAATCACTGCTACGTCTAACAAATCAGCCCAAAGCAAGACACAGCAACCTTTCAACCTTGAGAGAAACAGCAAACATAAGGAAAATCGTTTTGAAACTCTTGCGCTAGAAGCTGTCCGCGAAGTCTTTTTTATTATTCACGATCAACAGTGGAGAGATTACGCCATTTTTTGGTGTGTGTTGAAGTATTTTGAGATAGAGGCATGGTTTTGCCTAACTTTGGGTCGAGAACTATTTTCCACAAATGCAGCAATATTTAATTTGGAGCGGCAGTTTTCCTGGAATTCTAAATTTTTTTAAGTAGCAAGAATTATGGAGATTTACTCGTTAATACATGTAACGGCCTTTTAACACCAAACAAAAGTCATTAAGTCTCAAAGTTACAGAGAGATTTGGTTTGATTTTGAATTAGTGATTAATCCTGGTGATGCTGCGCCTTTAATAAAACGGCTCTACAGATCGTTTATTTAGCATAACAACAGAACCCTCCTCCGTCTTCCAGCTGCTGTATTTCTTAACGTATCATTCGCTTTCCAAGGTAACCTTAAATTATGTCTTTTTTCAAGACTTGTATGTTATCTGGTGAAAAAGAAGTGGTTGACGGGAGCACTAATTGTGGCGCCTGGGAACAGATCTTCAAAAACGGAGGACAGACCCTTAGGGAGTATTACTGTCAATCCATGCAGCTGCCAGTTGGAAGATGGTAAGTTGTGTTACCAATTTTCCCCCTTTTACGCGGCAAATCATCCAACGCTTGTTTAACTGAATTAGCTTATCCCAAAACGAAGCGGAATGTCGAGTAGAAATCAAAAGAAAAATGTGTCCTTGTTGTCAGTCGAGTAATGCAATACAGTCGCTAAACGTCTTTTGACACCCCATTGATACTCGTTAATATTTAACTATTTTACCTTAAAGATAGGCACTGAGTTATCTTTGGACCATTTATGAGAGCCTTGCTCTAGGAAATCACCTTTCTTCACCTTGCATTAGGTTTTTCCTTTTTATAGCCTATTTCCCTTAGGCCCGGTTCAGAGGACTTACATCTCAAGAGCCGAATCGAATTCAAATTTAGGGCGGCCGAGTTGATTCAGATGCCGATCTTTATTCTATGCAGCCGAACTTAATTCAAAAGGAGAAATGTCAAAATGCATTATAAATAGGCATCATTAAAATTTATGCGTTTAGTTCAACTCATGTGAAGTTCGCCTCCTTAAATCAACGCTGGTGCACAGCCATTACTCCCGGCTGAGCTAGGCGCGAAGAACGGGAGAGCCAATCTAAAATCCGTTAGCCATTTCGAATTTATTCAGACGTCGTATTCACATGAACTTTTTTCATTGAATTCTCTTCGGCTCATGTGAAGTACGGCGTTTGAATCGGGCCTTACTCACCTTGTTTTCAGATCATTCAAAGAGTGCATCTAAGGATTCTTGTGACAAATGCTTCCTTCAAGAGTTTGTTACGTCCTTGATCAATAATGTCGACAATCCATTGCGGTTATTCGAGGTGCTTCAAGAGGTACTTAAAAAAAAATTCCTTTCAACATTTCTTAGCAGTTTTGCAAATTGGTGTACAGTCAACTCTCTTGACGGATACCTCCCCAAAAGCACTGGTGACCTAGAATTAGTCCCTGCTGTTCTACAGTCTTTTTAGGTTACACATCTCCCTAAGACTGGTGTCTGTCTTAAAAAGAGTTGAATGAAGAGAGTTTATACAAGACATTATGCGCAGAGGGGGCCTCGAAAAAAAGGGTTGGGATGGGAATAGAGGTTTTTTGGTGATCCGAACGATAAACAGGCAGCTAGTGAACTATCGATATGGGCCTCTACTACTTGGAAACGAGGAAGGACGGAAGTTGTGAATACTACTGTCACAGGAAGCAAGAAGCACAAAACCATTTGTTTCAGTTAATCATGTGATCAAAAGGCTTTAACTGTGTGCGGGAAGCCCTAATAGTAGCAAAACAATAGCGTATAAAAGAACTAGCAGAACTACTGTTTTGTTTATATGTTTATGCAGTCACCCGCACATCAAAACATTAAACCCTTTGAAAAAGAGTTTTCAATTAAATTGTAAATTATTATGACATGAAAGCCTAACGAAATTTGGAGCTTATATAAATAAGCTTCCTTAAACTAGATTACTAATTACCTAGCTAAGTACAGAGTCTACAGAAACATAATGAATTGTCAGATCGACTACCAAGGAGATAATGGTGAAGATTAAAAAAAAATGTGGAAGGAGATCTAGTTAATGGAACAGGCAACGAATTCGATATGTTTGGTTCTCTAGCGAGTTTTTCTTATAAGCCACTTTGACAGGTTTTCCAGTTATTTTTAGGTCCATCAATGTCTTGGTTATTTAGAAAAGTATTCATTGGGTGATTGATGTTGGCCAACTCGCCTGCGACTTAAAGTGACTTAGCTGTAACGTAATCATGCAAGTCAAACTATGGAAATGTGGTGGTGGAGGGAAAACAATAGAAATGTGGTGGTGGTGGGAAAACAATAGAAATGTGGTGGTGGAGGGAAAACAATAGAAATGTGGTGGCGGTGACAGCGTAGATTATCCATAGTGTGTCGTTGGTGGTGGGAAAACAATAGAAATGGGGTGGTGGAGGGAAAACAATAGAAATGGTGATTTTAAGTCCCAGGTGAGAGAGCGTTAATTCTTTCGACAATATGAACCAAGCAATGGATACTTTTCTTAAGTTAAGCTTTAGTCAACCAATCAAAAACCAAGACATTCAGTGACCTAAAAATAACTAGAAAACCTGTCAAACCGGCTAAGACCCTCAAAATCGCATATGACCTTATCAGTTCCTCTGCATTTTATTCATGAGCGTTAAGGCCTGTTTACATGGAGGTGGGGGACCCCAGGTAGGTGAGGTAACCCGCTAAGGTGGGGTAACCCGCCTGTCCATGTAATCACTCATTTTAATTTGATCACGTTTACATGATAGGTGGGGTGACCCGCCCAGGCGGGTAGCCCGGTCTGCCAGACCGGATAACCCTCTCAGCCGGGGTCAAATTTTGCCATGTAAACGTTTCAAGGTGGGGTAACCCGCCTAGCCGGGGTCGGATTCGCGATACTGAATTCGTGCAAAATTCACTTTGGCGGTAGCTTTGCATCATTATTAAAGGTAACAATAGAAAGCCACAGCACTTGAGGTTGCAGCAAGAACAGCAAGCGAGTTTAGAACAGCATCAATCACCAAAAAACATGGTTTGCCAGCATTTTTCCTGTTTACGTGCTTAGCGACCATTCAGTAATCTTGAGAAAGTGCACCCCGGGATGGCGGGGTTGTAAGATTGCATGTAAAGGAGGGTTATTTTTTTACCTTACCTAAGTGGGTTACCTCACCTATCTGGGGTCCCCCACCTTCATGTAAACAGGCCCTAAGATAAAAGGTTTTGATGTCGTCGCATTTCACGGCAAATTAATGACATTCCGCCACAAGTTAATTCGGTGCGCCCTATACTACTGGCGAGATTACGTTTTCATGGTCATGTTGTGTACGTACGTAAATTTTACGCGCGTAAATAAAATGGAAGCAATGTATGGAATATCACGCGTAAACGTAAAAGTTGAGCGAGATACAACTTTTGCGTGTACGCGCGACCTTCCACACAACACCTCTAATTTATTTACGCGCCTAAAATTTACGCGACAGTGGAAATCTACCCTTTTGGTTCATTTCCTGTGTCGCGTAATTTTTACGTGCGTAGGCAGGGCGGATAAATGTTGGGCGGTGAAACGAGCGCTCCGCTCCTCATTTAATGTGTGATGCGGAGTAGCACTGGCACGAGCGCTCTTTCCGCGCTTCCGGTGCGCTTGAAGGCCGGCGAAATTTCCCTTTTTGCAAACCAGAAATCCTATTTTCTTTCTGTAATTTCAGGCTACAATGTTAAATAGATAAATTCGTTTCATAACAATATCAATAAAACAGTTTCATATGTTTGTGTCTGTATGCCTATAAGTCAAACGTGTTGGTCGTATAATGCCAAAATTTGAGGTAATATATCAAACATGAGACGCAGTGTTGTATAGTGGCGTTGTACTGCTTCAAACTTTGCTTCTCGGGTGCAAAGCGCCATGGCGATTCGCGCAATGCGTCACAAATCCGGCAACCGCATGTAAACAAAATTTATTGAGGTTAGTTGTAAGGTTTTTTCTCCGTTTTTCTCTCTAAAACAAAACAAGGTAAACAGTAATGACTGAGGGGAAACTAATTTTGAAGTTTCGAAGAAACAGAAAGACGTTTGAGATATTTTTTTTCAAAATTAAAAAGAAGGATGATGGTGATCAGAAATTAGCATAATTTCACCTTGCACGAGCTGCACGCATTTACACGTCATCTAGTTATGAAACACGATCTGCTGCCTTTTAGTTTTGCCATGGATGACTTGTATGAGATTTTCCTTCGTGTTTTAGACAGTACTTAGTTGTTTTTGTTTTGGAATAACATCGACATTGGCGAGTAGTAAAACGAAAATATAATTCAGTGGTAGAGTCATGGAAGTAATAAGAGAAACCCTTTGAAAGAGATGTTTGTCTATTCCAATTAAACCTCCCGCAAAAAATAGCAACATTTGCCTCTCGGAGACAGCGTACCAGCACAAAGAAACGAGAAAGAAGTGCAAGAAAACAAATCAAGCCTCCATAATTCAGTGACGGCGGCAGTTTCTAATGGACAAACCACATCGCAAGCCCTGACCGAAGTCGAAAACAAGCGACATTTCTAAGCAGAGTCCCAGTCTACTCTATCACACCTTTTTGCTCGGATGCGCTCGTTTCACCGCCCAACCTTTATCCGCCCTGTGCGCACGTGCGTAAAATTTACGTTCGCAAATGAAATAGAGGTAATTATAATGTATAAAAGGTCGCTCGTAAGCGTAAAAGTAGAACCTCGCTTAACTTCACGTTTGATCTCAACACTTTATATGTTGCCACTATTTTATTTACGTGATTATAATTTACGTGCGTCAACGTGCGTAACCAAAAACGCGTCAGTGGAAATCAACCTTTAGGGTGGATTTCAACTGTCGCGTAATTTGTACATGCGTACGGGCGTAAAGTTTACGCACATAAATAAATTAGAGCCAATGTATGAAAGGTGACCGTAAACGTAAAAGTTGAACTTTGAACGCTCAACTTTTACGTTTACGCGCGACACTTCATACATTTTCTATATTTCATGTACGCACGTAAAATTTACTCGGTAGTAAAAATCCACCTTAAGAGAGGAGTACGCCTTGTACAGAGACAAAGAAAACGACCGAAGAACGGCAATGATAAGCTCTAGGCTGTCTATGTCTCATGGAAGCGCCCAGTTATAGATCAAGATGGTTATCCTCAGTCTCTTGAGCTACTCTAAAATTGCCTTTAACCCATTCGCTCTTGGAGATTTTGCCGAAAAACGCGTTTTGAAGCTAGTCGAGTGGTTTTCTGGTCACTGTCGTGCTATAAAGAGCTAAAACTTACCACAAACTGGTTTACAGGTCGAACACTTCGCGGCCTTCTGATCCAGATGCAAAATATCAGCTTGAGAAGTTCGGGCATGTGCAGAAAGCAAAATTTGGGTTTAAAAGTGACACAGCAGTCTTGACTTTTACTTTTCGCTTTCTCTCCTCCCTTCTTTTTTTGCTGGGCATTTAGGAGGCTTCATTTTGGTGGGAAGAGTTTTTAGGAAAGCTTTTAGGATCTTAGGATTAGGTGAAAGGAAAGGTAGGTGGGTAATGGAACAAGATTTTCATGGAGATTTTCAGGTCAATGTCACGTGGTTTTTTGCTTGTTTCTCCGGTGTCCTTGACTGAATTGTGCTCACTCTGGTATGGTTTGAAAGATCTCTTCACTCTGCACAAGTTAACGAAGAAAGTTGTCCTTGACCGTTAAAACTGATGACGTCACAATGGGTAGAAAGGACCTGGATCCGCACGGGCGGTTACGGGCGGTTCAGGGGCGAATGGGTTAAGAGGTAAAATTTTGTCTTTGACCGTACTTAATATTTTGTATTCAGTTAGAATTTTCGCAAACGAAGAATTAAAAGGAATACAGTGGAACCCCGTTAATACGACCACCTTTGGGCCATGGAAATTTGGTCGTATTAACGGGGTAGGGTCAAATTATGGTGCAAAATACTACTACATGCATACCTTTAATCCGCTATAAATCAACCTTTTTGCAGTTAATTAACAACCTTACAACTGCAATTCAATGCAACTAAACAATGTAACAGTAACGAAACCGAATAATGAGAAAAACACTGACTTCTTTCAGTTCCTTGTTATGAAAGGAAGGGGCTTGTGAAATGTGGGGGAGGATACGGGATGGAAATCCCATGCGTTTACAAGTTTACTCGACAGCCAAGAAACGTTGATATGCTTAACAAATTATTAGACATTCCAAATAACCGATCTGTGAGAAAAGAACAGGAAATGGACTCGAAGAGAAAAGCCACAATGGAAGGCAGCAGAAACAAGAAGGCAAAATAACTTTGAGAGCCTCGAAATGCTGCAAAGTGAAGTCTTTCAGATCTTTGGAATTTATTTATTCATGCATCCTTTTTACTGAACACTGCAATTTACCGGATGTCATACTAACCACTAACACCTTTGCCTAAAAACATTCAATAAAATATTAGTAATGCGTTATTGTTTGTCAGATTGTATCTGTTTTCATTCAGCAGCCCCACCAAACATTTTGACTGGTCGTATTAACGGGGTAATTTTATAAAGAAAATAACGATCCAGGACTCCCAAAGGTGATCGTTGGTCGTAATAACGGGGTGGTCGGATTAACGGGGTTTTTAGATAAGAAAATGACTGGGCTTTTGTTCGGGCCACAAAAAAGTGGTCGTAATAACAGGGTGGCCGTATGGCGGGGTTCCACTGTACAGTGAGCAATGGTAGGGTTCACGACCCTCAGTAGTATTGCTGATTTTTTAAAAAACTATTTTCGTTCAGCTGGGAGTTCAAATGTGCGCCGACATCCGTGACAACGGTTGGCAATCAGTGCAGGAAACACAAAACGTCCAGATCCAGAACGCTTGCCAGAGCTATCCTCTTTTAAACCTTCTGCTGAAAAAGTAAGTCTTCTTAATTTGACGGTCTTAATAAACTCAGGTCTTAAATCGTTCAAAGAATCGATCGCAACTTGGATCATGCTATTACTCTCTACCCCTTTAGCGCCGATCTAATTATCCCTGCCCACCTCTCTTCTTCTCATTTCTCTTTGACGCATTTCCACTGTTTTCCCTTCCCTCCCTCTCCTTCGCCTCTTTACTTGATGGAACTTTAAAGAGGTGGTATTTAAGCAGAATTGCATGCTTTTTATTTTTTTCCTGGAAAATGTCTCTTTCGTTGAACTCTAACACTCAAGGTGCCACTAAAAAGTACATCTTTTCATACTTTTTTCTCCAATTTAGGGACTTGGATGCCTTCTCTAAGCTTCTCCTAGGTCAGCCAATGTCTGACTTGGTCGCAAAAGTCACTCGCACCTGCGACCAGCGCGAACTGGAGCCGTCCGAAATCATTAACGAGCTCCGTCGCGGCATGATTGTTAACACTAACTTACAGGAAGTACTGCAAGCTGCCAAAAGAGCTTTTAGTGTCTCAGACTCCAGCGAAGCCATGTTTAAAAACTTGACTGAGGAGTTGGCAAATAAGCATCCAATCCTTGAGCAGCTGCTGGAGCGAGTGTTAAAGGACGATTGGACTGGACTGTACGAAAGGAATGTTAAGAAAAAAAAACGCAAAAAGAGGGCCGTAAGGAATGGAACAATAGATAATTTTTTGATGTTTGATGAGCCTTTACCCGAAAACGTAGACTGAGGAGCAGCTGCTGGAGCGAGTGTTAAAGGACGATTGGACTGGACTGAACGAAACGGATGTTAAGAAAAAAAACGCAAAAAGAGAGCCGTAGGAATGGAACAATAGAGAATGGTTTGATGTTTCTGATTTAATGAGTACTTGCTTAAAAAAGATGAGTTAGCTACTACACAAGCTGGTATTCTCGTTACATACAACCGCTTTGTATCAATGGTGAATGGCCAAAATATACCTGTAGTACTCCGAATTTTATACAAATGGAACCATATTAGAAAAATACTGTATTAATTAAAGCTGATATTCAACTGCATTTCATGCTACAAAAGTTGTAAACTGAGCTGCCTTTCGTTTCCAGTAATGGTGGATTTCACCTGTTTAAATCCAGTGGGGTATCCGTGAGCCTTTACCCGAAAACCTAGACTCTCTTCATCCAAGGTCGAATCAGTTGAATCGAGATGAAATTAAGTAAAATTAGGCTATTATGCCCAATGCAAATATCAATACAGAGCCATAGGGGTCCCACACTGTTATTTCACCAACAGTGAAATCATGCAAGGTCGGACAAACCGCATAACATAACGCATTGTGAAATTTACGAACAAAGCGCCGACACAAACATCATTTTTGCATCGTAGAGCAACTTCCATTTCACTTTACTCCGCAGCAGAGAACAGAAGAGGTTGGCCTGCGTAGCAAGCGTTTCCTCGCGAGGTTCGTCTAGAAAGCTGGGACAAGAGCAAAAAAAAAAACAGAATGACGGGGGAGGGGGAGGGGAACGAAGGAACCGCTTGCCCGCCAGCCCCACGACTTTGAAAAACTGCGTTCGCCCACGGACGCAGCTTCTGATTGGCGCGGTGCGGGTAGTGTTGATTAATTAGCATTCGAAACATCAATCAAACCAGGTATGCTTTGTTTTCGTGCGTCACAGATCTGATCTCATCCGATTTGTGGTCGCAGATTACAAATGCTTTGGACTGATATTTGTTGGAATCGTGTTTGTGCGAAGGTTTATGAGATCCGAGTCTTCAAAGTATAATTGGAGATCGAGCAGTGGAGACTAGGGAAGGCCAATTTATTGAGAATGACGGCGTGCGGATCTGACTGGAAAAAATGGACTGTTTGTTGGAGATAACATCAACATAAAACAGAACATCGGTACTCGACACTAGCTAAAGCCGCCATGGACAAGCGATTTGTCAGCTTTTTGAAATGAAAAGATTCTTTTTGTTTATTGGAAATTTAGCGGCATCTATTGTAGAGACCGTTTCGACACAGGCTGAAGAGCAGCCGCTCTGCAAAACTTATACCCGGCGGAGTGAATTGTTCCGGACAAATAATTTTTGACGTGTCGACAAGGATTCAGACGAGATAAAGCCACACAATAAAAAAACCAAGAAATTCCGCAGCAATCGCTCATAGTTTTAACTTTCTTTTATCGTAAGTCTTTTTTATTACAGTTCTTGCAATCGCCTGTAACGTGTTCTATTAGAGAACAAAGTAATTTTACAAATCTGGTAATCCAGGGGTAATCTGTTCGTTATGCTTCTATTTTGACGAGCTGTCAATTTACAAATGAACCGAACCGTGAATTATCAAGGGGTGTTTTCCAGAATCGTGGGGTTTGCGGGCAAGCGTTTCCTCTTCTCCTCTCTCCCTCCCCCTCCCCCTTCAACCTTTTTTTTTGCTTCCGCTCTAACTTTCGCGCAATAACTCGATTGGAAACGCTTGCTACGCAGGCTAAGAAGAGGTAAGTTTTTATCTCATTTAAATGTGCAGTTTACAATCCCTATGACAGAGCAATCCAATCTCCCTAATACAATTGTTTCTGAGACAAGGGCTAATATTTATGCCTGGTTTTCATATGTCGGGAAAATCGCAAACGATCGGCGATTTTACTATTTCCCGACCTTCCCAGATTTTGCCTACTCATGAAAACTCGAAATCGTAGATGTTCCCGATCGTCTGGGATGATCGGGGACAAATCTGGAAAATCGGGAGCGTTTCTATCCGGGCGGGTAAAGGTTGGTTTCTATTTTTCCGACTCGTTTCAGATTTTTGCAGTGGGCTGCGATCATTCTCAGCAAATAAAAAGTCAAATTTGCATCGTTGGCGGGAGGGGGGGGAGGCAAGAAAATACAAAATCGAGTAATACTAAAGACAGTGGGAGAGAATGGTAAAAAACAACAACAACAGATGTAATTAGCAAAAAAAACAACTTTGCACGTGCAGCACACTTTTTTTTGTAATTAGCAAAAAACAACTTTGCACGTGCAACACTGACTGTTTTGTACATTCCCTTGTCGTCGTTTTGCACGACTAAAACATGAAAGTTCTTTTAACTTCCTATTTACACGTTTTATGGAGGAATGTTTGAGTTCCTGTTCACTTTGTTTTTTCACTGCCGCTCATTTTCATTATGGTAGCCGGTAGTATTTCTCATTTTTTAACGGCCGCTATGCAATTTCCATGTTTTTCTTCCAACGAAAATGGTCTCCGTTGTTACTTATTTCACGCTCTAGCTCTTTCGCTGTTATCTAAGTATAAAAATCTAGTGGAAAGAAAGACTCGTTTTTTTCTCTCTCTAAAATCCGGGCGCGGCCATGTGGTTTACCGCCGAAACGAGCGACGTTCTTGAAATGCAAAATTTCACCTCAGCTATAACATCCTCCTCACCCGACGGGCTGACTTCTGACTCTCTTCCCCCTCTCCCAGCGTCTGTACGGACGGGAGGTTGTACGCTGACGTCATAACCAAATTTTCTCGAATGGATAGATTTACCAAATTTTCTTAGCTATGGGGCTCCGCTCGCGCTCACTTCGCGCGCGCGCGGAGCTCCGCTATTAGAGAGTTTTAGATCCAAGTTTACCGCGAACCTCTAACCGCTGGGAGTCACGTGACAAGTCTTTCGCGTCACGTTTGAGGTTTACGACGTGCGCTTTCAACGTGGGGAGGTAGGTTTTCACGTATGCCATTTACCTGAAAGCTTTTAGCGTATAATTCTTGTTTTATCCCACATAATGATACGAAAATCTTGTGGAGCAGGTCTTTATCCATTAATAGACGCATAAATTCGGCCGGAATGCTGAATTTGATGAATCCTATTTGATCTTGAAAACAAGTGCCATTAATAATCCACCGCCAATCTTAATCGAATTATGTTTGAACGTCGAACCGCAAACTGCGGTTTGAGGTTCGCAGTAAACTCGAATCTAAAACTCTCTATTATTGACTATTGATCACTCCGGAGATACCATAACATACCATAATGTTGTTTGTTTGTCACCCCAAAATTTTGCATAAGCATTGTCTTAGGTTTCTCTTGGCAGTTAAAATGGCCCCAAGAGAAACTGAAAACAATGCTTATGCAAAATTTTGGGGCGACAAACAAAGAGCATTATGATATGTTATGGTATTTTCTCAGAGAGGTCAGTTGCCGTTACAGTTGATTTGCCAACATCTAACAATAACAATTCAAACAATCCGAGCAATACGCCGAAGAAGTCGACTTAAAAGAAGAGCTTGCAGGGATCTCCTTCTAATAGATTAAGTTACAGATGTAATACATTATAAATTAAGTGGCAAATAAAAAATTGAATTGAAAAAAGAAAAAAAAGGCGAAATTGTGCTGGTAATACCGCACACACCCCCGGTCCTTTTAAGCGTAACGAATCTGAGACAAATCAAGCTGTTCTGCCTTCTGAAAATGGCTCTAAATCTTCAGCAACAACTGTCCGGCTCGGAGATTCTATGGTAAAAAAAAAAAGTTTCTGACTTTAATGTTGGAAAATAACTACGTTTAGTTTTGTTGTCAAAGCCTTTTCTGGTGCTCGTATCTCTGAAATGGAGCCCTTTATTCAACCCACATTAGTCCCAGCTCTGTCTCAAATTGTGCTACACTGTGAAACGAATGATCTCAAGCAATTGATCCCGACGCATAGAATCTTAATCTCCGCACTGGATCAGGATGGTAATTCTGGATCAATCTAGGTTTCTGAGAAACTGCCCACCTACCCCTTCCCTAAGCCAACATTTTGCCCTCCGTGAGAAGTAAGTGTTAATGTTAGCTTAGGCAAGGGGTAGGTGGGTAGTTTCACAGAAGCCTAAATTGATCCAGAATTACCATCTCGGAATTAATTAGTAGAGCTGACCAATCCCTTCATGCAAGAGTAACTCTACAAACAGTAGAGACTCTCTCTCCCTCGCGTCCCCCACGGGTTACGGGGGTGGAGACGTGTGACATTTCAGACAAAGGCAAGACTGATACGTCTCTTCCTGAAAGGAAGGCCGGGTAATAAAAAAAAGAATCCGGGAAATATACTCCGGACAGAATATGTAGGCTTACATGATGTACTAGCGTAATCTGGATCCGAGCCCTCGGTGAAAACATTCGCAAAGTCATCTCAAGATCTTTCTGGTTACTGTGCCAAGTTGTGCAAGTTGTGGTCCGGTTAAAAACGTTGCTTGCTGACGTAAAAGCATTGTTTCTTCATCGAACAAAGAGTTTAACTAATTTTACAGGGAATAAGGAAGTGCTGTTATGTTACCACGTGACCGATCTTTACAGGCGGTTCTTGGAATCCATTCGCAGAAAATTACTGCATAATTATTGCAATAGGAGCAAAGAATTTGACTATTTTGAGGCAATGTGGTCGGATGATGATGACTGTTATTTATATTCACCGCACTATTTTGGTTCCGAAATGGACGACAGTGACGTCGATGAGTATTACTTCGATGAAGATGACTATTGTGGTTACAGTAGCGGCGAGACTGAATGTTTGAGGAAGTTAGCCGCTCGTCGACATCACGACCACGACGAGGACAGCGACGATTCATCAATTTCAGAAAACACTTCTTCTACCAGTTACCAGATACTGTCCCTTCAAGACTTGTGTTGTCGTTACATTGCGTTGAAGTTCCCGTTCGCTTACGTCGAGCATCGCTCCCCTCCAATCCCAGATGAGCTGCAACTGAAGATTATCGGTTTTTCATTTCCAGAGGATGAACAGATGATAATGAAGTATGCACAGTTCAGCCGTAGTGGTGTGGACTTTTCTTCAGCGAAATCAATGCGTGACAATGGAAGTGTGAAAAATCTGAGCCAGATAGGTAGGTGTGATTCAAGAACAATGGGGCTATTAATAGAAATTAATTGAGAGGTGTCTTTAGTCTGAATTTTAGCCGTCTTTACCGATGGTGATGTCATTTTTCTCGCTAGTCAGCAACTTGAGAAAACAGCTGAAATTCAGGTCCCAGACAGTAGTCATGTACTCAAATACAGTCGACTCCCGATAACTCGAACCTTCAAGAGAAATCAAAATAAAGGTTCGAGTTTTCGGGAGTTCGAGTTTTCGGTAGTTCAAAGATAATAGCCGAGAGTAAGGTAAAAAACAGTTTTTACTGTACAGTGAACATTTTAATCACATTTAATTGTCGAAATGTCGAGTGAAAATTAAAAGATACTTCTAGAATATAAATGAGAACGTAATGTAAAAAAAACATAGCCTAACTGGAGCATGCCTTTTACTGTTTTGGGAAGAAAAGCTGCTTTACGTTGGCTTGTGACAATTAACATCAGCCTCCACAAGTAAACTATACTCCTATAACACATCAATAGGAAATCCAAAATTCAGTGTTTCAGATGCCCGTAGATGGCTTTTCTCCCGACTTTTTAAGGGCGGAACACATGGTTTGAGTTATCGAGGGTAAAATTGTATAGAAAATGACCGGAGAGGAAACTAAAATTGGTTTGAGTTAGCGGGAGTTTGAGTTACCGAGGGTAAAATTACAGTGAATGTATGACGGAAATCCAGGGGAAATCGATTTTGGTTCGAGTTGGCGCGACGTTCGAGTTAGCGAGGGTTTGAGTTATCGGGAGTCAACTGTACTTGTTTCTTTACCTTTCTTGTATGTACACTGTAATAGTACAGTCGAAACTCCACTAGCGACCACCTCTGTACTTTGTCCCTGTGGACAGTTTATACATTGACTCTTATTTAAACCTCTCCACAATGGCAATGGCCACTAAAATGTGTCCCCAACTGCCAAAATAACCTCTCGACAATGGCCAGTTTTTTCGGCAAGTTATGAAAAGTCAAGAATGGTCATGGAATTTGATCCATATGACACGTTGATAATTAATAGCGGCAATCATATTTTGATCTTGTTTCATTTAAACTGCAACAGTAAGCATGAATTGTCTACGATACTTATATATAGGGTGTTTTCACTCACGTGGCAAACACCTATGCAAATTTATTAAAACAAAAGAAAGCCTTTGCGTAAGAAAAGAGTTCAACTCCCAAAGGATTCTTTTGGGAAACCAACATGGCCGCCATTTCATTGTTTTGGGACACCACTATGGCCGCCCTCACGTCATGTGAAAACACTCTATAGTCACGTTAGCGTTTTAATTCAAATCATAGTTCCAGCTTTTTTCATCCTTTATTACTATTTTTGATCCTTAAATAATGATCCCTTAAATCCCCATACAAACCCTTGTAATATTTCTGTTATGCAACATCGATTCTCATTCATGACGTTGGAGTACCTGTGGAGACCAGTCTATATTCATAATATACAATCAGTGTTCCAGTTATTTCTGGGGGGTCATTTAGACAATCTGAGGGGTCACCCAGACCACGTGCTAATTTTTTTTGTTATATTTAACTTAACGTTTATATTTCATCTGTCGAGTCAGGAAGCCTTCCTTGTCGGGCCATTGACCCGAGACCCATCTCTTATCTGGAACATTGACAGTGCAGGTTAATTTTAGTATAATATGTTAGAAGTTTGAATTGCATGTAATGCTATCAAATTATCTTTGATTTACGTGTACATGTGTAGTAAGCTTTTCCATAAATTATCAACCTCCATAGCTGTATTTATAGATGATTGTAGCATGGTCACTTAAAGTAAGGCCCCTAAAGAGTTCTAAAGTGTGAGGTCATAAAAAATAACTTTTGTGAAATCATGGGATTCATCAGGATATTCTGCAAGAACAACATCCAAGAGGCCTACTTGCCAACAATAGTAATTTGCCCCAAAGTGCTAATTGTTAGTATTTTGGGGCAAATTGTCTCTGAGATTTTAGCCCAGATATACTCTGATGACTCCATACAAATCCTTCTAAATTTGACTTGGGTCTAAACATGTTCTTTCAGAATATCCTGACGAATCCCATAATTTCACAAATTTAATTTTTATGATGTCATCACTTTAGAACTCTATACTGCATGCATTTAACACATGCCTAAGGGATTTGCAGAATAAAGAGGCCATGCAGCGGGGCAGGTTACATAACACATGTTGCTATCTGATAAGGTGATATTCAAAAAAATATATACATGTATATCAAAAAGTGTCAAGTGTTTGAAAAAAGCACAAAATATGTTGCTAAACTGAATTTCAAAACCTGTCATTTCACCCACATGTACTGAGGAGGAAGCCATGTCCCTCCTGATATTCTACTATTGCAATTGCAGTTCATCTTGATTACCATTGCAAAACTTCTTCTTTTCGTTTGTCGCCAATTCAGTGTTCTTATGCCATGTCAGTGGTGGCATTTTCAATAATTTATAACAGGGCTAAAAAATTGGGGTAACATGATATCTAAGAGATGTTAATTCTTCTGAAAGAAAAATCGTTGGTTAAGCACTCTTACTATAACAATAATGATGAAATGTTTTGACATTTTTTATTGTTGTAGGCTTCCGTTTGAGTGCGACAGTTGATCACAACAGGGGCAGTAGCAATGGAAATGGTTATTATGTTACTGTCCACTTTGATCGTGGGAAGATAACCTCAGCTCACTGTTCTTGTGATCAGTCTACAAATTGGTGCGCACATGTTATAGCAACATGTTTGGCAAGAATAAAGGACAGGAACACAGTGACAATTCGAATGCCAGTCTCTGACTCACTTAATTTGCTGGACCGGGAACAGTTATTAAAATTTTCTCAGTACCTTTTATGTGAACACCAGAATGAACGTACAGTGGAAACTGCGCAACAGCTGCTTGATAAGCTGTTGTCCAAAGGACAGAAAGAGCAAGACGAAGACATAAATGCAATTGCAGGGGCACCAGACCCTACTGCTGGTCCAGGTAAGGCTGTCTATGGAAACAAATATGCCCCTATGGAGACAAGAAGACCCTAAACACCCATCAACACAGCAGACTCACAAAATATAATATATAATACCCTACTGAAGTTTTAATCTATTATCAAATAATTATTATCCTTTTGCTTAATATAAAAGCATGCCAAGTGCAATTGAAAGGGGAATCTACATGGCTGTACATGTAAAGCTGTAGCTGTCACTTGGGTCTTCCGTTTGCATTATTTGCCATGGTGATACTGTGACTTTTTATCTTCCCCTCATACAATGCAACATCACCACACAAATAATTCAACATTTGTTTCAAAATATTGATGCTGTGTGAACAGCTTAAGATTGCTGAGATAGACGTGATTTTGTATACCTAAACACTGCTGTACAATTGCTGTATGTTTTGACCCATATGGCACAACATTGTTAGAACAACGTCACAAAAAATTAATATACATGTATTAAAAAATGTTCTCTGAATGTCATTAGGATGTTCTGATGTTTGAATGGGGGCTGAAGGAAGATATGAAATGTTACACTTGTTAGAAAGCAGATTTTAAGCCATTGCCTATAAGGCACTTGACACGCTTTTTTGTCCCTGACTGAGCTCAAGCATAATTTTTCAGTCACTTTTGAAGCTTATATGAATGAGATTTTTTTCTTTCAGCCACAGCGCAATTATTAAGTAGATTTGCCAGCTACTATGTTTTTTGGTTTTTGAAGGTGAGGGGCAATGGCTCTTAAAAGCAGTTTTGTTTACCCCTTCACTGCCGTAACTGATACTAATTGTGAGTAAATAAATTACTCAACAGGATGGCAGGAAGAAGAGGATGGCAAAACACTTGTGTTTGACAAACGTGACATGGCTGTTACATGTGTGTTTTGTCATGATCTTCACTTAACACTAATGTTCTCTGGTCTTTTAAGAAAATATCTGTTTAAAGGAAGGTGAAGTTCGGTGGAAATTTTTTTCAAACAAAATTATTGTCACACTTGTCAGACAGGGTTTGCCGTCTACTTTCCTCTCCCGTACTGTTGCCTAAGTTCACTAGTGACTATGCACAAGGGGACTGAGAAGGCAGCTCAATTGCAATTCCCAAATTAGCCACTTTTCTCTTTTTGCAAAGAACACTCATTATTATCATTACTAGTATTATTATTATTATTATTATTATTATTATTATCATTTATTCCTTTTTTTTTTTTCAATACACCTACCCCTCATAAAAAGCTTGTTGCAAAAAAATAATTAATTTGTATGTGTTAATTTGTATTGTTTGGTTTGGTATTATTAGGACTTGATGAAGAGGCTCATTGGTTTGTCTGTAAAAGCGGATTCCAATCCAGGTGTAAAAGCATTGGTTTGTCTGTAATGACAGTGAGGGATCCGTTAAAGAATTGTGGGAAAGAAACTGCCTTCATCAGCCAGGTGTTAGAAAAAAATGTTGTAGGTATAATAATGTACATTCATGAGCTACCAATCATCTGGGCTTTTACCTGTTGGTATTCATTAATTTATTAGTAAAATCCAACTAGGGTCTAATTTGGCGGCAAAAAGGGATCCGTTAAACTATTTTTTTATTCTCGATTTTCGAAACTGCCTTCATCAGCCACTTGTTAGAGGTATAATTGTTTATAATGTTGTACATGTATAATATTTTATGTACATTCATGAGCTACCAGTCATTATTAACTTTCACCTGTTGGTATGGCAACTGCAAGTCTAACTTGGCCAAACAATAAACTACCAAAATTGTATTGCTATTAGTGTCTCTTATAAAGACTATTTGCCCTAGAATCTGGGCAAAACCACTGCCTAAGAATTCATTGTCTTTTTCTGGTTGACATTTTTAGCTAGCTTTAGCTAAAAAATGGCTTTGCTTAAGCTCCCTAATAAGGCATGGGTCGCACTTGGCAAATTTCTGGAAGAATTTGTTTACCTTGCGGTAAAAATCTGTCATCGGGACACATTGCCAAGTGCGACCCCAAGTTTTCAAGTTGGAAAAAACTTTGAAAATCGCGAAAAACATCAAAGACGCCGTATTGCTTGGGTGGGGCAGGCAGATTTTGGAAAACTCGAGCTGAACAATAGGAATCACGGCCGTAAGTGTCAGCACTTGTCAGCGAAACGTGACCAATTTGAAACACGATCAATTTGAATCAATCGTTGAAATTTTCTGACGTTCGCGTTTTCGTTGTGGACGGACGAGGCTACCACTACTTTTCGCCATTTTAACGTTTTTAAGAAAACTTTCTACGGGCGAGCAATTCATAAGCTTGTAATCCTTCGCTATTTCAACGTTTTTACGGGAACTCTCTACAGGCGAGCTAATTATAGTCTACCCAGGCACCGTCACAGGTTTGTTATTCTCCGAGCTAAATGCAGTCTTTGCAGCCAAGCACTTTATTTTCTTTATTTCTCTCATCCTCCTGAAACTGGGAAAGGAGGAAAACGATCCTACGCCAAATGATCGGACTACGAAGAGATAATGTTCTATGGTATCTGGCCTACTTTAGTTCTCAATGTGTCAAAACAACGACAATTAACTCCCACTAGTAAATACTAGTGCGACCCTCCTCGATTGGACTTAAAGTTTTCTTTTCCTGTTGCGGTTTCGAATTTTCGTGGTTTTTTAGCCAGCAAAGATGAAAACTTTTCCCAAGTGTGACCTATGCCTAAGTGCCTTTCAGTGTTATTATGAATGCATGTCTTAGGAGGGTTCCAAGAGGAAATACTTTTATGGTTTCCCATCCTTTGAGACAAAGTGTTGTATCAGCTAAACCTAGTTTCAATTGTGAATGGCATTGGTCTTATTTGTAACTAGATGAAATGGATCTACAGCTTGATGACAGTCACTATGGTTACTCGTCCTCTCAGAGGGTAAACATTCTTCAAGTCCTGGAAACCACAGCTGATCTGCTTCAGGACGATTTCATGAGTGCTGTGTCAGCTTTGACGACATGCACTGAGCAACTCATCGAACGACTATCAGTGCTGTGCCAAGAGAGATTAGTTAGTGTAACATATCTTACATCACAGCTACGAAACCAGGAACCTAAGTCAAGTTTAAAACTTTCTGGATCTCTGGCAGGAGGCTTTACTCCAAGACTTTCAAAGTAAGTGGGAACCAACATATAGTTAGTGATTTCTTTATTCATGTTTTTCTTTTATTGTACATGAGCTATACATGTATTTTGGCATTTGCTAAAAAAATATAACAATAAACAACTATCTTATTATACAGTCTTAAATGTTTATTATGTTTCATCTCATGCATGCAAGATGTACGACGGTCAGTGACGAACTTTCACGCCTTTGGAGATTAGCTGTTCTCAGTCCAGGAATTCCAGCAAAAGAGCACAAAGGAGTTGTTGGTCAACTACAGAGTTTAAATGAAAGAGGTACTGTTGATTAGGTGGCCATGTGGAGATGCCAAACTTCCCCTCAAGTGTTGAAAAATATTGTTCAGCATGAGAAGAGAAATTTCATGTCTCCAAGCGACCATGTGATGTTCTATTTATTATATGAACACCAATGAAGTACCAAACCATTTGGGCAATATATTAAGTAGCCATATAGCAGGGGTGATGGGTGAAGAATGATATCACGTTTTTTGTAATACCCAGTATTGTCAGTAATTATGACCTGTACCAATAACAGACCATTTTCGATATATTAAAATTCATACTTGTCTGCGAAGCTTCGTTGAATAAAACAAGAGAAAAGAAATGTTTTATTCATTGCTGAGCCTCAAGGTGATTTCTTTTGTTTTATTACCGCAAGCCTCACAGCCAAGTATGAATTTTAATATATTAGAATTGGTCTATTGGTTGAGCTGTGAAAAGAAGTAAGCAAGTCAACAGTACACATTATTTAGACACTGTCTTATAAAATTTGATACCGATAAAATACATTTCGAACCGATCTAAAAAATACTAAAAATAGAGATATCGATTATGAATACTTTTAATAGTTTTAATTTTTAATTGTACATTTCACGACGTATTTTAAACATTTTTAACAGTTTTTAATTTTTAATCGTACATTTGCTTTTAGTACTTCTTATTTTCCGTGTAATTGTTAGTATGCACAACCCCACCAGCAATGCTGATCTTTTTATCGTGCTAAAATAAAGTTTTTATCTATCTATCTATCTACATAGGCAAACTGATCAATGATAGTGTAGGAATCTTGCTCTACAACATTGTAAAAATCTATTTTGACTTTAAAGCTTACTTTGTCGACGTACTAAGAGGAAACATTTTTTAAAAGTTTCTCCTGGGAACTTGCAATGATTAGTAGAATGCCTAACACGTTTATTTACAAATCCTGTGTGCTTTGGTTTTAGTTTCTGTAGCTTTTGTAACTGGTCCAGTTCGTCCATGGCATGGCTTGGAAGTTGCTGTTAAATTATCCTCCATTGACTGGAATTTACCTGACTTTCAGCAAGTCCTTAAAGGAGAGTGGACTTACATTCCTGTTGTAAGCAGCTGTATGGCTATCCAGTTGACTTGCCAATCAAAGAATGCATATGTGTCTGAGTGGATGGCACTAGAGCAGTGTGATAGTGACATCAGGGCAGCCACTTGTACAAAGGATGATTCAAACATCACACTTTCGTTTTACAACCCTCACTGCATTGCATTCAGCTCTCATTGCAGCATTGATATTCACTCAGTATGTTCTATAATCGAAGCTCTGAATGCTTCTGGCCATCACCGGCGTGCCATGTGCCTCACTGTGTCATTATCATATGCTCTTGTTTCATTCTACAAGAAGGTTCTCTTTGGCCTGTGTGATGCTTCATCAATGCCTGTGTCTGCTAGATGCTCACTTGGAACCGCACAATACCAAAATGCAAGAAAGGCAGATGGCAACAAAGAATCTGATTCTCCAATGGAAGTAGATGTTTCCGGTGACAAGCCACCTACCGTCTCCATTTGGCCAGAGGATACACTTTTGGCAATTAGTACATTTGCATTCCTTTTTGAGTTGTTGACACAAAAGTCTGACGTTGTCGATACATCCATTGCAGAAATGAGAACGAAACTAAACCTTGATATTTCTCCAGTCAATGTACCTGACTGTCCTAAGACAGCAATGTCTCTGAAGTTTCAGTTAGGATTAGTAGGATTGTGTCTACAGAAGTTGCCTGCATCTTCTCTACGTCATGAGGTATAATAATTATTAAATTGGTCCGTTCATGCGATACGTACAGTGAGAGACAAGGTTCTCTTCTCTAGAGACGAGAGGCTGGTCTCGCGAGAAATGAGACGAAGCTAATAACTTACATTTGAGTGGTGCTCAAATTATACTTCTTATGAACCAAGTGCCAAGGCTGTAGTGGAAGAAGGTCTTGACCTTATGAACCTCGTTGCCTCAGGTCTGTGCAAAAAAGACCGGGGGTCTTCATCCTCTCTGTACAGTCCCTAGTAAGCATCAGTCCACGAATAATTAATGATCTATTAAAAAAAACTAAAGAATTTGGATCTGACATGTCAAGCGAGCACCAACAGGAACTATCTTTTTGTCAGCGTATGGTCAGTTTTTCAGATGTACAGCCGAATTTGAGTAGAGTATTATCGTCTCAGAATAACAGTAAACAAGTAGCTTATTTCTGGTAAATGTTTTCTGTTTGTTTGGTTGTGAATATAGGTGGAAGAGTACAACAATGAGTGCTGGCTAACCTACCATCTGATCTGCTGTAGTCCATCAGATGCTGACCTGGCATTCCTCACACATCTTGGACAACACGTCTCTCAGGGTGTTGCCACGCCGAGTCCAACACCTCAGTCATCGCTATCACGGGTGATATTCCACCATCTTTTTAAAAGTGCACCTGCGGCGCTTAGCAAGACTCTGTCAGAACAACAACATATAGGTCTCAAAGCAGCGCTTAATGTCTTGTCTCACGTCAACAAGTTCACAGTTAAAGACAGCTCTCCCACGTGGATGCTTTTTGAGTATGCAAATTGCAGACTTTGGGCTAAGCTAGCCGAGGTTGTTCTTCGTTCGCTCTCTGACTCACCAGAGCTTCTAGGTGAAGCAATGTGTCACGTTCTTCAATCGGACGGAACGCTCGGTGCCCAGTCGATGGAGAGCATATCAACTGACTCAACTCCAAGTAATGTTCTGTCACGTTTGCGGAACATTGAGTTGATATCTGGAAAGTCGCGCGTGGCTTACCGCCTAGGACGAGTGCTAAGCGAGAAACAGGGTAACTCAATAAGAATTTTGCAGTTTAAGGCGTGGAATTCTCGAGGCGCATTTACGAAAGGAGAGAGTTCCGAGATGGACATTCCAAGGAAGATAATGAAATCTGGAGTGGAGAAGGCTTTGAAGCTCTGTGCTGTTCAGATTGTTGCGCACAGTCTGTGGTTACAGAGACTGGCTGATAAAGATCGCTCGCGTCATGCTGACTCTGTCAGGTACTTGCTTTACTTCTTCAGCTAGGTTCAGCCTTCCAATCACTTTGAAGGTGCAAAAACTTAATTTGCGCCATAGAAGCATTAAATGCTTGTTGTTTCTCGCTGAATATAGTGAAAACATGTAAGCAAGGTAACTGCTGCTCAACCATTTAGGAATTCACTGTTAAATTTATTATTATTATTATTATTATTATTATTATTATTATTATTATTTAAATCTGTAAAGAGTGAAACAAAAGAATCTGTTATTGCAAGAACCAATGCGCTTCTGGTTGGCGCATTAATATCAATAGGTGACGTTAGCGTGAGTATCACTATTGCTTGCTTGTTTTGTAGTGATCTTTACTTAACACCGCTGTATTACTGTTTTCCGGTCTTGTACAAAAAGATCTGTTTTAAAGAAGGTGAAGTTTGGCGTAATTATTGTCGCGCTTGTCACACAAGGGTTGCCGTCTTCTTTCCAATTCTCTGCCGTCCTTTTGTCTAAGTTCACTGTTATTTATCCAATGGGGAGTCCCCTGGTTAGAAGTGGCACGTACAAAATGGAATTATTCTTTATTTAAGATTTATAGTTGCATCCTTATCGTTTATCTTAACATTTAACAACAAAACTGTTTTCCAACGCTTTTAGTCCTAGGTGGTTAATAGACCTTGTCGTCAGTTCTGGAGTTGAAAGCCTTGAATGCCTTGTTCAATGCAAGGGAGATGTCACTACCATCCTCAAACAAGGTGACCTGCTGGATCTTTGCGAGAAATTTCTCAGGGTGAGCCAACGTTATGTCCAAGAAATGAGGGGCTTGGGGCGGGTCAAGGGATAATTCTCAACTCCCATACGATTACTTTAGGTTGCTCTTTCTACCTTCATCTGCTCCATTTGTTGGCAGTGCATTGTAACGCAATTCACCACTTTAGAAACGAGAAGGAAATTGGAGCCGAAATTCGTCCCGCAATTGTTTCTGGGATCGTTGTTGGGGACGCACCGGTCAGCTATTGGTCACTTAAGGAAACCAGAAGGAAATTGGCCAATAGCAGACCGGCGCGTCCCCAGTAACGACCTCAGAAACAATTGCAGTAAGAAAGGTACCCCTTTCGTAAACCTTGTATTGACAAACTGCAATACCTACAATCCTGGACAAAAGTAAGCAAATTGGAGCCGAAATATGTCCCGCAACTGTTTCTGGGATTGTTACTGGGGACGCGCCGGTCAGCTATTGGTCACTTAAGAATACCAGAAGGAAACTGGGCCGAGTTAACTTTTGCAAAGGCTTCTGGGACGGTTACTGGGGACAGGGAAAAAACTGGCCAATAGCTGACCGGCTTGTCCCTAGTAATGATCCCAGAAGTCTTTGCGAAAGATTACTCGGCCCAGTTTCCTTCTCGTTTCTAAAGTGGCGAATGTGCAAATGCTTTAGAAAAAACTTCTTTTATTTGCTGGTTTTAATCTTCACGTTATCAATAACAAAACTCGAAATCATTCAACAAATTAACTAAGTGAAGAAAGGGATAGGCAAAACGTCTCGTCAAGTTTCAGGTTTGTACTTATTGTCGTTTGTGAGATATTCAGAGAAATGTTTCACCCAAACTTATTGAGCTTAGTCAAAATACGCCCTGTTGGTACACCTCAGAGGGACCAACATTCCTTCCCTTTATCTTTGTTCTGAGGACCTCATAGTCAAGTTGAATTCTAAAAAGACTGAAAAAAAACCCTTTTGCTTTGACGTGTTTCCAGTGCCATTTGTGTAATGTCTTTCTTTTTTTTATTGTGTTCAGTCTTCCACACATGATTCGGATGTTGAGGGAAAAAACTCTTCAAATTTGAACTGTTCATAGGAGAAAATTCAGATGTGACAAGCCGCGTGTTGTTTTTACTGAAATTTCGACAATCAATTTAATTTGCTTTTGTTATTTGCAGAAAGCCGAGACGGAGAAGCAAGTAAAAACCATCGTTCAAAACATTCTTCTATTATTATTACAAAAGGCTAGCCATGCTGAAGCGGAAGACGATTTGAGGAGCATAATAAATTTTTGCAGGTAAACACTCTTTGTTCTCTCTTCAAATAAATGCTCATAAGTGTACATGTCCATCTCCTTCTAGAGCCGGCGGGCTTCCGCAAAACTTACCGTAGCTTGTTTGAAACAGTAGCACTTTTCAGTTTTAGTAACTGCTGTGTTTGTGATTGGCTGGAGAATTCCGCGCCATTTTCTTGATCAAAGCCACGTTTCTCCCTCGCCTAGCGCTGGCTACACGCATTTGCTTTGGGGGAAACGGGTCGCTTTGGTACAAAATCGTGTCGATATGATTTTAAGCGCTGAAATAACACAAAAATTTCGATCACTTCACGTGTAGTTTGCGCGTGAACCAAAAAAAAAAAATTGGGGTCAATTTTCTTCGTTTTTTAAGTTAAGTACGTGAAACTATTTTCACCTTGACTGAATAAAATTGTATGGAAACGACTTTGTAGCGAACGTCCGAACCACCGGTAAGCGCTTTGAGATCTCAGTGGTTCGTGTGATTGCTTGCGCGTATTGGTAATAGTCCTAAGTCATTACTTTGGTCGTTAGTTTTCGCGACTAACATGAACGAAAAACGTTCTTTTTTGTTTGCGTCTGCAATTTACCCCACAAGTACATATAACACTTCCAGGATTATTCCTTTATTCAAACACATTTTGACATGCATTTTCAATAACTATGTAGAGGAAAGCGATGCGCAGCTCAGCTGGATCTACTGCCGTGGATTTGTACAGGACTTCAAAACCTCCACAGTAGCGGTTCATATGTGCCGTTTGAAGTGCTCATGGATGCCAGCCATGCAATGCTGGAACATTACAAGGAGAGGCTAGCTGAAACAGAAAGTCACAACCAGACGGAGTGGGGTCAGAAAGGATTTTTTTATTTGGTGAGATGTTTTTTTACATTGCATCAGCACACATTAGAGAGTTTAACATGCCACCGTGATTGCAACGGTGTCTAAAATGTCCGCGTCATCGCGACTATTCCAACGCACTCACTTTGTCGAAACTGTTCAAAAAGAGAAAGGAAAGTTCGTCGTCGTTTGTTTAGGTTCTTCAGAAAAGGTAAAATTAGGTAATCTAACGTCGTAGTCGTATTTTAAATGCACGCTCAGAGTTCTCGTTTTGCTCATATAAACTAGTTCTCAC